AGGGACTAGTATAAGACCCGGTACTAATCAAGGGGGGTACTATACCAGGGGGGTACTAGAACCAGTGCTATACGGTACCATTATTACTATTAGATACTAATACACGCATCTTCTCTGTTACACATTGTATGTCGACAATCTACTGTACGACAACAAACAAAATTAAGTTTTCTACCAGTTACTTTTCGAACATGAAAATGGCTAAAAGAAAGAGGATTATAGATGTTGAAGAAACAATTGATAGCAGCTCGATGAATCAAAGACAGAAACCTCGAATAGCTATGAATTCAACGCTGGACAAATTTCTCGCTTCAAACAGACCATTTCGAGAGACGACAAAAGATAAACAAGACGATCATAAAATGGCCGCAGTTACAAGCGATCAAATGGATAAGAACCCGCCGCATCTTCAACAAGCCTCCGCATCTCACTTGCGCTCTCCTCACAAACTCTCAATGACTGATGCTGAAGTTTTTTATTATTCGTCATTCCTATCTCCCACTAGTTGCACTTCTCTCTACTCCACTCTAACGTCGCTTCCATATTGGCAACGTCCGACATTCAAAATATTTGGCCGACAAGCTCACGCGGCTCGCCTCACTTGCAGTTTCAGTTCGCATCCTTCTAAAGAGTATCGTTATTCGGGTACCATCGCTGGTGCCGACGCGCCAACATACCCCTTACCGATCAAACAAGTAAAAGATAGTTTGGAACTTTTACTTCATGAAAAATTTAACTTTGTGTTATTAAATTGGTATAGAGATGGGAACGATTCGATTGGAGAGCATGCAGATGATGAAAGAGGATTGATTCCCAATGGCAGCATTGCATGTGTCTCTGTTGGTGCAGAACGAACATTGGTTTTCAGAAAAAAGAATGAAAAAAGTCAGGTGAAGAAAGTGATACTAGAAGCCGGGTCACTGATTGTTATGAAAGGTGAGACCCAAAAGTTTTGGAAGCACGGCATTCCAAAAGAAAGGAAAGTGCTTGGAGGGAGGATTAGTCTTACATTTAGGCAGTTAGAATGAGCGGCGAGTGCAAATGACTCAAAGCTGCACGATCAGATGATAAGCCAAGTTTGACGTGAGTCGATGCCATTCTGACCGAGTTGTATATTATTTCGTCTTTATTATTCGTAATTTTCCTGGAGAATATTTGTAGTTATCGGCATACATTTTCTTTACAAATTTCTCTTTGGGTTGTTCTTGTACATAATAATCCCATCCTGACAATTGAAGAATTAGGTAGATAGTTAATAAGCCAGAAAACACTCCCATAATAAATAGCAGATATGAGTTCATTTGTTTTATAGAAACCTTGTTTCTCGGCAAAGAAAATTGCATCTTCCTTGGTTGCAAATTTCATTTGAATCGCTTGCACGGGATCAGCACTAAGACAAATAAAAGTCATTGAGATTATAACGATAATTAACTATAGATCCATTCTATTGCCAGTCTTGTATGCCACTATTTACCTGCTCATCCATCCCATCAAAGGGTTCTCCCATCTTCCACCGCCTTCCAGAATATCAAAATCAATTCTCCATTGTTTGGTATTATGGGTACCGGACTGCATCGCTGTCCTCGTCGGTTTGAAAATCCTTACAGTTCTAAATTTTAAACGTTCTATGAAAATAACATAATTAGCGTGGATCGAAAAAATTAAAGTGCACATACCACAATAATCATTTCTCCTCACCGGGTGTTCCAGAAACAACATCAGCTGCAACTACCTCTTTAGACTCAGTCTCGGTAAGGGATTGACTTTTCTCTTCCTTAGATTCTTCTTTCTCCGGAAGGTCGGTACTATAGCTACGTAGTGATGCAGCAGTCGAAAGACTGGGTGGACAAATGAGAGAGGATAGTAAACCTCGTTGGCGAGCGAGGCGGACAGCCATTACTTACTTCTACGAATGCAACAAAAATGTGACGTCAATTTATTTATATATATTGAAACGGCGATCAAATCGTTATTCTGTATTATCCTCCATTTTAGTAATGTTTATCCAAACATGGTTTGTTTTTTTCAATTGCATTAAGTTACAAAGTTTTTAATTGCGAATTTTATGGTTGACGCGCGCTAGATTATGTGTATGGATTGAAATTCATAGACAATTATGAGGCGATGCCAGCACTTCCTTATGTAATTTGACATTCTAACGAATGCGGACAAAAATTGTATGACAAACATTCCTCCAACCTTTAATATTGACGTTCTCAACGTTTGTCAATACGTATATCATTTCAGGACAAGCGAATTATTATTATTAAAAAAATCCTCTGTATCAAATTTACGATTATCCCTAGTGGAATCAGAGTTACTAAAGATAATGTTGTATCTAAATATTTGTATTCTCGTCAATGTCTCCGTCATAAATGCTTCTTGCTCACACAGCCGAGCCCGTATAATTCACATACACTTCCGACAATTGGGGAAAGGAACAGATTTATAACTAATAAAAAGTTTTAATTGAACAGTATATTAATTAAAACGGAAACTTCGACGAGGCAACTGAGATACAATGTGGAACAAAATTCATTTGTTTATGACGTAACGTTTTGGTATAGATATTAATAATTCATTCTAAAAAGTTTTTCTACAAATCTGGTGCCCATATATTATATGGCCAAACTTATTCTTGAGCAGGTAACTCAACCTCAACTGCGCGCCTCAAGACTAGCCAGAATGTCCTTGATAGCAAATAACAATTCATGAGACATTATTATAACGCAAACAGTTCTCTCAAAAGATTACTTTGTGATTCAATACCTGACACTTGTTAATATTTCTCAAGAACCAATCTCCATGACGTCTGCCAACCTTGGATTCCGCAATGTGTACCATATCCTACAAAGCCATCCAGATAAACGTTACTACCAATTGATGTATGACCATCAACTCATTGTCCGTTCGTGGGAACATTCACATACTTACCTCTTTAAGACAAAAATCCAAATCAGAAGTAGTCACATACTCTCCTTCGAGTAAAGTACCGCTAACCCATTTCTGTTGCCGTGATTTTTGTTTGAATATAAGTAGCTGTGTGCGTAATTCCTCTGGTTCCATTTCCAAAAATTTGGCAAGCTTATCGATGCCCATTGTGGTATATAATTTTAAGAACGATCGAATAGTAGCCATGTGTATTTGATTCTTCACTTCATCTTGGAATATCCTCGCGTGATGATGGGGCGGTTCCTGCACAAGATGAAAATGTTAAGACTCTCATAGCTTAATATAATAAGCAGAAACTATGCTACATACTATTGTCAACAGCCAGCTGGACGGGTCTTCAAAATTAGGACCGTTTGGAGAAATGAATTTAGGACACGCGTAAAGAAACAGGTCTTCGAACACTGGCAATGCTTCTTCCCTAAAAAACAATAATGAATACGTTATCTTGTTAAGCCGTCTCTTTCTTTCTCACCAATGACGTGTTTATGCTTGCTTACCCTTTCTGCATCTTTGACAGTTGGTCACCATATTTTTCTCGAAGCAACGTGTGAACATTATCATCCAACCGAGTAGGACATAGTGCAATACATATTGCCAGTAATGCATACATCTGATCCCCTTTTTTGTTTATCTGGTCGAATTGATAGGAGCGTGTGTGATACATCTTTGTCCGTGTGATAAAAACAAGTATGTGTGAGAATGCTCTTATTGCATCTGCATATCGTCTCATCATCATATATGCGAATCCAACGTAGTAGTAAGTTGTTACGTGACAAGCTGTTACTCTCGCAAAAAGTGCCTAGAATAGAAAATTGTACAAACATGTAGCGATTGAACAACCACATTGATAGAGAACGTGCAGACACAGCTTACCTTCTTGTTCAATTCAATGTTATCCATCATCTTTAGTGCCAAAGTGTAATCGCCCAGCAGACAATGAACACGTAATAGTCCAATGATGCTAAAATATCCAAGCATCTTGTATAAAGGACGAGAACCATATTCGCCAGCTGCTTCACTATGTAAATAATTAGCAAAATTATTATGCGAGAAATACGATCCGGCCGTTAATAAGATAACAAAAATACGCACGTCATATCGCCTCCATTTTTACTGGCGACCAGTTGTTCCATTATCCTTGATTTTGTTATGAGTGAATACAAGACATTCAATACACTATAACAGCTCCACACCTACAATGGCAATTAAAGTTAGAGCGTGAAAATAATATGCATTACTTGTATAGCACCCATACGAATGCTTGTTAACCTGAATATTGTCCCTCAGCAAAGCTATTTCTTCTTCGGTTTTAGTCCTAAGTCTGTTTCTGTAGTTGCAAAATGACTGAAATTGATAAATAAACTCGTCAATTATATCCCATAACCATTGATTTGGTAGTTCTAGTCCGACTGGTCCGTCAGAATCTGTAAATACAAAGGATGGACCTAGTTAGTACCTTGCTCTCTCGGATCACCACGATAAATTCGAGGCCGCAAACACTTACTCAATATATAATTAAATAAATCGCAATAATTCTCGTACGATGCAAACCGATGTTCGATCGTGGGAGTCAATTTGGAGTAAATGTGTCGAAAATACAATTCACGATAGAGGGTCAGGAAAACCTGGTCTGCAATTATTAAATTAGAATCAAGAGAGCAACAAGTGAATGAACGCGAGCAAACCAAAATTCTCACCGTTATCGACTAATGGAACAATATAATCAGCCTCGGGCCAAGGAGATTTCGGATAATAGTGTTCAGTCAATCGATTAAAGGAATTTTCATAAATTCCATGTAATTCGTACACGTTATTCTCCAATATATTACGATGGAAATACACTATGAAATTTCTCACGACATCAGGAATTTCAACTTCTTGCGCATACTGCTGTTGCTGATGCATTGCTAATAGAAAATGACAGATTTTTTTTTACAATTAACCACGGTTTCTGGACTTGTTATTAATGTATGAAGTTTTAAAGATTACCCTCGTCAAGCATGTCATCGTTAACAGCAGCGTAAGGATTGTTGGCTACCACCAGATCAATTTCCAAGTCAACGTCTTCTTCGTATGCTTCAAACATATTTACAAGTATTAATGTTATCGATCTAGTACCCAAAAAAAAAAAGTTTTTAAATCTCATTCACGTGATTATAAATCAATACATTATTATTATTTTATTATTGGCCACTTGTTCATGGACAGAGTATGAACAAGAAATAAGACCAAGAATTCTACCTGTTGCAAGACCCAAACTGTCTCGTCCGTATCAATCAAACGAAATTCAACCAGAGTGCGAATGCTCTCAGTTCTGTAACACGAGCAATGATATAAAAATTTGTAATTTGGACTTGCCCATTTTTAAATCATCGACTTGTGCTTGTTTGACCGAAGATGGAATCAAGCATTGGGACTGAATCGGATACCAACCACGAATTGAGAGAGTGTTTATATAATGGTAGGTTATCTGTGTGCAGTTATGATATGTCTTACTTTATGGGTAAATATAACGGTATTTTTATTTTTCTTTGTGTCATCGGAAGAACGAGAACGTCCACCGAATGAAATTTGGTTTTATAATCGAGGAGAAGCTTATTTTGAGTTATCTAATTTTGCAGAAGGATTTCCAATATTGGCAAATCTTCCAATATCGTCGGCGAGCAAAGCGATGACATGTCAAGATCAACGCACGTGGCCTACGAGTGAGGTACACATTAATTTCTGGCTTGTAATACTCAATGTCGTAATGGTTACTATTATTTATCATGAGATTACATTACCTATATGCATGCATGTATAACGGACATTCTCAGCACCTCTTCCAAGCAATGAAGTTCCGAGAAACTCGACCCGACGTTGCGGAAAAAATTCGTCATTGTCGTTCAGCGCGCGACGCGTTGAATCTATCTCGTCGACATCCAGAATTCGTAGATCCCAGGTGGCATGAGACGAAATTAGAAATTATGGAATGGGTAGTGAAACAGAAATTTACTCAACACAAGATACTCGCAGACCATTTGTTGGCTACTGGCGACAAAATTCTCGTTGAACACACACGGTTTGATAAATTCTGGGGTGATGGCGGAAATGGCCAGGGAAATAACCATTTGGGGAAGGTATTGATGAGAGTCAGGTCGTTTATCAGGGAGGCACGAAGGGGTGGGAATGAGGATGGAGTAGGAAGATGATGATGGTTGAGAAGAAACTTGAATATATGATTTGACATTGACGTATGGGCGCAGTTTAGACCTTTTAACATAGAACTTATTAATTTAAATATAATTTACTAATTCATAATGACAATAACGACGCGTAGGATTTGTAGTATGTCTCTTTAGCAGAGACTAAAACACGCAAATTACGTACGCGAGATATTATCATTGGTGGTTAAAGACTTAACAGATATTGCAAAGGGATTGCGTTAGCCATTCAATAATAATAAAGTAAAAAGAATTCGGTTTAATAACTATTATTAATATTATTAAGATGATATTGACGATATACAACGCGACATTTAAAGATGTAATTAAACATTTATAGTAGCAGGCGAAACTGTGGCTGTGTAATTATTATTGAGGCTGACATTTTGTGACAGAACGCAAACGTTACACTAACGTTTTCTCGTTAAGGTTAGAACTCTTATTAGCAGTAAATTAAACGCATTAGTATTAGATCTGATGTTGGTAAAGTTTAATAGTGCCGTTTCAATACTGAAACATTTTTTTACTATACGTGGTACTCGTGTGCTTATACCTAGTATTAGAAGGAAAAAAGCTAAACAAGGAGATGCCATCGCTCAGTTTAATCTTGCTGCACGTTATGTCTATGGAATTGGAGTAGAAAAAGATGAACCAAAAGCAGTCGAATTGTATCAAAAAGCTGCTGAACAAGGACATGCCGGTGCTCAATTTGCTCTTGCTGCATGCTATGACAATGGAATTGGGGTAGAAAAAAATGAACAAAAAGCAGTTGAATGGTATCAAAAGGCTGCTACACAAGGAGATGCCAATGCTCTTGCTGTGTGTTATGACAATGGAATTGGGGTAGAAAAAAATGAACAAAAAGCAATTGAATTATATCAAAAAGCAGTTGAATTGTATCAACAAGCAGCTGAACAAGGAGATGCCAGTGCTCAGTTTGCTCTTGCTGCATGTTATGACAATGGAATCGGGGTAGAAAAAGATGAACAAAAAGCAGTTGAATGGTATCAAAAAGCTGCTGGATGCAAACAGGGACATGCTGATGCTCAATATAATTTAGCTGTATGTTATGACAATGGAATTGGGGTAGAAAAAGATGAGCAAAAAGCAGTTGAACTATATAAAAAAGCTGCTAAACTAGGACACATCCATGCTCAGTATAATCTTGCTGTATGTTATGACAATGGAACTGGTGTAGAAAAAAATGAACAGGACGCAGTTAAATGGTATCAAAAAGCTGCTGAACAAAGTCATGCCAATGCTCACTTTAATTTAGCTGTATGTTATAACAATGGAACTAAAAATGGACAAAAAGCAATTGAGTTGTACCAAAAAGCAGTTGAATTGTACCAACAAGCAGCTGAACAAGGAGATGTCAGTGCTCAATTTGCTCTTGCTGCATGTTATAATAATGGAATTGGGGTACAAATAGATGAACAAAAAGCAGTTGAACTGTACCAACAGGCAGCTGAACAAGGAGATGCCAGTGCTCAGTTTGCTCTTGCTGCATGTTATGACAATGGAATTGGGATAGAAAAAAATGAACAAAAAGCAGTTGAATGGTATCAAAAAGCTGTTGAACAAGGAGATGCCAATGCTCAATATAATCTTGCTGTATGTTATGATAATGGAACTGGTGTAGACAAAGATGAACAAAAAGCAGTTGAGTTGTATCAACAAGCTGCAGAACAGGGACATGCCACTGCTCAATTTAATCTTGCTGTATGTTATAACTATGGAGCTGGTGTAGAAAAAGATGAACAAAAAGCAGTTGAATGGTATCAAAAAGCTGCTGCACAAGGAGATGCCAATGCTCAATATAATCTTGCTATATGTTATGCCAATGGAACAGGAGTGGAAAAATATGAACAAAAAGCAGTTGAATTATATTATAAAGCTGCTAAACAAGGTCATGCCAAAGCTCAATATAATCTTGCCACATGTTATGCCAATGGAATTGGAGTAGAAAAAAATGAACAAAAAGCAGTTGAATGGTATGAAAGGGCTACTGATCAAGGAGATGCAGATGCTCTACTACTACTTGCTCTTGCTGTATGTTATGATAATGGAATTGGGGTAGAAGAAGATGAACAAAAAGCAATTGAGTTGTATCAAAAAGCAGCTGAACAAGGAGATGCCAGTGCTTTGTTTGCTCTTGTTGCTGAACAAGGAGATGCCAGCATTCAGTTTAATCTTGCTGCATGTTATGACAATGGGATTGGGGTAGAAAAAGATGAACAAAAAGCATTTACATTATATCAAAAAGCTGCTGATCAGGGTGATGCCAAGGCTCAATATAATTTAGCCATATGTTATAAAAATGGAACTGGAGTAGAAAAAGATGAACAAAAAGCAGTTACATTATATAAAAAAGCTGCTGAACAAGGAGATGCCAGTGCTCAATTTAATCTTGCTTTGTATTATGCTTATGAAACTGGGGTAGAAAAAAATGAACAAAGAACAGTTGAATTGTACCAACAAGCAGCTGAACAAGGGCATGCCAATGCTCAGTTTGCTCTTGGTGCATGTTATAATAATGGAATTGGAGTAGAAAAAAATGATCAAAAAGCAGTTGAATTGTATCAAAAGGCTGCTGAACAAGGAATTGTCCATGCTCAATATAATCTTGCTTTGTGTTATATCAATGGGACTGGGGTAGAAAAAGATGAACAAAAGGCAGTTGAATTACATCAAAAAGCTGCTGAACAAGGCCATGTCAGTGCACAATATAATCTTGCTATATGTTATGCCAATGGAACTGGAGTGGAAAAAAATGAACAAAAAGCAGTTGAATTATATTATAAAGCTGCTGAACAAGGTCATGCCAAAGCTCAATATAATCTTGCTGTACATTATGCAGAAAAGGATGAACAAAAAGCAGATGAATTATATGAGAATGCAATAAAACAAGCACATATGTCAGTGCAAGTTAAAAATGGTAATCATTATAGCAAAGTGGCTGGAGTAAATTTTGGCATTAATTATGTAATTGACTTCTGTCAAGCAAGGGTCAAAGAAAGAAATGTTTATGCACAATATTTTCTTGCCCGGTATTATGAAAATGGCATTGGAGTAGAAGCAAACATTCAAAAGGCACTTGAATTATATGAAAGAGCAGCTGAGCAGGGATATACTAAGGCACAAAGCAAGGTGTATATTTTGTTTGAAGATGGGCTAGAAGTAAAGAAAAAAATAAGAGAAAAAATTGAGATGGTAAGCATAATATTGAGCAATAATATTGACACATAGCAGATACAAAATAAGTGATTTTTTGTGTAAATGGGGGCAATTAATCTTTGAGTTTGTGGCATATGCCAATAGATATCCCCTAAATGTAAACAACCATATATTGTTATATAGTAATAGGTTGCTTTCATCAGCTGCTGTTACTGTATCAGATTTAGCAGACACATAGTCATAGGAGGAGAGTACTAGTAATATAAACATTAACTATTTTCATTGTTAACAGACCTTTTCAGTAATTATGCTATTTCTATTATTTTGGTATTATTATTATCATCTATTCTATACATGTATTACTTATTATTATCAAACAATAAAGAAATTTTTCCACGAATGTTTATGAGCGCCAACCTTTAAACTGAAAGCAAAATTTAATTTATTAATACCTAAATATAAAGCAATACACAACAAAATATGACACAACAGTATTCAAAGTAATTTTTTGGCAAACCAAGCTTACCTTCTAACGTCCTCATTCTCTTATAAGGCGTGCTTAATATTAATAGTATGTCTGGATCTAGGGAGGTATCCTTATTTCATCTACTGACAGTCCAGCAAGAGGAGATGTGTCATAACGAAAGGCTGAGCTTTCTGGCAGAGAATGTGATTGCGCTGTTGAATTCTCAATGCTGGATTGCAGTGCGCTAACCTCGCATTTTTACCAAGATAATCTCTTTGTATTTTCGTTTTTGTTGTAAGCGCAAGCCTAATCCTCTGCTTATTTATACTAAGGCGCCTGCATAAATGCCTCGGCAAGCAGATTTCTAAGCACCATTTAGAGGCCGGCTTTTAGTAAAAAAACTGTCTACACCCAACAAATTCGGACAAGTGTACTCGAAAAACTTGGCCGACTTCAGCCGCGGCTCGGACATTTTGCTAAGGTAACAGAATGAGAAAGAGCATTTGTTGTCAAAGATATTGATCTAACAACGATAATAATATGATAAACACGCGACACGCGATATACTGTATAAAGATAATCTGCCTTCTACCGCGCCCGGCAGCAAGCCGGCGGGTCCGGTTCATTTGCCCGACAAAAAACTATCCAAAAAAGGATAACTTCAAAATAATGCTGGTACATATTTGTCGGGCTCGGGCAAGTGAATGGCTTCCTTATCTACGAATATTACATCTAATAAACGAAAATAAACATAGAGAAAATTCTTTTCCGTCTTTTCGTTAATAAGCCATTATTTTCGACCATTTTACGGTGTTGGTTTATAAATCGGTGTAAATAGTTCTTGGGGGGAATTGAAGTAGTAGTATGTGTAAACAAACTAATGTTTATTATCTTTAGTTGCATATGAAGTCGGTGATGTATTTCAGGGTCCCTGTCACCTATTATTAAATTGAGAACAAGAATTACTGTCTACCAGTCGACACAGCCGTGAGTAATAAATCTTAGTTTACAGGTCGTTGTATTTAACTAAAAAAATTTCTAATTCCATTTGTTCGAATTCTCGGATGCGAAAAATTCCGTGGCGAATTAGGAGAAGCAATATCCATCTTAAATAAATTTTTGTCTAAACATTCTAATTCGTCTAAAAAAGTCTTTAAGTATTTCTATGAGTGCGATGGTCATTTTTCGCAAAGATACATAGGTGGACATGATGCAGAACCGATTCCTTCTGAATTGTATAATCGTTGGAGTTGCTGTTTGTTATCGTTAACTACTGGTCAGGTGCGGGTGATATTTATATCTTTTAAGAATGTGGGGTAGACTTTACCCCGCACGATTGTTGACTGCAGTAACACACTGTGCAAGTGGCGGTGGATTTAAAAAAGTCCTTTTTACATTATATTCTAGACGTGCCTTATAAGGTTCTCTAAATTTAACTTGGTTAAGATTAATAAGATAATATTGTCACGCGAATTATCACGTGATTAAAATTGCCATCAGAAACGAAAATTATTTATGCATTAATTGCACAAGTTTTTGTTCTTCCTCCTCCTATTTCCTCAGTCACGTCTCAGGAAACGGAACATAAGATGACGACCGGAACGTAAGTTAAACAGAAAGATTAATTAAAAGATGGATTTGTTGGATAACGTATGGATTAAAGTAGGAGACTTAGGGCGGGCAAGCGGGAAAGGGAAAAATAGTAATGGTAGGATGTAATTCTAAAAGATAATTGAAAACTTACATGGAGGCCGATTCAGCAAATGGTCCATGAAAACCGCAGTTCACCAGAATGCGAAGCGATAAAGTCAGATAGAAACTATAATGGTTAACCTGTTACTGAATAACCTAAATTCTTTCTCAAATAGGACCGTTCCCACCAAAGAACAGATCCTAGTACCAGAAACACTCCTAAAGAAGAGAAAAGCTCGCGCTGAAGACGAAGCGAAACGAAAGGAAGAACTTGCCAAAAAACGCAAGGTGTGTGGTTTGCATGTGCAAAAGAGAAAATGTAGCAAGGAATTTCATAATATTTAGTGTTGAAGGTCTGCTTGTAAGATACGAATCTGTTTATTTATGATGATACCCAAAAAGTCATAATTGTCATGTTGAGAACCATAACCATTTATACCATCTTTCGGGTCTGATAATATAGAAACAGATGGGCGTTTTTGCTAGTTGGAGAGGAGATTAGTTTTTAATCCAATATCTTACACGGGTAATTTCTCATCACACCCCATGTTGTAGGAGGCTAAAAACAAAAGAAGGGTAATTTTCAAGAGAGCGGAGAAATATGTCCGTGAATATCATTCGACCGAGAGAGAGAAGATTCGACTGAGAAGATTAGCCAAAGCTGCAGGCAATTTTTATGTTCCTGCTGAACCAAAATTGGCCTTTGTTATTAGGATTAAAGGGTACGTTATTATGAATCAATAGTGAGAATTATTATAAGCCTCTTATACTTTGTTGATGTTTCGCAACGTAATTTTCACCCCATTATGCAAGCTCCAATTTCTCGAATAATTATGACGCATTTTGCTCTAACAGCATTCTACTTTCGTTACTACCAGTATCAACAAAATTCCGCCCAAACCACGAAAAATCCTTCAATTACTTCGTCTTCTTCAGATCAACAATGGCGTTTTTGTACGCTTGACAAGAGCCACCAAGCAGATGCTGCAACTTGTCACACCCTACATTGCATATGGTGAACCGAATTTGAAGTCAGTCCGTGAACTGATTTACAAAAGAGGATATGCCAAAGTGAATAGACAGAGGATTCCTATAACAGATAATGCAATCATTGAACAGAGTTTGGGAAAATTCGGTCTTATCTGTGTTGAAGATTTGATCCACGAGATTTATACCGTTGGACCACATGTGAGTGTTTCCGAGTGAGATGCAAAATAGTTAGACTCGGATGTTGTTAACGGGCAATTTCCATATATTGTGTCCGTTTAAAATCCCGGAATTACATGTTACTGATTACTAACCAACCCGCGTACCGTCTTATAGTTCAAACAAGCAAATAATTTCCTCTGGCCCTTCAAGTTGTCAAACCCTAATGGCGGATGGTCAACTAGGAAATTCCGACATTTTGTTGAGGGTGGAGATTTCGGTGATCGTGAGGCGAAAATTAATGAATTGATTCGTAAAATGAACTAAACTCGAACAATAAATTGACCTGTTTGAAAATATGGGAGCAGAAAATCAAATACATATGTTCATAGTCGAGGGCAACTTTCCATGTATTATTACGCATGATCAAACTGTGTAATGATATTATCGCAAATGTCACGAAGAGAGATGCCAACTCTATAAAACAAAGCCCGACAAGTAAATCCTCACATAAAGTTTAGTGTCAGCTTTATTTACAGCGAGTTAAATTTCATTTAATCTCTAAGTATTCATCTAGTAATAAATCAATATTTCATTCGATGTCTAGCAAGACTCAAATGTCCAGTTATCTAACATAGTAAATACATAATAATTGAGAGCCTACTAAATTAACGCAGATGCTAATTATATCCCTGCGCCCAATCAATTCAAGGCAGCACCCTCTTTTCAACACATAACTTTAAACATGAAATGTAACCAAAAGTCATTCTCAAAGTAGCACTTCTGTTATGATTAATGTCTTTGAAATCAGCAATCATCTGTTATCGCATTAACCTTCCCTTGATAAGTTCATATCGTATTCTCTGTCGATAATACTGCATGTCTGACTGTTCGAAATCAAGATCTCCTCCGCGTGAGAGACACTCTACGAATTGACAAGTGAAAACACCGCAATCATATCCGTTCTCCTGTTTTGGTGCTGTCTCTACAATCCACGACCATTGTGATTTGTCTAAATTTTGACCAGTTTTGTCTTTGTGCGTCTGCGCCAGATAGTACATTATTGTGTCGAATGTCATGGTTGCGTCTGTCCTTGGCATGCTGTCATAAATCTCTATCAGCCTGTCAGGTAATCGGATAGCAGCCAAAAACCAGTGGGAAGCTTGATTTATTGGTATAAGAATAAGGTCCTGCTCAAAGACATCGATCTATGAATAACAGTGATGTTAGCCGTCTATAATTCGTTACGAGACTCGAGCATACAACAACACATACTTTAGCCCTTCTTGCCCATCGTTTTACTCCATCATAACCTTTCGTCGCCAAAGTTGTGTAGAAAAACGTGTTAAAAATGTGCACTTTTCGACGCGTTTCTCTCTTTGCGCGGTTAAGGAGCATTTGGAGATAGGCATTTATGACCTGAAAGTTTAAGTCCGCAATTAGATTTCTCAAATTCTATAGAATGTCGCTAGCTACGTTTGAAATCAATACAAAAGTTAAGTACTTACTTCATCATTTAACCACTGACCAGGTCTTAATGTATCAAAATCATGCAACGTAATTTCGTACTTTTCAATTCGCGCAATAATTCCGCCTTTTACTGCTGCAGACGATCGGGCAACAACGATCTACACGATAAAAAAAAACACCCCAGCATATCAGCTTCATTATTACTTGTCATGTTATGATTTAAGGTCGCAATAAATTGCTTACCTCCTCCAGCTGCTCTTTCGTCATTATCCGTAACGGGCGAGGCTAATAGCATGCAATTCATAGATTAATACTTTGGTAATTATCAAATATTAAGCGGAGTAGACAATTGCGATATATTTAAAAAAGTAATAAATCATGTTAAAGCCTACCTTTCTTGCTATCTCCAGATCTTTCAAAAACTTCTTATTAGCTTCCTGGTCTTTCTTTTTTTCGAGTTCTTTTGCCCGCCGGTAACTATAATTAGTGATGTGAGTAACAACTCCTAATGTAATAAACAACAAAATTTACATACTTTTCATATTTCGCCTGCAGTTTCTCTTCAAATTTGGTTAATTTTGCAGCGTTAAAAGACAGATTACGTGTCGAATTCATTGATGTGTTCTCCGTAAGAGGATTGGTTGTTTGTTTATTTTGTGTCTTTTTCACAACCCCTCTCCGCGTATCAGAGCGGGGGATGCTGGTCAACTGCCTGACCGGAGTTTCATCTGCTGAGATTGAAATTATTTCGTTTTTTTTTGGTACCGAGTCAGACTATGGAAAAACAGTTTTGAAAAAAAATAAAATAATAACGTTTACCTCTTTGTAAGGTAGTCGCGGCAGACGGTCTTTGAAGGCCATTTAATGAATCCACGGAAAACCTCCGTGTCTCCTCGTCTGTAAGCTTTCGAAATCGTGCAAGATAATTTTGTATATTTTGAGGAAGTTGCATCAAGTATTCCATCTCTATCAGATTTGTATGGGAAGCATTAGTATGTTAGACCTCCTGATTATATAAGCTTCTTGCTTTTTCTTACCATCCGGACGAACATTCCCTCCATCCAACATTCGCTGCAAATAGTCTCGTGTCGCTATTATTTTCATGGCAAATTCATTTGTATGCTTTAGCATCCTATTGACAGAGGAGGCCCACAAGTCTCTTATTGCTGGGGCTGAAACGGTGGTGGTGGGAAAGGGAGGAGAAAGAAAATGGTTGGTGTTATTGAAATACAAAACATTGACTTTCTGGAATCAATAGCTCACCCCAACTAGGTGGCGGCTTTTCGATTGACTGCGACCCTATAAACAAAACGGGATAAAGTTCTGCGGTCAGTACGAATTTTCCTTTAACTTTTGGTAACAAATATACTCATATTTGAACTCAGACGAATTCAATTGCTATAAAAAGTGATTTAAAGTTCTAGACAACACATTGTCATATTATAGATAACGGCTGTCGCATTATTCATTATAGCTGGTATTATACGACACCGATCTGTGCATTCAACTGTGCTAATGCTTACTTGTCTCTTCCGAGGCTCGGCCAAACGTTCGTTCCAAGTCTTCCCGCGTAAAGGTACCCTCCATCCATGTGGAAGAGTTTCCCTTTAGCACAGAATGTGAGTATGAATCGAAATTTGACGAGTAAATGCCGGGCATCGTCTTGGAGAGTTTCCCTACGTCTTGAGTTTCTTCCATTCTTGCTCTTTTCGGACGATGATTATAGGGTAAATAAGTTCGAGCCGGACTTCGACTTCTTCTTGTTTTTGTTGGCATTGGCTTCACGTAGGTACTTAGTAAATTTATTCTCCCCAGTTAGAATAAAATCAGCTCTCATATCCAGTGCAAGTTAAATAATCCCGTGACTTTTGTCATACCTTTGTGTGATGTTACATAATTTATCACGAAACATTTGAACGTGTAAACAAAATGTCTTTAATCAAACGACCAGACCAACCGCAACGCAAAAGTATCTCACGAGCGTTTAGAGCGTCGTCAGTTCCGTTAAATAACAATGTAACCCCGTTGGATATTTTAGAAGGACAGTTGGCCGGGCTGGCAGACGCTTTTGCAGGATTGCAGGCGAAATTCGAGAATTTGCAAGAGCTTCATGAGACTCTTCTTACATTCAACCAGTCGTTTTCGGCATTTTTATATGGAATAAAAATGAATGCACATTGCGTGGAATTTCCAGAGGTATTGTATTCTTTAGTCGGAAATTACGTGTGGAATTGTATATTTATCTCCATGATTCAGTTCTACCTTGTTACCGACTTTGCGCGCACATAGGCACCGACAGCAGAATCTTTCCAACATGTCGCACAAAAAACAGGTATTAATCTACTTTCCGGCCATTTGCTGTTCTTTTTCTTTTCGTTTAATCCATCTCTTGATGCGATAATTCTAGGTTGTGTTCCAATAACGCCGCGTAAACTCTTCCTCCGTCCACCTCAAACTCCAAAGCGCGAACCCGACCCTCAACCAATACTGGAATTGGAGCCGGAGCCGGAACTGAAACCGGAGCCAAAAGTAGCGCCGGAAATAGAGCGCGATATATCTGATGAAGAAGACTCGTCTCAGAAAGAAGAACCAAAACCGCCACAATCATCACAAAGTAAAGTTAAAACAACCTCTAAGCAAGTAATTCAACCGAGCAAATCCAGAGCTATGAACATTAAGGTAGAGCCTCAATGAATGGAATTGATATTAATAAAATAGTCTGTCAGATGTTGGCTGGTTTTTGGGGAGAAGTTCAAACAACTTTTTATTTGTAGAAATTTGTTACGAGGCTTACGAATGGGCTTCCGTTAAAGTATAGGGAACAACAGGTAATTATTCCATTTGATCGATAGTACTTAATCAAATGGTTTATCCTTTGCAGACAATCTAATTGTTTTTTCTATCCTGAAGCCCCATCGTAATAACATGGAACTCATGGTAAAGCTACTAGTTACTAACCCGGAAGGACTGTAAGTCTTGACTCTTGTCAAATTGATTCCTGCGTTCGCCTATCTTATATGTCATATTGTTCATCCTTTTTCATCACGTTTGCTTCCTTGTATAATCGAAGATATATGCAAGAGTTTGTTCGACAGACTATGATGCCGCGTGTCCGTTGTAATGAATATCTCAACGCGTTAGTGCACGCGAAGGAAGTAGTGAAAATTAACAGAAAAGGACAATTGTTCAGATTGGACCCTGTGAAGTATCCCTTCGCCAAATAAAATCAGCCAATATTACACCACTAGCATCCAAATCTATCATGGCCAACGTGCTCTCGTCTGGCCACATCGCCGATACAAGAATAGTGTATTTCGATAAAAATAATATAATTTGATGCCGAATGAAGACCTACAGATGCCTCTCGACCTGTCAACATGATTGCTTAGTGCAAAGACTTTCGACAAACGAATTATTACTCACAAGTATTTTGACAGACGAGAGATCTCTCACAGCTTGAAACAGTGCGATATTGCAAATTTACTATAATAAAGTGACTGGTTGTCAAATTAACTGTTGTCCTTATTATTATCTCTCAAGTTTTATATGTTAACGTGATGATATTAATGTACCAAAAAAAAATAAATGATTGTCTCATTCTCCGACAGGGACGCAAACCATACTATTATCTGTGACAGTTTATTATTTATGACGTCTCAGATGCGCGGCAGTAACCTTTGCAGTGAGACCATTTGTATATAGTTTGAACGCTGAAGAAAATTTCTGGTTATTAAATGACTTGTAAAATGTTCGTTATGAGAGGTTGTTCCTTTGCAGAGGGTTCTTCGACTGAACATAAACTATTCGTGTAACTTCCCGTTTCTGAAAGGAATAATACACACTACGCATAATAGTGACTTTTCTTTCTTGCAATATCACTTTATACCCCTCAGTAAACTTTCCTGACAGCACGGAAAGCTTGTCAAGCAGAACAAAGTAAAAATGCAACAGATAGCAGTAAAGGCAACGACGAAGCCGGCAACAATAGCAGTGCAAAATTCTCATTATTCCTTTCAACTTGGTTTTTAGGCACTACTGTGTTTAATGTGGGTGAAATACAGCCACTCTGGTAAATAATATAATAATAAATAATAATAAAACAGTAAAACCCTTTAATATCAATCATGTTATTGGTTACGCGTATTTACGTTACACGATGAAAATGTATGAACATCTATGTATAATTGCTAATTTTTGGAGGTCAGGCGTGTAAACATACGGTCAACGTATGTGGAAATGTTTAGAAAAGACGCGAGGTAAAAGATTTATGAAAGTACTTATGTTCAGATATCTATGACACTCAAGGCTCTCTCACAAATTTGGCAAGTAGATAAGTTAAAGGGAAATTGGCTCTTGCCATAAAGTGACGGTTGATAGTTAGATAAACAAATCATAGGTAACAGCGAAACAGTAAGAAATATATTGACAACAGTAGCATAGTTAGTTAACGTTTCTCCATTGTTTTTAGAAAAGCCGGAGCTCAGAGAAAGAGACAAATCACGCAACAACGAAACGCTTAAGGTTCAAAGATCCGCCTTACGGTGTAGACAAATTGCAAGCAAGGTTTTTTATTAATATTTTCTTTCCCATACATAACCGAATGGCTCACACCAGTATTTCGTTTTATTATCGGTAATGAGCGTAATCAGTATCTTTCTGAAAATAGCTTCATTGACATCTACCGTATCTCGGCAGAAGCATTTCTTACAATAGTAATACAAGTAACATATCACATGTTGTGCTAAAGGACGGGAGTCGGGGGACGACACGTTAGCGTTGCAGTAGATTCAAACGATTAACCAGGAAAAAGTAGTTATACGATGCATTACATTATCTCGACGCGTATACGCGACGGTAAGTCCTAATATTCGACAGTCTTACCTCGAAGAGTGAATAAGAGTTAAGAGTTGTCAATCAAAGTTTTTGTCTTTATTATTTTGTTGACCTGGACAACCTTTTTTTTTAACTTACGCAGCATTTAATGTAACAATAATATATCAATCTGTAGATTGTGCCTTGTTGCACTGCAATTCAGAGTGAGTATGTCTAGTTTGACTACTTACGAATTATCTGGTTGTAGTCGTCCAAGACGCTCGTAAAGCTCTCGACACTGCGAGCCCAATGTTAGAGCTATAATCTAACAAAGCAGATAGTCAAAATTTTCTCCAATCCAAGCTGTAACTACTTTCCCAAGGACAGGTTACGCCAAGAAATCAAGGCTTATGCTGCGGATGAATAATAACGGACGACTACTGGTTCTTCTTATTAATTATTATAAATATAAAATTAACAAGAATTCCCATTAGCAAGTTTGGATGAATTTAATAAGAATAAAGCACACGCAGGTAAATTATGACAGACGGATGAAAAATGTTGAAAAGTACATGTAATGTGAAAAGGTTAGTACATTAGCTCTAGAATGAACGGGTCTGCATGTAATGCTCATCCGTGTGACGTTTTAATAAATACACAAATGCATGATATATTCGATGTTTATTAATGTTAGACGAAACCACATCTATAGTAATATAAAAGCTATTTTGTAAATACAACTTACTTGATCCCCCGTACGCACACATTCTAACATCACTTTACCCAAATTTTCTCTAACAAAAAAAATGTACTTTAAATCTTTAAAGGATTTTTCCCAGTTAAATTTAATATTGCTATTATTATAGAAAATAGAGACTGAACAAAAACCGCCATATATGCGCGACACGAAGGTTCACGAAACAGTTCGCATAGTCCACAAAATGATAAGATGGTAGTAGAAATCAGAAATCCATTTAATATTTTCTCGCTCTTAGTTGCCTTGCTATCTTTGAGAGCAGTAATGAAATCGTACAAATCAAAACAAAAACTGGCCAGTCCGAGAACAACAAAGAGTAATATACATGCAACAACACAGTGCATCTGGATGTTTGATGCAGAATTGCTTCTGTTTGATGCATTGCTTTTGTTTGATTGTCGTTCAATGTCTTGGTTATCATCTCCTGCCATCTTCAATTAGATTACTGTCCAGTTAAAAGTTTTGACGCAAGACGTTATTTGAAGGATGCGTATAGACAAGAAAGCGAGATATATATTATCGCCGTGTGTGAGCTGAGTAAATAAGATGACATTGTCAATAGGACGAAATGTTATGTCAAAACATGGACATCATACTCGCTTACAGTGATTGAGGACCAATGCTAGCGTAAAACTCAAAATATTTCAGATTTGAATAGAATGAAACCAATAAATATACTTGAAATTTTCAAATGCAATTAATTCATGTTGACGAAACTTGCTTCTATTTATCATGAAAAAGTGGAGATACACAATCAACCGTTTGGGGTTGAGTAAAAAGGGGACATCCAGCCACAGCGTGTCCGATGAGCAGGTGTTTGTTGGACATGTTACAACATAATTGGGTTACTATTTTTAAATACAGAGTACGATACGGAACGCCACAGGAGAATTCAACGTTGGAACTTACAGTCCGAGACAATTGCTATAAATGCGATTCACATTTTCGTAATTGTATCTTAATTGAGTTACTTGTAAACTCTTACTCTAAAACTCTGAGCTACTGATACAGATACGCATTATTAAGCCTATATCATAGCTTTGCGAAGTTTATTTATATACGAATACTGAGAATCCATCAACAATCTTAATATTATTAACGACTCCGGAATATTATACTATATATGTCTTAGGATGCTGCATGAAACCTATTTCGTTCGTCATGCGCCACAAATTCGTTAACCCTGCATATTAATATCATTTTTCAAGTGAAAAAAAAACCATCATTGTGATTACCGATATCTGAAATTGCCTTTTATAATCAAACAATGACGACCATAAATGGGCAATTCTACCTTCAAATAGGAATACTACGGTAAGCACATTGTTTACTTTCGGAATGGAAAAGCACCAAAGAACGTCATGCTCTACTGGGATAACTGAGGAGGTGGCATCATAATCGTCATTGTCTTAAAAATTGAAATCTTTGGTCCGTGATTCTCAACTTCTACGTAATCACGAGAATGGGTTTTGCATTGGTAATATAGAGTGAATAGACATTATAACCATAATAAGTTCAGAAGGTAGTAATTACCAAGAGAAAAAGCCCATACTACCAAGATAGGAGGACTTTCGATAAGTGACAGACACATTTTGTAGAAAAGCTATTAAAAAGGGGTACATTGGCATTGTCAAGCTATTGTGATAGCCAGAATATTGTTCACTCATCAGAATTTGCAATCAGCATTTTGAATGCATCGTTTGTGAAAGAACGCGCCGGCACGTTGTCATAATTTGACGTGCCCAAATAGCATTAGGTATCGTCAACATTATTATTATAGCACACAGTACTGTAATCTGACAACTCTCAAAAATGATGACGCATTGTGATATTTATCACATGACCTTTTCGCGCTCCAAATTTCTTCCAATTTACATTTAACGTCTACAATAAGTTGCAATGTCAGATGTCCCAGCTCGAGAAAATACGACGGCATACAAGGCTATAGATCTAGACCCTCATTTTACGAGAGTCGTTAGATATTTTCGACCGTCAGACTATGTCGCATGGGGAGCCGTAACCGCTAGTGGGCCTGCATTTGTATTAGGATTTGGTAAAGTTGGGGTGTTGGAAATGTTACATAGATTGAATATTTGAGAAGAGTTGTTATAGGAACGAGTAGAACGATAGTAGTGTAGACAGTGAAAATGGTTCTGATTACGAGAGTCTATATTGGCAAAATCGGTCTTAAGCATACTGTTAACGCTTAAAAATGTAGGAAGATCTTTTTTAGCGCGCGATAGAAACCCGGTTTTCGATCCTCGAATCACACTGATGAATCCTGTACGTCTTGTTCGATATTTGATCTAGAACGCATAAACCCAACGTATACCGGTCCAGCCGGGGTAGCATCGATGCTGAGATATGCTACGCTTCTCGGAGCTTGTGCTGGATTTATGTTTGCATATCAACGCAGCTCATGTAAGTTGTTATGATATCAAACATATTAAATGTGATCTTTCTTGTATTTGTATGATTTTCTCCCCACCATTTTGATGTAATCACCCTTGCAAAAAAATTTTTATGGTTTATTTTAGTACGATTTTGGGGCTGGACAGAAAATCAAAGAGAATACGAGAAAGATTTAAGAGAAATGCGCCAGAGAGTGAGGGAGGGAAAGCCGTTGTACGGAGCTCCATCGCAACCCGAATATGCTCAACAGGCCTCAAGTTGGCATTCCAAGTTTGCGGCACTGAAATTTGGTAATGTAGAAGAGATTAAACGCGTTTAAAGGGGGGATGGTGTTAACATATTAAGACCTATGATGGTAGCCCAGTATTGGTTAAGCTAATCCAATTTTTACTAAATCTCAGCTGCATATCCATGGTTCAACTTTGCCAACCATAATCAGCATGGAGTGGACACCAGTCGTTATTACGAGGATACAGATTCATCAAAATAGACACCCACCCATTCATTGAAATATCCTCGAGTGATTCTGCTGGTTAAAATAGTCGAGTCTAGGCAGAACTTGTAATAAATTATGAAGGAAAGTTTAATCGATTATTATTGCAGACTAGCAAATTTGCATTTGACTTTCATCTAAGTTGAAAATTAGCAAGCATCCATATAGTAAGGAAAACCGAATGGAAAACAAAAAACGAAACTATAGATATGCAAATCAACCGAAGCAGGCCATATACCATACATATTATATACTACTCTTTATACTCTTAATAGTTCTTTTTTCTATTCCCGGGGAAATTCACATATCTGACAGACACTTGCAGATGATGGATTATCAAAAGTACATCGTTTACAACTCCATTTTCCTTTGTGAACTTCTTGACCGCCTTATTAAATATAAATTTGGATGTTTTAGATAACGTCAAATTTAATAGCTCGCTATTTGTCATACTTACTTTCAATAAGAGCAAGCAACTTTTGCCATCCCGGCATCTCAACAAGTGCAAATGCATCTGCTGCATTGTGATGTATTGCCAGTTTTACTAATTGACTGAATTCGTTCTAACGATACAAACATCAAGTAGTATAACAGCGCATTACATATTAATAAAGAGTCGTATTAGTTAATGACAAATATACGTATGCACATACATTGTCCAATTGATCAAGTTGTTTAATATATGCCAGCACGTGGAAATTTGAAACTGCCGTTATCAGTTGACTACCGCCTTGATCTATTGCAAGATGACGTTGCAAAGTTTTAAGGTCCTGTTTCCCAAGTTCATCTCGATTTTCAATTGGAAATGCATCCGAGGATGTGAAAAGCGGATTCGGAGAGAATGGGAAGCCATGAGTCACCTGTATATCAATAAAGTTAATCTTGGCAAAAAAATAATACCTAAAAGTCAAACTTACTAATTGAGTTACTTACATTAACAAGAAAGTATTCGACAGGAAAGCATGGCTTTGCACTTTCTTGGACCTCGAGTCCATAATTATTTTTATACTTGTAAAACACTTCAGGCACGTATCTCTGGTTTGTGCTCTCTTTCACTCTCACGACACTCGGATCAACACTAGCCTCAACAAGGTCTGCTGTCACCATTGCGACACAAGTATTTGATACTTGATACGCAGAGACATCAACATCGCCGTCCTTATTGCCGGATACAATGCATGTGACGAATTTTGACCCAAATTTGCCGGTTGGTGAGTATCGCGAAGGGTTAAAGTAGCGGGACTGCATTGTGGCAGTGAAGCAGCATTCTTGAGAAGAGAGAAAATAGGAATTGATGTGGCGTTTGCAGATTACTTTGCCTTGGCCTGTTTCATCGTCAGTCAGGTCTGTGTAAATCATCCCAACCTAAACAAAAAAATACAAGTAAATTGTCGGTTGAGGAAATTAGATGGAATGGGCTAATGGAAAAAAAATAAACAAGATGTGTGTCTAACTTTTGTCGGCGAGATCAACCGCATTCAACCATTAAAGTTGAATGATCTCTTCACAATCCGTCTCATTTTCTCCCCATTACCTTTGTCAAACCACAAGCTTCCGCTGCATCATCAATAATCTTTTCATCGTTCCACGGAAGCCCTAAACTGATGCCATCGACTTCACCTTCCTGTGGCGGTTCATAAATAACTTCAACAACTGCTTTGATACCTAGAGGGACATCGGGATATGGTTCGTATTTTCCGTACATGTAGCCGAAACGTTGCAAACCTGTTGAGCGCCAGTAGTTAATGAAATTCTCAATATGCGATGAACTCGAGAATTCCACATGGTCTACCATACGGAATGACTAAATTATACAATGACAGTTAGTTAAATATGCATGCCCACGTGTTAATAATTATCGCCACGGCCTTTCTAATCATGTTCCTACACTCATATAATAGTTCTCCATCGAATTCTCTATTTTCGTCTACCTGAGGTTGTAAAGTAATAGCACCTGGTTGACATGAAGTGCAAATACCCTCCGGCCAGGGAGCATGACCTCCAGAACAATTTTCCTTGACGCGAAAATCAGGTTCTTCTAGCGGTGGAATAAACCTCGCGTTTCTAGAGTTTTTATTGGATTCTTTACGTATCTTGCGAAGATATGAGTGGAATGACATGTGTTTTATGCCTTTTTCTGCAAGATACTTTGGGTCGTACGGCTTTACATGAAAATCAGATATTGTCAGTCATATAAATTTCCAATATAATTTCACGTTGCTTGTAATCAGACAATATGGACATACCTCTAACGGCATACAATAATCACACATTCCATTATTCGAATGCTTGCAACTACAATATAACACGGTACCAAACATGTACACAACAAACATTACAACCAACCATCCATAACAAATTTCAGAACATCACAAAATCCCCATCTCATACAATTTAGGATCTCGCCCTCTGGCAATTAGGCCCTCTTGTTTTTCCAAAAAATCATCCACAGGATGTTGTTTTACTGAAGGGAGTGGAATAGACGTTGACGCCGACGGTAATAATGTTGTTTTTGATTCTAGTTCCTGGCGTGGTGGTCGTTCTTTCTCCTCTTGGTTTTGTTGCTGTTGTGATGACGACGACGATGATGCTAGTGATGATGACGCGGCAGAGAATGACGAACCAACCTCAGGATCGACAAGAGTTACATAGAGCATATCGCCGTGACTGAAAAAGTCGAAATCAGAATGCTAATGCACAACGAATTAAAGATCAACGTAATGCAACTGCGTTTACCGAATTTCAAGATGATCAAACGTTTTTCCAATCAGTCCTGATATCGGTGATGCGGTGGCGGGTTTGGGGCTGTTAGATATCAATATTCTATTCGGATCAGAGAGTTTTAAATGTCGAACAATCTAAATCAGAAACAAGTAGATGAATGGATGTAAACGCTAATGATAAACAGTTGTCATGTATAGTAATAATCGAAATCAACCTCGCTCGTTATAGTTGTAATGTCATCATCTGGATTAGTTTCTATTCGAAATGTTCCTTGTTCACTTCTAATGCGGACTATCTAGAAAAGAAAAGTTTGTACAGTTAGTGAAATTAAACCATTTTCCATACTTTATTAAACGCATTGAGATCAATACCATTTTTCTTTTTTCTGTCTAACAATTATATTTATTTACAGAGAGAACAGTTAACTGAGACCGACCCTTTATATAGTTTCTCAAACTTACGTGGATGGCGTGACGCAATGCAATCGATAGTCGTACTGGTGCTAGGTGCCACCATATTAATAGTGTGATCGGCTACGTAAAAATTTCCATATCAGGAAACTACTTGTGGGAAAGCAACAACAATGCTTCGATACCATTCTTTTTGTCTCCCCTGATTTAATAGACTTATAGACGGTATAACGATAATGTCACAACCACAAAAGACTAATAACCACCCCGAAACAAAGCCACCGCCTACGTCAAAGCCTATACAGTGGGTGAAGCTCAAGAACGTTGTCGGTAACACTAACGCCGCTACTCACGAAGCTTTATGGAAATTAATAAATAAAACGTAAAGATCTGATCTCTGACGGGAATAAAACTGTCCTGATTTGGTAGTATGCTAACTGTGCACGTTATATGGGATAGCTTACCGCAGATTGAGGGTAAAGAAGCTGAAATACGGAAAGCGTATGCGAAGAAAGTGCGTAAGGAAGAGTTACCTAGCGATGTGTTAAACGCAGATCTACTGGCTGCTGAGAAGAGGAAGGCGTTAATAGGCTTTGCCTGTCAGACGCGGGAACTGTGTTTGAGATCGTTAGCTGCAGTTAAGTTTGCTCAACATGCGGATAAGATACGGCAGGCTGAGGTAAAGTATCATGTAGAAATAAGAAGAGATTCGAATCTCGGACGACAATTGTGACTTGTAAACAAGAACAAATTTACCTTCACATACTCACATTTGAGGACTGATTATTTTAGAATCAACATCAGGCAATACAACACCAGAGTAAAGTGTTCAGCGAAATGTGCCGATCTCTAGAAGAATTTGCCATGTTTGTTCCGGCTACAAGGTGAGGTCGGAGACAGCGATTGTATAAGCGGTCAAACTAATCAAATAGTCGAGTCGTAGACATTAATGAAAGTGAATATATAATGAACAATATCTTTATCATCTCAATTAATTTAGTAATATAATTTATTTGTTCCCGTTTTGTTTCAACCAAAGTTTTTGTTTTGTTCCTTTTACTGTTTACACTCTATCACACACATCAATGACTTACTTTGTCAATTTTCTAGTGTACGACAATTTGATCTTTTAACAGGTATCGACATTTTAACGTCGGGATCATATCTACGCTTTCCCAAATGGATAAAAGTAAATCATTACGCAATTAGTTATTTCTGCTGAATTGATATCCGAATATGATTAATACTCAATTCTTACTATTCAACATTCTTATAGGAGACCTTGGCACCTGAACCAATTGACGATGCAGAAGTACAAGAAGTGTTGCAGAAATTAAATAATACGATACAAGTACGATTAATGACAGAAGAAGTTGTACCGCCTGCAATGAAAACATATCGAGTACACGATGGGAGAGTTACTTTTGTAGTGCCTGATGAGTTTCAGGTATGTGAACGGTAGCGTGGTGGAACGTTAAACATTACTTGATGACCGTTAAGGATGCATTTATCGTGATCCTCATTATTATTGGTAATAATTGAACTACTTACAGGTTTCCCTTACTTTGGGTCCCGAGAAAGACTCACATTGGCACGTTGTAGATGTAAAAATATTCGTCCAAAACGCCCGTGACAAATTCCTTGGTGGTAAGATTTTTTTTATTATTTACGCGATTTCTTTTTCTTTCCCCCAAAACTCTGCCTAACTCTCTCATACCTTTCCAAGAATCTGATCTCTCATTCCACGAACATCAACTCGGCTACATTCGGGAGCAGGCTCAAATGCTTCTTAACCCATACCCTCAAATGTTTATCGAAAAAACTTCCCAAGTCGCACCTAAACCTCCCAAGACTTCCAAAGACCCCCTACCAGACGTTAAGAAACGATTGGCAGCGAGTAGATTTGTAAGGAGAGAGAGCAGGGAGAGTGATGAAGGGCCTTCTGCGGAAGCGGTTGGAGGCAGACAGGGGCAGGCTGGACAGTTGCAATCAAGCCAGTTGTCTAGAGAAACGTCAAACATTTCGCAGACAGAAAGCTCTCCGACAGCCAAATTTATCCCGCTAGTGCATTTATATGAATATCTGCATGGATTGGCGTTGGATTTGCAGTTGGACGTTATGTGGCAGCAGGTAAGATTGTTACTATGGGGTAGGTGATGCTTTAAATCCAGTAAAATAATATGAATCTAACCGTGGAGAGGAGAATAGACAGAGAAACGTTTGAAGATTACTATTTGTCTTACACGCAATTATTATATATTATGATTTATAGTCAAAACACCTAATGCGAACAAGATATTACGACCACTTGGCCGTGAATATGAACGAAGAGCGAACAGTGCTTCGATTGCATTATTGGAGGTAATTCTGTTGCGGAGTGGACTTAATTTCAATTGGGCTTCGTGTTATTAAGGATGCTAAAAGAGTGTATTGTGTTAACAAAACGATAGGGGTGGATCTTCGGCAAATGTTGGAACATCTTCCAGATACATCAGTGGTATTGGTAAGTGTGGAATTAGGTTTTGCTGATGTGACATAGTAGTTGACAACTATAAGATTTTATACGACCTCATCTTACCAATTACATGGTCTCCATTTTTCTTTCAAATTTCCTTTCCGTTATTCCTTCCTTTCCCCTCTTTTCTCTTTTCTCAATTCGCTCCACAAGGCCGTTCTGCTCTCTCTTCAACTGCCCACTCGAAACGAAACCTGCAACACAATCCCCACAACGTTATAGAAATTTCTATCGTACAGGATACTCCAAAAGAAGCCCTCGTTCGAGCGACGCATAGGTCACTCTCTCGTACGACTTGGGCCAATGATACGTCTCTCATAAAACCAGGGACTATAAATGGTGGTCGTGGATTGAATTATCCTAACAAGAGGTTCCAAGTAGGGTGGTGCGGGTTTTTTGGAGAAGAGAAGCCGACGTGGAGGTTTCTGAATTGGAAGTTTGTATGTAGGCACAGGATATATATGGGTTGGACATCATCGCGTACGGAATGAGTCATCAAAGTTACTAACTTTTTTTTATGTAGAATCCACGTAATGTAAATATAGAGCATTTATTGCTCCATGTTGGACGCACACAAGCGGACATGTTGATAAGAAGGTTCTATGATGCGTTGACAAGCACTTATGAGAAAAATACCTTCGCAGAGGGAGACGTTGAATTGGTCGAAGGACGTGATGGTACATAGACATTAATTTAGTTTTATTACATGGATTATGCATAATCAATTATTGGAATAATACTTCATTGATCTAACTGTATCGATCATTTATTTCTTCATAATATGCAAAAGTTTTCCGTACAAACAAACCCAAAAACACTTCATCAACAGATATAACGGCTAAAAAACTATTCAAAACGCCTACTCTACGTATTCGATTTGGAAAAGGAAGATTTGTAAATGTTAGTATTGATATACGAACCGGACTGTTGTTATTTGAAGAAGCAAGTAAGGGGATAGGAAAAGGTAAGAGTGGAATGGGATCTGTATTAGCAATTTTATGGCAATGGATGTTAAAACATCAAATCTTGCTTTATAGCTATGACACGGCGATACGAGGAGGCAATCGCTAATAATTTCTCGGGTATAGTTAATCTGCTGATAAATTGGAAGTTCAAAGTAAGAATTTACGCATGAATGATAAATACCCCTTCCCCAAAGCCATAGCGGTTAATACAAATCTTGTTACTTCATATAATCATCAATTAGACATTAGTTGAACAAATAGAAAAAACAGCAAAATTCTTAGAACTCGAGGTCAAACGAGACATACGATTGTCTCCAGATGGTATGTTGATTTACGCTACACTACTTTAGTTTGAAACGTCCGTCATATATGCAGACGTTTAATTGTGAAAATATTCCGACAGATTGTAGTCGATTTGGCACGACGAATCCCTTATTCTTAGGCTTCCCTCAAAATACCTATGGAGATATTTCCGAATTTCAAAAAGATCAATATTATTTGGTAGCCGGTTTCTCTGATGGAAAGATGAAATATTGGATAGTGCAATTAAGGTAAGAAATCGATTATCTATTTACAAATTGTGTAGTATCGTGCATTTTGTTATCATGTCTCCTTACACTCTGTTTCATATCCTCTAGTCACCATGAAGATGCTCCTGACCCTCTTTTCAGACCGTGGGTGAAAGGCTTGACTCACAAACTTAGCTCACTACAACCACTCGATCTTGAGCTTCTTAAAAATTCTTCGCCACCTGCCTTATCTTCCTCGTCTTCCTCGTCTTCTTCTTCTTCTTCTTCGTTATCGTCTCTTCCTTCCTCAACATTTCCGTTATCTCAAATAGATGCAGATCCCGGCGGAGACAGTAACAAAGACGTGAATGGAGATGTGAGACTTGGGACTGGAAAGAGGAAGATGGGGGATAAGGATGAATTAGACATACAAAAGAGAAGACCTGTGAAGCGGCAGAGGTTTGATGATGAGGGAGTCGTAAGGGTACAAGGAAGTTGTGAAGGGTATGTTTACTTGCTTGGGCTTACAATATGAGCCTGAAGATACTTATTAATGCTAAATATTTTACAGTGAAAAAAGATTTTTTAACAGAAGTGTGAATTAACGGTTATATTTGGTACTTCGATTTGTAGGTTGGAGATGGATTTGTTTGGCATCAGCCGAGCGGCAGCTTTATGTCGGTGAGTTATCAACAATTTGTCTCGAGAGCATTTCATAATCTAGTAATCTAACCTTTCTCGTATTTTTCCCTTCAAATTTTCATCGGTTCTCCATTTACTTGCCAATGCACATGCACTTTTATATCTTTTCAACATAAACCCAACTCACCAGCGTTCGCATCTGCCATATAGAACTAGAACGGAGACTCAATGATAAATCCATAAAATTCGAATCTCGCTCTGTAAAAGATTTAAAGGATCTCACACTGGACGCGAACATGACCAATTCGATTTCCGTACCGGTATTACACATAAAGATCCAGGAACTATTGAAGAAAATCGATAAAGCGACTGATAGGGTGTTAATGGTCATGGGGGATATATACATTAGGCCAGTTGGATGGCTGAATTCTAGTGCATCAGCTAAGAGTTCAGTAAGTATAATGGGTTGAATGGATATTAAGGAAAAGCGTGAATATAAACTTAATGGATGTCATTTGTGATCCTGTCGGTGTTTATTAGGTTTTATTTCAGTGTCCGATACACAGAAGCAGCCTGCCGGATATTGGTCGAATCTGGTCGAGTATGTTTCTTGGGAATATACTAATAATATATGGTGGCTTGCATTAAATCATTAATATAACACACAACGTCACTTTTCTTTTAAAGAACATATAGAATACGACCCAATAACATCCACTCTAGTGTTTCGATATGACAAGGTGGAGCTATCAATTGAAAGATTCCTTCAGGATTGGAAACGTGTTGTTCTGATTACACAGATAGCATCTCAAGGTATTGAATAGTCCATCGCCGTAGAACTGTGTTTGTTATCGCTTCAAATACTAAATTGCTTTGTATGTCTGCTCAGTATCTTCGAAAGAATGGCATAGAAAACACAAAGTTTCTGTATACCCGTATGACTTCAAGTCGCTTAAGATTCAGTATGCAAAAGTATGTATTCCTCTCATGTTATGCTATGTGTGGCTTTATTTAGTTTTCTAATTATTGTTTGTCTGAAGGATTTTTACGTGAAAATATCGGGGAAGGTGTCAGGCAAGACGGCAGGCTATTATAGACTTCAGCTTGGAATCACCGGATGTCGAGTTGATGGTCCCCATCCGCATCGACGAGTCTTATATTACTTGGAAACCAGATTTAATTCGACGTATAGTATTGACGAATTGATATCGGTAAGTATATGGGCTAAGAGACAATGAAGTGTGATAGTATTATCATTGTGCTTAACATTGTTATTTCTCTATGTACAGACATTAACAAACACAGCAGAGTTGGCAACAGTACTTGATGAAATTGAACGAAATGCCATACGACTGGGTAAAAAAATAAATATAAATCATATGTCAGCCAATCATTATCACGTTCTATATCATGGGTGAGTTCAATTATAAATTCATTTTAATTACGTACCTTATACGTTTTATTTTGTTTGCACTATCTTACGTAATATTACTTAACCACTTTTCTTCACCCTCAGCGCCTCGAAACCTCCCCAATCAGTTGAATTTTTCTTCAAGCCGAACAATAATGTTTACATCTCTGATGCGCTGTCGGTTGATTCTAGTTCAAGAAAAGTCCTTCCTTTAGGAAAGGGTCTGACAATGAATTCATCTGAAGCAGCTAAATTCATGAGGCAGGCTCATGAACGAATTACCGTAAATTTGTGGAGTTCGTAGTAATGTATAATGATGAACGAAGAACGATTTGTATTTATATTGACGTTTTAATAAAGAAATCATTAATTCATTGAATGAAAAAGATGTGCGTCATTGTGTTTCAGTTACTATATTCACGGGCTACAAAGGTTATTTTTAAGTTATCTTTTATTACGTATTTAATTTCTAGATCATTCCGAATTATATTTACAGCTATATTTACAGAATAGCTTCATCATCTTTTTTTTTTTTACATCACGATCTTATCATTTTCCTCCCTCTTTTCGCGGTCGCCCCTTTTTCCTTCTTTTTTCTTTCTCTTTCTTTTCTCTTTTCATCCTTTCCCCCTTGTCTCTTTTCGCTATAACCCAACCGTCTACTCTACTCCTTCGTGACGAAAAAAAGATAAGAAGTCCGAAAAAAAATCGCAGAAATATAAAGAAGCGTTATATAAGCGCATTTGTGAATGAATACTACTCTACTACTATGACAGCAATTGATCCAACGAGCTCATCAAATTCTCTTGCCTTTAAAGATTAACAATAAAGTTCTGAAAATTCCTCGTTGAAGGTGTCTTCTGGTCTGGTCTCAATCTTCACAACCCAATTAGTCATCAAAGCCGATGAAATCGTATCTCCAGAGGTCATCTTTGTCTCTAAACGTTGTATGCCGATGATCGTCCTCATCTGAGGAACTGTCGCTAGCATTATCTACACTCATCATGTCTATCTTAACCCTCTTGCCTTTTTGATTAATAAAACCTTCTTCTTCTCGTCCTCTCTTGTTTTCATTTTTTTGCTTAATCTTTTCTTTTTTACCAGCTTTCTTATTTTTACTCTTACTCTTTTTTTTCCTCTCTACACCCTCATGCACTTTCCGTCTCACCTCCTCATTCATTTCTCTTTTTTCCTCCTCACTTCGTTGCCAAATCATTTCAACTTGCGCTTTTCTTCCCCACAAATGTTTCATTTCGCACTCCTCCCCTTGCTCACAAAATCCCTGAACAAAGTCTTCACAGATCTTCGCTCCTTTACTAACATGGACATGAGTATACGGACAATCCTCACGTGTGCAAATTGATTTGTCAAAGTGTTTGCAATGGGGGATTAAATGAGCAGAGGGTTTGTGGCGGAGGGGACAGGTGGCAGATTTCGAGCAGGTACCTGTTGTGAGCCAATCTCGGCACACTGCAATACGCTCTTTATCGTGGCGGTATTGGCATTTGATTCCAGACTTGCATAGACCTAGTGAGGATGAGACAGAATTTGGAAGAAGCAAAAGCGAGAGAAGAGTGCAGGGAGAGTGGGGCAAAGGGTGGGACGGGAAAAAGGAAATAGAAAAAAATGTTTGATAATGAATAATGGGAATTATTATTTCGATTAAAGTAATCCTCCAATTTTGAGAAAAAGGTCATCAAGAGGGGGGAAGAGATTGGATTAGTAGAGATATTGGAGAAATACAATCTTGGATGTTCGTATAAACCGATTCAATGACGATTGTTGGATAGATTTATATTGACAATGGGGTAGATATCTCTGCTTTCAGTAGTGAATAACCATAAATTGTCCAATACTATCATTCCTCTTTCTCTTTCTACCCTTTTTCTGCTGGGTTACCGAGTAATTTCCGAATTCCTATATGGATTCCTATACCTCTATAAACCATAAATTTACTCCAATTCTCCCTAGCATCCATTGCCGTTTACCACTTACCGTACTTGTTATAGAAAATACAGTATTCTTCTTTCTTTTGAGATTTAGGTGGGGCAGGGAGGGTGGGGGACACTGGGGAGGTTTTGTTTTTACTGGACCCATTAAGCAGTTCGGCACGTACCATCTTGTTTGGCCGCACCCGGACTAGGTCTGGGTCCTGTTTGTGGTAATGGTGATGTTTAGTCGTGATGGTGGGAGAGAGTGGTTCAAGGGTGAGAGGCGAAGGATTTGGTGTGAGTGTCTGTAAAGCACAGAGAAAGGAAAAGTAACAAGGAGAGATATAGCAGAGAGAGATTTCCAGGTAGGATAATACAGCGGATAATAGAAAGGTAACAATACAAAGTCGACAATAGCAGTACAACAAAGAAAAGACAATAATGCAAGAGTCGACGATAAGCAGTAAAACGAAGAATAGATGGAAATAAAGCGAATGACCGATAAAGGACTTGAGCGTTCTGTGGCTATATGCTCCTGGTGGAATTAAATGTTACTTTTAACTACATTACATTACCTGACCCGCCGTTCTATTGTCTAAGGTCATGTGGCGACCTCGGTGATATCCTATCGCATTCGTATTTGGCTGTCGTGAAAGTTGATACTTTGTTCCTTTTATAAAGTATGACATTTCTTGAGCACTAACTAATACTTGAGATTCTGCGGGAAACTCAAAAATACAGTTATTCATGCAGAAAGGGAAAAACGGGACTCGTGCAAAGATCGGAGAGTGGGGGGGTGATTGTAGGCTATTTGATGTCGCACGTGTATGATGCTTTTTTTTATGGATAAATGTTTATCCGACAAAGCCAGTACTGCAGTAGCTTGGTAGCGAAAACGAGAGAATAAGAAATGGACATTGACCAACGATCAAGCAATCTAAGTTTTGATGCATGTCAATCTCATGATTAAGTAACTGCACACTACATACACACACGTGCTTTGCGCAAAATCCCATCCCCGCCCTAAAAATTTAAGATATCGATTTACTGACAATTTATCGTAGTGAGATATTCTCTTGAAAAAAAAATAATGGAAAGAATTATTGAAACCAGTTGAACCGAGCATTCGTGCAAAATCATTGGTCAATTTGCTACCCAGCTTCTATTTCAAAATAGCATACCGAAAGATGAAATTTAAATTACTTCGCATAAATGCGCGAGAACGTTTCTTTGACGTCATCAAGTTCAAGGAGTAGCCAATGCAAGAAATTAGATACCGATTTAATGATAACAGTAATAATAAACATTGAATTTAACGTACACTACAGTATTATAATCTCACTCTTAATATCACGTCACATCCTAATTAGCCAGAACGTTATTCGCAAAACTATGGAATTACGTTATGCACGAGTCTGGGTGTGGATTCGATTTTATAAATCAAGTATCGTCTCTTTTTGAACTATGAAGAATTCCGGGTTGTTACGTCTCTTCAACAAACTGATTCTTTTTGTCTTCGGTGAGATAAATAATTGTATTTCAACTAGTTATTCTAATTTACTCTGAAATACGTATCCTATTCCCTGACAATCCATTATACATTTGAAGTCAGTATGGTGGATAAGGTACTTATCTCGCGATCATTTTACCCACTAAAATTTTAACTAGTGGAAGAATTGGTAAACGGGCATTTTCTAACAGGACGTAAGGCTGATTACTGATTGCTCATTACAGTTACGGTTGAGCGCAAAACGTTCACGTACCCCATTCTGATCAACCAGTAAATCATATTATTATGTCAGTCCGTGTAAAGCACATTTATTTGGTATCCAAGATGAAGCGGTACGCGAACAGATTAATTGCGTACATTTGCTAGTTCCTCCATGCCTAATATTTCCATAATAAATTCTGCCGGAGACTACTGAAATTGTTAGCAGTTTATACTAGACACCGATAAATCAAGCATGTATCCAATGTAACGTACAGATACAGTATGCGAGACCATAGCTTCATTTGTATGTTCTTCGTCTATGTGCCATCGCTCCTTATCGTCAGATCGCGAAACCAAGGATGTCTCTGCATCCGGGAAAGGGACTATCGTTTCATAACGTTGCATATGGTGGGTCGGAGAGTCTTTCTTTGTTTGCTATTGAAATTTGAACACAGTCACAAAACTTAATATTAATATTGTATTGCTAATTAATGGTACTGTAAATCAAGAAACTTAATTAATACTTGCCACTAAAGCGTGGTTTTGGCCCATTCCTCAATTCCATTAATAATATTAACGGCACGACATCATAAGTTGATGTCACTGTTTCTTTTCTATATTAGCTTCAATGACGCGCAATAAAAGAGCGGCTATAATAGTCAAATTAAAAAAAATCTATAGACATTGGGCCTCAACAGCTTTCAAAGCCTTTCTAAATAGTGTAATATTGTATTTAGGTTGTGCGTAATGTCGAGTGCTGTAAACGCAGCGACTGCCAATTTCGTACTTTTGTTGTAATAGTTTCTCTCTAATTTAGATGTTCTTTAGTAAGTCTCTCTCGCTTCTTATACCGAAAATGTTGTCACGTGTCGTTCTTGGACTCATATTAGACGTTAATTGATCTCATAACTTACGAAACGCATCATATTTTAACAATTTCAACATGCTGTCGTTTTCAATAATTATGATAGACTGACTTGTAACTCGTTTCAGCTGGCAAAAGTGTAAGCGATCGAATAATGCGATTGACATTTCTACCGGGACTTGGTAATCCATTTCGACATAGTTTTCGAGAAAATGCTTCAATTCCCAACGTATTGAGATATGTTTTCTGACAAAGTGGCGTTTTGTAATCTCAACAGTAAAACGTTCCCTTGTTTTCTTTTTAAGACGTCGACTGACAGTTATTTCTCCACCATTTACTGCGCCATTAAAATATGTCTTGTACTTGTTCGAATCTAGAGAGAGCTTGAAACGCTTCACGTAATTCAGCAAACATTTCTCTTGGAATCTTTTGGGAACCACAATTGCCAAAAAACGTATGCTTTTTCATATTCAGTGGGGCCATTATAATCGTTATTTATCATATACAGGTAATCCTATATAGATGTTATAATTTCATGATAACAGTCTGTACTAGTACAGATATTTACATAAATTAAATTAAATCAGACCATGTTTTCCTCATTTTTTGTGATACAAAAAGTTGACTGCAGTTTCTGTTGTTATTGAATCTAGAACTTAGACGTTTTATAATGTCTGTCAGAATTCTGTTTTGATCAAGTGAACATTTTAATCATTTACAAATACATAATGAATTATAAAGCTGTTAGAACATCTCATGTTGGCCTTAGTTTTGGTCGCAAATTTCTTTTGAGAAACAAGTAGCAAACCCATATGGATCAGAAGGTTCTTGTGGAGCAAGTTTGAAAATTAGCAAATGTTTCTGACTTTATATCTTATAATAATAACGCATTGATTGTCATTGGTCACATTCTGCATGCAGGGAGTTGAAAATACCCATAGTATGCTTAATAAACCCTTATTAAAATATATATAAGAATAAGTATCTTTAGTTTAATCAATCCTAGCTTCTATTTGTTAAAGATAAAACAAATTTTAAGGAAAAGAGTAATTGCCCGCAATGAGATGCTACACCTAACACCATGACAAATCTAAAATAAAAAGGTTATAGGACTTTTGAAGCACGAACAAATCAAGTTATTATATGCGTCTAGATTTTGTCAATGTTCACTTTCTGTTTTATTTTAAAATTATAAAATTACTTGACGAAAAAGAATTGTAACAGGATTCAGGGCCTTCAGACAGCTGTTTTTAGTATCTCATAAGAGGAGTATCACAAGTCTTTTGAAAGTTCGTGGAAAGAATCACAAAAATTCACAAATGTAGGAGGAGACTATTTTGAAAGAATGGTTTAGTCAATTTTAAAATTAGTATGCAACTTTTCGAAATAAAGCCAACTTATTGAACGCCCCACGTAAATGTCTAGAAAGAACGTCATTACACAGTCTATTTGCGTTTTAGTATACATTCCGATCATCCGACATAATAATAACATTAGTGATTCTAATGTATATTAGTCAATTAGTCAGTTACTAATATTAATGTTGAACTTTGCCGTATAAACAGCACAAATTATTTCTTGCTTTATTGAAGCTGGTTAGTCTCACTATTGATTAAAACTTTAAAGGGAAAGCAGATAAGGTTTAGTTGGACGCAGCTATTAATAATCGTAACCAAGGAATTATCACCAAAAGGTTAACACTTGCCTGGTCGACAAAGTAAACTAAACAAATCGGGGGATTACTTTTTCACAACTGACATTACTTATGAAAAATGTAGTAAATAGCAAATCTCCTTAATATAATTAATTTCCCTGGTGAAGATCTGATTATTTACTTGGAAGAATCTACAGTATTGCGTGAAAAGTCTGTCGGGGTTCATTTGCTGTCTTGTTCGGATGAACCTGCTCGGTTGAAAATCTTTTCTTGTTGAGCAGGTACTATTACTGGTTTGCGTCGGCGTTGCGCTTACCTGATTAATGTTGGAGAAAAAAAAACTTTGTAAGACCGTTTGTGGAGCCGAAAATATTTCTGTAATGCTTTACCCCCGTTATTAAGCTATTCAAGGAATGTCAATCGTACAAGTCTGTAACATCACTGTTATCTTTTCTGATTGCATATTTTGCCTGACTTATCGAGTTTGCTTATGTATCTAGAATTGAACTTGTTAGCTATCATCCAAAATTTTTCGATACAAGTAAAATGTACATAAAGTTATAATGCATAATCATGATATTGTGTTTTCATAATTAAATTCAATTCAGAATATTCGATAAAGATTTTCATTCTGTGGGTTACATGGACAGTGCATATACAGTGTGCATAACTATACGCTGTTATAATTCGAAAGTTAAGGAGTAAATAAACCTGTTCTGCATCGCTATCGGTAAAGACGGGTTATTATTGTTGTTATTATTATAGTATAGCCCCTATCACGAATTGAGTTTTGTCATTGTCATTATTGTTATTTCTCTTTTTGAATATCGAGTATGGATTTTTGCAACTTGCTCTATTGCCACTAATACTAACCATAGATGACGAATTTATTTTTTTGACAGTCCAAAATCTATTCCTAATGAATAATTAACTATCGATACTGGTGCTAGGATCTACTTCCGGCAGACAGTTATTAATTTTGGTAATCTGAACGGGATTTGTCAACGTCTCCGAAACTTGCCCAGCGATTTTGATTTGTGCATATCTCACGTGAAATGGTTTTGGTACGCCGCAGTAACACATATATCGATATTGTACAATATATTAATATAATATACAATATGTATCATAGTGTGTGATTATTTCTATTAATTACAATGCCCAAATTAATCTTTTTGATAGGGTATTTATAAACCATATTTGTGACAGATTTTTACTTGTGATGGTCTGGCACGGTGGTACAAGTATACTTTGATACAATCAAGATCTCAGTAGTTGAAAGCCTAAACAATGCGCATTAACGTAATCAACTGCACTATGGCGATTTCCATAGACAACTATGGGTGAGAAGCAATGAAAATAGATGGCAGTGGATGAGAACGATAAGAACATATAATATGTATTTATATGGATTAATAAGACCGTCAAATGAGCCTCAAGTCATCCAATAGCATCACACACGTTCACATTTCCTTGCATTGTGTTCAATTGTGTAACTAACGCGGAGATTGCAATATGTGTTGGCATTTGTGCTCGGTCTCGACATTCAGTTGCAGTTCAAACACTTCGACGAACAAAAAAAAAATTCATTGAAACCCAAAACCAACATTCAGGAGCTGCTCTTTCATCAATCCCACTCTCTTCTCTGCTACTCTTTCTCTCTGCATACTGAAAATTGAGCAGCATAGACAGAGTGGTATATTTAGAGAGAGTAGTTTGGTTCTGCATTTTACTCGTCTGCTGCAATATAGTACAAGAAGAAGTGAGCTGAATTGCAACCTAATAAGATAACAAATAATATAACCGAATACTTGATACAAATATTACGGTATCAAATACCAAGTACTGCAGTAAATTGTAATAGTAAAAGTAATAATAATAATAATAATAACTACTACGACAGCAACAGCAACCACAGCAACCACAACAACAGTAATATAACTGCTGTATTAGCATACACACTTGCATATCCCTTCTTATTCCCCTTTACTCTCTACAACGAACCTATACATTCTTTTAATTACCGATCCGACTCATGTTAATACAATGTATACCCCACCACCCTCTATAACATCCTTTCTCTTCCTCCTCCTCTTCTTCCTCTCATCAATACCCACGCAGGTATACTCGAGTATACCAAGTGACCTACCTAACGTGAATTTAGAGAGTCTCAAGAAAATAGGTATAGCAGGACAATACAATGAAATATCTTTTTATACTGAAGGAGGTCTGCAACAAATTAATAACGGAACAAGTGGGTCCATAATACAGAAAAAAGGAGACAGTTTTACATTATTAGGATATACAGAAGGAAATAAAACTGTCAATGCAATGTGCCAAATGAATAGAGGAGGAGAATTAGACGTGTATGTTGGTGGAAACTTCACCACTATCACAAACAACGCCGGCGTTTCCCTTACAGCAAATTACATCGCCCTATACAATCCAACGACGTCTACCTTCTCCAACCTCTCTTCGGGTCTAGATGGCCCTGTACTTTCACTTCTGTGTGACTCATCCACTAATACGCTCTACGTTGGAGGTTCATTTACCGCCCCTGTCAATGTCTCTGCTCAGGATAAACCAAACTATGGAGGCTCCGTCGCGATTTGGAAAGATGGTCAATGGAGCCCACTACCGTTTGGTGGCTTTAACGGACCCGTTAACACAATCGTATTGAATAGTGATAACAATACAGTATATTTCGGTGGCGAGTTTGATGCTACATCCGATGGAAGTTTTGGCGACGTTACTTCGTCTCAGCCACTGGACATGGCACATGCCAATGTAAGTAGAGTATGGTTTTGGGGCGAGATCGTTTGATAACCTGTCTTTAGCGATACATGTCGCGTGCGAGCGTATTAATAATACGGTTAATGATATAATCAAGATAACCCGTACACTTGACTGTTCATTATATATATCTAATAACTCTACTCTATTACTAGATTACTGTTGGCAATGGATCTCGTAGACCAGGTTTTGATGACCCCAGTGCAATTATTTGTCCAAAAGGTGCTGATGGGCCAGGAAATACATGGTTATTGGCCGATTATCAACCCGGCTCGTGGAGAATACAATTTCCAGTACAAGTTGCCCCGACTAGTGTTGATATAGTGAATACAATGGTTGAGGGTAGGGGCACTAAAACTTTCAGGTACATAAAATAAGACGAATATCATGGTAGTATTGGCATTTGGAGGTATTCAATTTTACTTATTCATAATATTATTCTTTGCCCACCCAATCAGCATATGGACAGCTGATAATCAAAGAGTCGAGCTATCTTACATTGATCCCAATACCCTTGCGACCGTCACATGTATTGACGCTTGTCCACTACAACAGTCTAATACAACAACGCAAACGTTCCAATTCGTTACTCAAATTACAACAACAGCTTTGCAAGTGAATGTGATCGAGTTCAATGGAATCGGCGGTGGATTTCATCAAATTCAGTTCTATCAGAGCGGTAAGTGTAATGTAATCAAAGAGAAATTGTGGTGCTGTGAAAATGTCTGTTTTACACTTTACCATTCCCCCATTCTGATACAATAATGTGTGTTTTTTCATTCTACAGATGTGGTAGTTCATGCAACAGGGTATGGAAATTTCCCTTCTTGCATTTCAACGCCGTTCACTCCTTCCGTCTCAACGACAGGCACCTGGACTCCAGTAATTATCCAAGGAGATTGGGAACCAGCCTTACAGGCCACGATTCCCGCAGCATCGTACGCATCCAGCGACGACACTGTCACTTTGACGCCATACGTTCCTCAAACGGGTAATTATTTAGTAACGCTCCATCTCCCTCCATGTACGCCCAATTGCGAGAATGCGGCCACAATCTCGGTCACTACAAACGTGCTACCGGGAACAAGCGTAGTTTTGAATATAACAACGAATAATTTAAGACCTAAAGACATTACGTTGTATCAGGGTAAAGTACTTGCTACAAGCGATACATTTAAGCCGTCAGTAGTGGTTGAATTAGATAAACAGGTACCACCAAATCCAGGTCAAAACACGCTCCAAATTGATATTGGATACGTGGCATTTACGAGAACAAATAGTGCACCACCATTAAGTGGAGTGTTTCAGTATTGGTTAAACGTCAATGGAGGTGTCAATGCTTGGGGTAGTCTGAACGGGATTTTTCCAGACAGGGCAAAAGTAGAATCTTTGGCATTGCTCTCTAAAACCCAATTGATCATCGGCGGAACGTTCTCTGATGCGAGGTTTTCTAATATAGTATTATATGACGGTTCTCAACTTGTTTCTCTTTCCAACGGTGGGCTTAACGGACCCGTGAATAGTATCATCAGCGTTTCTTCTGATGAAATTATTGTTGGTGGTTCATTTACTGGAACTGTTAATCCTCAGACACTGTTGAATATAGCGAGATATAAGCTATCTACGAAGGCTTGGACGCCAGTAAGCGGAGGATTGAACGGTCCTGTGAATGTGTTAGGCTATGCCAATGTTAGCAACAACAATCAAATATTCGTCAGTGGACCGTACCAAGTGAGATATGATCCTGGAAAGACGGATGGTGAAGTGACATTTGGATTCGAATTATGGGATGAGGGACTGAATTCTTGGGCCAATGAGACTAATTTTGTCAACGGAAACATTAAAGATATTATATCACTTACAGTAAATGGAGATGCAGTTACATACATTTCTGGAGACGTTTTTTCCGCATCATCTGTCCAAATGTTTGGAGCTAGTCTATTGAGTCCTCAGGGTGATATTACTCCATTGCCAATTGTGCCGACGAGCATTAATGGCAGTGCCCCCCAAGTTTCTGTCTACACTGGAGCTTTTTACGAAAACTCTGACGGCGAAGCAGTAACCGTGATAGGGGGAAACTTTACGATTGGCACTGTAAAGAACATAGCCTTCGTTAAGAACAGCACCGTTCAGTCTCTATCAGGCGACATAAATGGTACTATTCAAACGGTACTAATTATAGACGATATACTTTACATTGGTGGTGTATTCTCCTCTCCGAAAGGCGATGGCTTTGCAGCGTATAATTTAAAATCGAATGAATTTGAAGATATACCTCAATTGAGCGGTGCAGAGGGCGTCAGTGTGAATGTTGTGAAACAAAGACAGAATAACAAGGAGATACTGGTTGGAGGGGTGTTTGATAAAGCAGGCGATGTCGAATGCAAAGTCGTCTGTAGTTTTGATGCTAGTAAGAATCAATGGAATGCACTGGGTAATACAAATATTGATGGAGAAGTATTTGCAATTGATTTTGTCGAGGTAAGAGAACAGGATATTAGTAGCAAAATGATTTAGCATATGATGCGTAACAATTATTAACTAGCCCATACTGCATTCTTTCCCTTCTCCTTTAGTCAAACCAAAACCTTCTTTATGCAGCTGGTAATTTAACCGTAAATGGGGAAAAGACTTATCTTGCAGAATACGATTATGGTCAATCTACATGGCGCCCCATTACAGAATCCACTTCTCTATCCGGTGCACCTTCAGCTCTCGCAATAGACGGCTCTGCTCAACGCATTTGGATAGCTGGACATACTGACGCAAACTCTGCATACTTGTATGAATACGATGGATCAAAATTTACTTCATTCACCACTGGACTAGTATCAACTTCGAGGATATCTCAGTTGACCTTCCTACCAATTAACGGGGACAATCCAGGCAATGATATAATAAACGGGAACCGAATACTAATGGTTGTTGGAGACTTACAGTTGAATAATGCTGGAAATGTTAGTACGGCATTGTTCGATGGGCAGAACTGGCATCCTTATCTACAAGCTTCGCAGAGTGGAGGAAGTAACGGGAATATTTTGGGTATCTTCTTTGATATTCCCCCATCATTCTCTAATAAAAGTAAGTTAAACTCTGAATAATTAATAGTGATTGAAATGATTTTTGACAAAAAATATCTAATTTATTTCTCTCGCCAAAAAAAAGCACCCCTCGCGGTATTGTTAGTAATACTGATAGCTGCAGCCATCTCACTATTGATGGTATTTGCAATAGTTGCGATATTAATGGCAATAGCTTATTACCGTCGATCAAAATTAAAAAAGGAAGCAGAAGAAACTACGACGGCAACGTTCAATCTCGAGTCAAAGATCAAACTCGCACAGGATTTACTTCAACAAAGCGACAAGAATTCATCGGGTTCAGAAAAAGTGCGAGTGTCTTCTGGCACCGAAAAATCTGCCAACGGAGAAAGCGACCGGAAACAAGAATTTGTGGCTGGTGGAGGAGCGGGAGGATTATTCAGCGAATTGGTCGGTAATTTGGACGACGCACAGGTCTTTTATGCTCAATATAAGTTCGAGCCACGTAATGCGGGTGAACTGGGGCTCAAAGTCGGAGATACCGTTTATGTCGTCGACAGGAGTGATCCTACATGGTGGATTGGGTTTGTTGATGATGGTAGGTATCAAGAAATTTTTCGACCGAAATAAGATTGTGTTTTTAGAGTGAAAATTTACAAATAACTGACAATGTCATCTATGTTTGCAGGCATTGGGCGACTTGTAAAGGGAGCCTTCCCTAGTAATTATGTATCAAGCATCCCACCAGAAGACTCGTAATTCTGTTCGACCACACCTTTCAGATACGTCTCCTCTTATGGCGGCTGTTCTCAAAATTCAATAATCTTTTTGTAAATATTTCTATGTCCGCCTTAACTCCGACAGCCGTATTTCCTCTTTGTCACTACTTAATAATTTTTATACATTCTTTAATAGACGAATACAGTCACTGTATTTTTTTTGTTTTGTACAACAGTTCATATGTTATGGTGATAATAGAGAGTTGATATTCTGCGATATAATAAATAGTGGGGTTTATAAAGTAGTCAGTCACCCAAATTTTACAATTGTAAACTAAAATTGAGAATCAGTAATAGAAATTTTTGATTGAACAGCAAAGCTAAACTCTAAGCATCCCTGTAAACTCGGTAAACAGCACAACAAACTTGTTCCAAAATTACCCCGATCGCCTGTTCAGGCCTATGCTTAGTACAAGTTGTCCATGCACACTGATATGGGGCATGCTGCAACAAAACCAGACAAAGTGAACATTTTGACGTCACTTGGTATCGGTATCTTCTTTAATTATTATTTACTTCCTCATTTTCGATCAAGGTCACCTTTTAACCTCGATTTGAGCTTTCTGTTGAGAATTTAATTTTTCTAATTGAGATTTTAGTCGAGCCACTTCTTCCTTATAAGATTCTATTTCATTAACCAGTTCTTGAGGTGTTAGTTTTTTTAAACGTTCAATCTCTGCTTCTTGTTGCTTAATTTTGTCTAATAACTCTTGCTTTTGTCTTTTGTTTCATTCTTCGGATTTTTCTTGAAACTTGGCTACTTCCTCTCTTTCAATTTTTAATTCCTCTTTAGTAGTTGATAGCTCATTTTCTAGCTCCCTAGTTTTCTTTTCCAAACGAGAATTGAAAGCTTGTGAAAGTAGTTCTTTATCAGAAAGTGGCTTAGTTGATTTGGCTTTCAAACGACTACAAAAACATCTGTTTCTATTTCTTTTTAATCTACCACATTTCTCGCATCATGGAAGAGAATTATTATCATAATCTTTTTTACATTTGCCACGATGTCTGAATAACCATCAGGAGTGTTACGAACTACCATTTGATGAGTAGCAGGAGAAGTATCAAAATTAAGGAGGGTTGGGTCATCAAAATCTAGAAAACAAAAATTGCATTCTTGATCATCGTCCTTTGCTATTTCCAGAACTCTATATTCTAGTCTCATTTATGTCAATATTACTTGCTTTTCTGAATAATAAAAGTCTGGAACTTTTCCTTAGTTTTTTCTTTTACTTTACTTACCAATTGCTTGAACTTTTGCAGTCTGTTTTCTTTTTGTTGTTTTGGCAAGGCTGGCAACTCTTTAGTTTCTAAATAATTTCTTCGGTTTATTTCTTCATTTTTACTTAAACTATTTTCTAATAAATCTATTCGATCTAGGAGTTTGCCCATTGCTGCATCGTGCTTCAAAACAACCTCGGTCATTTGGTTCTTCCTCCATTCTCCAGCTTTATTTAGTGCTTTCTCAGCTTCTTCTCGCTCCATTTGTACCTCATCATCTAATTCTTCTACTTTAGTTTCCAGTTCTTTTACTTCTTGCTCTAATTCTTGATTAACTTTTTCTAAATTAACAACATTTCCTTTTAAAGAATTTCTCTCTTTCTCTAAACTAATTACTAATGATCGTAATCACCCAACTTCTTTCTATTTCTCAAATTTATTATAACCAATATAATATTGAGAAAAAAGATATTGTACAGCAAGATAGTGTTGCCAAACTTCCTTAATGGGGAATTTTTCACAAAACTCAGGTCAACTACAAGAGTGAACTAAAATTTTATCAAACACTGATCTAAAAATTTCTTCATTAGGAGGTTTTGGAATGAAATTTACTTCACCTAATTCTCTAATTAGTTCCTGTTTAAAAATTGTTATTTCCATTGATACCATAGGCTTGCTTTTAATATAAGTATATATATTATTTTAGCTTTAAAAAGCTAGCAATATTAGTTGAAAGATTAATCTTATTAAACTTATGACAGCAAGGACAAATTAACGAATGACAAAGTAATGGAAGCGATTGATTTTATCCTAAATATTTTATTCATTGCCAGTAAAAATTGGTCTTGGACAAGTAACATCTTTAAACTCGTCTCGGACAAAGGGGCGAATATAATTATAAAGATATTCTTGTCGTTCATACTTCATCGGAGGAGGTACCAGCACTGGAAATGATAAAGTCTTGATTTTTTCTATGATTTTTGAAGCCTCGAATTTACTAGTCTTCAGTAACTTGAATTCCTGGAAAGGACCATTTGCGACTTCTTGGGCTTTGACTACCCCGGGATTAGCACTAGTAAAGAGGAAATGTTGAAACCTCTGCAGGCCATGCAACTTTTTAAAGTAAATTTCCAAACCACTTATGATGTCAAAATATTGAAAGCCGTCTCTGCCATTGTAACGTCGAGCTTTATTTAGTCCGGCAATACTGGACCTTTTCACTACGTCTGCGACGTGATCGACACAATCTACCGTAGTATTACGATAAAGTCTTTTAATTAGTCCGAAACTACCATCACATTTAAATTTGGTATGGCCCGGAACCATAAAGTTGAGTTCAATAGTTTCATAATAACCAGCAATTACCAAATACAAGTAAAACCAAATAGTGGCATTGTTTTTGTTTTGTCCACCGGCATTGTCGCAAGTGACTTTCAAGTGCTTTTCACCTTTATTCAGTTGCTTAATTCCGTCAAAGACCAGACTTAGGGTACCGTTGGGACCTTTTCCAAGGAGTTCATTCTCATCCAGCACATAATTAAGTTGCTCCCGGACCGCTTCATTTTGGACGCCAAACAAATGCACCTTGCGAGCACTAAGGTAATACACCTTGCCGATCTGTTGGTCTGAATGAGGTACATGGACATTCTGGGCTCAGTCATAACTGTAGTGAGTAACTGCGTCAATACTGCAGTATGATACTTTGCCTTTCACTGAGGCAACAGAATAATTCTGATCGATGAGTTTTCTGTGTTCTTCTGCCAATTTGGTATTTTTGTTATAATAGTTTCGTTCTAACTTGGCTTTGGCTAGATGCTCTTTATACTTCTTTAATAAGTCTTGGGCCTCTTCCTCTTTACGGGCTTTAAACTGCAAGTCATTCCGCAACTGCTGACAGGTATCGCATAGGTCGGTTCGGGGACTCATGATTTGAATGTACGGGGTAAGCTGATGTCATAATTTGCGAAAGGCATCATACTTGAGAGCACGTAATTTACTCTCTTCTTCTAGACCAGCCAAAAAATCCCGGTGAACAGATTTATAACTCATTTCCGCTGGTAGAAAGATAATGGATTGGGTCACGCGATTAACATTTCTAACCGGGCTGGGTAAGCCATGAATTTCAGTATAATTTAGCAAAAAATTCTTGACCGCGGTTGCCACGTCAATATTGATGACCATCCTGGTTTTTCACTGTGGCATTCTTTTTACATTACCATGGACCCGTGGTAGAAGACCATTCTTGAGCAAGTGATTTCTGATATTTTCAAAGTAATTGCGGCCAATTCTAAGCATATTGAGGTAGGTTTTTTGACAAATAGGGGTATTACGATTTCAGCAGTAGACAGTTCTCTTATTGACTCGATTTTTGTCCTTGAGACGTCGACTAGTATTGATCGCTCCCCCATCCAAGGATTTGAGTTGGGCCATTAAGAAAATATCCTGTTCGGGTCTTGTTAGCGCTTGAAAATCTTCTCGTAGTTCAGCAAATTCTTCTTTTGGCACCTTAGTCGAGCAACCGCAACCACATCCCACTTCCAGGAGATGGAGAGCTTTTTCGTATTCGTTCATAATTATGTCGTCTACCATATATATATATTTTATATATATATTACGCACAGTTTGTCTGATTTTGTAAAATTTTGATAATATTGTATTTATTGCGTATTACATAGGAGTAGCCGTGTATATAAAATTGAAATATGCAACTTATCTATATTAGATCTACTATGGAGCCTAAAGATTATAGTACTCTACGCTCTCTTTTAAAGCAAGAGCAAGGCGAAAAAATCGCTCCTTACGTTTTCAAACTAAAAAGCACGCAGACTATCAAGAACTATCTGGACCATGAAAAGATAACTTATGAGATTTACCAAGAGGAAAGGTCAGAAAAAGCTCTTAAACGGACGTTGGCGGAATCATTTCGAGCACCAAGAAAAAAAAGGAAACTTGAAGAATAAGAGGGTCGTTATAGGGAGGGATAATCCTATATGCCTTACTATTCCTTACGCGCAAAATTTTATCCGAGAAAAAATGCGTTTTTTTATTAATGAATCTTTCCTCGGAAGGTAAGTTGAAACATCCACACTTCTCTTAGAGAAGGAAACAAGAATTCCTTTATATGTATCGACGTGTCACTATATCGCACTCGCTCTATATAGACTATGATATCGTCGTCTAAAGCACCATTGAATTATTATTTTTTACAATAAAATCCTAACTAAGCAGTCACTAGCTGAGGTGCTGACCAAGATTTACCATCTTCATTCAACTGCCAGAATAGAATTTTTCGACTACCAATGATCAAGACCAGATAGGCAATTACATCGCGCCGCTGGCGTAACTCAGAGATTTGAGTGCTCTCCCAATAATTCACCAATTGTGGCTTCTGCGTTTCAATCCAGTCGCCTATACGTTGATTAGGACGATACTTGTCGTACGGAGGAAACTTGAGGTCAAGGATGGTTTCCGCTTCTGACATGTAGCTCAATGCCAATGCTTTTAAGAAATTTGACGTTTGATTGGGACCCGATGCCCCCGCAGGATTAATGTTTACGTAAGGAATCCTGATAACCTTGAATTCGAGGAGCGCAGCGCGGTTTGTGCTCGGTGCCTCAATAAGCAGATCAACCCGTCCTCCTCCACCTGACGGCTGAGAATGCATAAACAACTGATTAATCAAGAGGGCAATGAAATCGTGCATTTCTGTTCAGGGATCTCGATTTGCTTACCTTGGTAACAATATATTCGGGATAGGCTTGCAATAGAACCGGGTTCTTGAGAAGTGGATAAAAGATATTATCACGGTGTCTTTCTTCTGAATTATTGAAATCCGCTTCAGTGACATCGCGCCGGCTCATCATCTTCTGGTAGCAATTCAACAGCCCCGAGACGTCTCCATTTGCCGCAATTTTTCCGATTGCATCGACGATATCATCTTCATTTAGATCATAACGGTCTAAGGTAGCGGCCCCAAAACGCTTGAAAGCGATAAAATTTGGAAATTGAAGATGCTTGTTGGGCATATCATCAGCATACGTGAGACCTCCTATATATCGCATGTAGCTCAGCCATTCTTGTTTGCTATCTCTGACACGCATCTGCAAAAAAAAACATGAAGTATTTGAAAAAGCAAGTGAGCTAAAGACCAAAAAAATACACAAGAGCAAGCGTGAGCCGTACTAAGTCCTCAAATCGAAACATATCCTTCAACGACAAATACGGAATCTTAGTGCGCCACTTATTGTCCGTTATTGAATCGCTTGCGGTCCTTTCAAGAATGTCTTGCACGATATGCGAGGAAGCGAGCAGCTTAAGAGTCGTCTCAGAGACTTCCGAGTTCGAGGGGTTGTCTCGCTTAGGAGGCTCTTTGTCGATCAAAGACTGGGACGATGAAAAGCAGCAGCAATAAGAATAGTGATAAGAGCGCAATTGCGTTCAATAAAAGGATCTGCTAACCTGGAAATACTCAAGGCATGTGTTGGTGTTGAAAACTCGCGGAACTTGGGCAATCGAAGAGAAACGATAGCCATTGAAGAAAGTCTCCATAGTATTAAAACGATCCTCGACTTCATTCTGTAAGCCACAGACCTCGGGCAGCTTCAGAGCAGCGATCACATCTTCACGACTGAAACCACAAAGACCGGATAAAGCTGGACTGTCCGAGATGTTCTTTGCGACATTGAAGCCACTTGTAAGGTCGGTCATCGAAAGTGGCGATACACCTGTGATGAAACACTTGGTGATCTGAAACTCGCCCAAATTACTCTTTACACTACCCCAGAAGCCTTTAAGCAATGAATTCTTATGGATATAGTTCCAGTTAGCACGATCTTCAGGATTGAGATACTCGTTGCCAAAAGCGTCGCATTCGTCAGCCAAGAGATAGATCTACGAGTCGATAGGGTTCCAGCGTGAGTAACAATTGAACGGATGTAGCGCCTCTTGAAACTCACCCCTTTGACGCCAGCAAGTGGAGCGTTGTCATCATCTTTCTGCACGGCACGGAGTTTCTCCTGGACCACTCTAACACATTCTTTAAGGCTGGAGGTAGCACTCTCCGGGTTCACAAGCCTCTCGATGAGCTCCTCGCTCGATCTGTTTCCCAGGTAGCGTGCATAGGTTGAATAGAACTGTTTGATGGAGTTGTTCAGCATTTGTTGGAGATCATATTCCGCAACCTTCACGTCGGCGGAGCGGTTGATGGCACTGAAATCGAGCGATAACATAAGGTATTGGCCAGGGGTGACCTTGCCAGCCTGGACGTCCTTATCGACGTCAAGATTCTGCAAGAAAAAGGTCGGGATAAGCAAAACGAGTGTAGGACAGAAAACGCAATTGTCCGTACCGAGAAAAGCTCGGCATATCTTTCCCTGTGCTCCACCCCGTGAAAGTGGGCCAGCATGCTTAGAGTCAGCGATTTTCCAAATCGCCGTGGTCGTAGGAAGAGCAACGCAGGATGACGAATGGAATCGAGAACCGATATGTATCCCGTGCGGTCGAAGTAAGCATATTCGGGTTGCGTACGAAGCAAGGAATAGTCGTTCAAGGCGTCGACGGGAAAGTCTTGAAACTTTTCTTTGCTTAGCACCAGCGTTGATCCTTCTATACGATCCCGGGGTATTGAGCCAGTCGATGGGCCACTCGCCGCTTGGCCAGCCGCAACTGTCTCGTTGTAGTCTAGAAACAAAAAAAAATATTTTCAACTTATATTAATTTGTCATTTTTAAAAAAGGCTAGAATGAAACCTAACCATCTTGAATCTTCTGTCGTTTAGCAGTCTCAATATCGGCTTCTTGCGAGGGTTGCCTGCTCATGCCATGCTTTTGTCTAGGACTAGAAAAAGAGAGAAGTCGTTGATGTTAGTTGCTACAAAAGTGGATGGATGGAAAGCTGATGCATGCAGTGAGGATAAATAGCACAGTCGAGATTACATACATAATTGGCGGTTCGACGATAATATGGATGCGTTTTTTGGGCGGCGACACGTTGAAGTATTCCTCAATGTCATAGCCCGGTTGTATCTTTGTGCCGTTCAGAGCCTCCGCGATGTCAATAGAGGCGTTTTTACTTTTCAGAACCGTTAACCTATTATTTTCTACGTCGAAAGGGATGTCGACTCGCCAGAGCTTGATCAGGGCAGCATCAGTCTTGCTAAATAGATTATCTCTCTTCTCCTTGATAGTTTCCTTGAGTTCGCTGACCATCAATCCCTTATCGATGTTGAAACTAAATATATTCTCGGGATCCTCGCCCAGGACGTGACAGATGAGCGTGATGTTGGTCATGGCTAGACAGAGAGGGAAGGTTAGTTTAATCTACAAAGCCGTCGTCTGTGAATTATAAGAATGTGTAGAGCTAGCATTGTCGTCAAAAATCACACACCTGAAATACCTTGGTTCTTTGTTTAATGGAATTCAGGATCGTGGAGGTGGACAATTGTTTATTTTACAAGGTGGCTTGTAAAGAAAAGCCAAATTTTGATTACGTCATATTTAGAAGGATATCTTGGGAATGCGAATTAATCATTGGGTATTCCATCTCGAATCAATAAAAATTCCTTATTCTCGTTCTCTAGCTCTCGTTGTCATTTCGAAATGGTAATTAGACATACTTTCGCAGTCAAACATATTCTTTATGTTGGTTTAGTGAGTTTCCTGAGACGATCTTGTCGTTAAATTAACGATAAAGTCTACAACTTGTATAGGCTTTTGCTCCTGTACAAATTTTTCAAGATGAAGCCACAGAAGAACGCGCCGAGAATGCGCGATTGGTAAATAATAAGAAAAAAATTGTGTGTTTAGCTTTATCAACATCGTAATTGACATATTTCTTGACAGTCCTCATTCATTGGCGCTATTGCAATCGGTGATCTGGTAAAAAGTACCTTGGGCCCAAAAGGAATGGTATGATGTCATGTTAATCAGAAAGTCTGGATAGAAATTATCCAATTAAGATCATTAACCTTCGACTCTCTTTGTTTATATGAATTAATCCGATTGTCAATTAAACTTTTGTAAAATAGGACAAGATTCTTCAATCTATGAATAAAGGCGAAATCATGGTTACGAACGATGGTGCTACGATTTTAGAGTCTATCGTACTCGATAACGCGGCCGCTAAAATTCTTGTCAGTATCCATTTGACTGATCCGGAAATTTTTAGTGGTTATAATCAGAAACACGTATTCTTCCTTGACTCTATTCATTACAGATATCTCAAAAGTTCAAGATGATGAAGTCGGTGATGGTACAACATCAGTATGCGTTCTTGCCGCAGAACTGTTACGTGAAGCAGAGATTCTAGTGAATCAGAAGATCCACCCGCAAACTATTGTTGAGGGTTATCGTATTGCGAGTGACGCAGCTCTTAAAGCTTTAGAAGGATCTGCCATGGATAATGGGTTTGTATCTAATAATCAGAATGATGTACACATTGAGATTATTAGTTCTGACAATTTCTCTGTTATAGGAGTGACAATGAAGCATTCAAAAAAGATCTTTTTAATATTGCGCGAACAACTCTAAGCTCCAAAGTTTTATCACAAAATAAAGATTACTTTGCCGAACTAGCCGTCAATGCCGTTCTTCGACTAAAAGGCAGCACGAACCTAGAGAACATTCAAATAATTAAAAAAGTTGGTGGTCGACTAACCGACTCCTATCTCGATGAAGGCTTTATCCTAGATAAGAAAATCGGAGTCAATCAACCAAAGCGAATCGAAAACGCCAATATACTTATCGCTAATACGCCGATGGATACAGACAAAATTAAGATATTTGGTGCCCGTATTCGGGTAGATGCTACTGGTAAACTCGCTGAATTGGAAAGAGCTGAACGCGATAAAATGAAGGAGAAGGTTGAAAAGATCAAAGCTCACGGAATTAATTGTTTTGTTAATCGCCAGTTGATATATAACTGGCCAGAACAGTTGTTCGCCGATGCTGGTATTATGGCTATTGAACATGCTGATTTCGATGGTGTCGAGCGGTTGGCTTTGGTTACTGGCGGTGAAATCGCATCGACCTTTGATCATCCCGAGTTAGTTAAACTCGGTCATTGTGACGTTATTGAAGAGATTATCATTGGAGAAGATAAGCTTATTAAATTCTCTGGAGTTGCAGCTGGAGAAGCGTGCACTGTTGTAATAAGAGGGGCAACAAATCAGCTTTTGGATGAAGCAGAACGATCGTTGCATGATGCATTGAGTGTGCTAACGCAGACAGTGAGGGAGACGCGTACTGTACTTGGCGGTGGATGTTCAGAGACGCTTATGTCGAAAGCGGTGGATGAGGTGGCGGCTAAGACGGCGGGAAAGAAAGCCGTTGCTATTGAAGCATTTGCGAAAGCTTTAAGAAAGGTCTAGCGAAGAAATACATCATGATATCATCTATTTATCAAGACAATTGAAGTTGAAACTAATTAAATGTCTCTTTTAGTAGATTCCTACAATTCTAGCAGATAACGCCGGTTATGACAGTTCTGATCTTGTCGCTCGATTGCGTGCAGCTCATTATGAGGGTAAATCGACTTCTGGTCTTGGTAAGTTTCTCATAATGTGAACGATAGCGCGCGAGTATTGTTGGCATGTGTTCCTTCTGCTCACCTTGATGGGTTTTGCTAGATATGATAAATGGATCTATCGGTGACATGCAAGAACTAGGTGTTACCGAGTCCTACAAGTTGAAACGCCAAGTGGTTCTCAGTGCTTCGGAAGCCGCAGAGATGATTTTACGTGTAGATGATATCATTAGATGCGCACCACGGTAAGAAAAGCGAGTCGTATTTGTGTATTAACATAATCATTGTGAATAATTTTACTTATGTTATATGCGAAAATTTTTCAGAAAGCGCACAGCCAATTAGCAAAACATGTTCGCAAAACATGGTTTCGTAATTTTATAATCGAAATTTCAGCAAGAATAGAGAATCAATATAAGCCGCTAATAAAAGTCAATAATTGTAACCAAATTCTGGCCATTATATTTCCAAAATCAAGGCTTCACAGCTCGATGTCTAAAAATACAAACCCAACACTCATTCGACGTTTATGCCACCTACCAACCACCAAATATTTTCCTTAGTTGTAATAGTCCACTTATACGGCCTATTCTAGTCTTAGGCTTGGAAGGGGTGGGTGATAAGGCCGAAGATGTAGGGAAGAAATTGACCGTTCCATTTGTTACTTCTGCGTATGAAATTGTCGGAGGCGTAGGGGCCTGTTGAATCCTACTGGCAGGAGGAGTGAACGGTACATCCGTTGCCTCGAGTTCTTCTATAGTTGGCGAGGTGAGACTGGGGTAGGAAGGAAAGAGTATCTTAGATCCGAACTGTTGAAGACATTAAACAATTTATAAGTAGGCAAAGTACAAGTAATGATCGCTTACGATTTCAGTCCTAGTAGAACTGGCTCAACACGGCTCGCTATATAAAAGTCTCCAGGACCGCTTAATTTCAAATACTCCTGAGAAACAATGAAACGGGATCTTAGTGACGGTAATCAGTGACAAGTCCAATACATACACGTATACATATTACACTTCTCCTTGTAAACATACTGGCCCACCCAATGCCCACTTTCTTGTCCTGACTGTCATCCTTCGAATTCTATCCAATGTTGACTTCACGGATGGGCTCATTTTCACGTTCTCAATAAACGTCGATGCTCTCTGGGGTACCAAGTTTGCCATTTTATTTGATAGAAATTTTAGCCTTGTATGGCCCGAGCGGCCAACCAATGGAGATGATATTATCGGATAAGTAAATGCGTCCCATGCAACAAGATGCCTAAATACGAATAAAGGTACAAAGTGAAATCAATTAGGTTATAAATCAGCAGACCAACTATATCTATATGTATGTTTGTATGTACTGTATGTGTATAGTGTGTGTGAACTTCTTACTTCGGGTTCACCAGATATTCATCACCGGCATTTAATACCAGACGATGGATCGAGCCGTGGCCGGAAATTACCAAAGTACCCCGCCCAGAGATGCGATAGGCGAATTTATTCAGAGCTCCCTATGATATACATCCAATACCGAATACATCTTAGAATGATGTTCTGTGAATACTACTTTTTTACGCTATAATAATTCCTTTGTAATTGTTTTTACTTACCATTCCTCTTATCCTTTCAACCTTTAAAGATACACGCGGTCCTTTCGCAAAAAAAGCTCCCTTGCGTACATAGTAATCTGAACGCCCATCCATCTGGATTGCTGCAATATCTGACAATGGAGAGGGTGCAAGTAATGCATCACCCGAATAAGCGTCTGTAATCAGCTGTATGAATATAAAATAGTCAGATGAATGCCCATACAATGCTTGGTGAATATGATGTTTACCTTATGATAGACCAATAAACCGCCAGCAAGTTTTCTTCCCATGGCCATGATAATATTCCCATCTGTCGAACGCTCAGTACGGACCTTTAAGAACGTAAATAATTGACGAAAATTACGAGGTTAGATGATCGATCCGTTTACTTGTTCAACAACGAATTATCAAACAAAAAATCGGATAATTAATCAATTCACACTTTGCCCGATGCTGCAATAACTGTCGCCGGAGTTGCATATATTTCTGATCTAGGAGGAATCTTCACGTAAAGCAAAGCACCCGGAGTACCGGCTGATATGACTTCAAAAGCAGGATCAGGTATCGGGTGTTGTATCCAGTTTGCCGCGGTATTTATTCCTTCATTTATAATCAAATGTTTGAGTAATGAAACACATGATGAAGACTCGAACATTCTAGTTCAGTTAGTAAGCTCACCAGGAGATAGAGAAGATATAGTACTAGACCCATCATCGTTCTTTGAAGCTGTCTTTCCTTTATCCTCTGTCCCAGACGGATTGGCATTATATGCTAATCCCGCATAGCTGCGTAAAAAGTATCGTGGAAATGGGTTTCTTACACGCACTAGGCCCAATGTTGCTGACTGCATGTCTCTTGAATTCAACTATTACTATGCAAAAAAAAAAAAAGATCGACTTGGTTTAAAGATTATCCTCATCAAACCGGGAAGTAATCCGCTCTCGTGATTTCAACTAAATGAAATAAAGTTTATTCGCGGAGAATGCTAACTATATTAATATTAGAGTTTTTCATATAATACCTAACCTACGTAAGCAGAGAGTTGTCGACATAGTCAACATAAGCTAAAGAAGTAAGTTCTTGCTTCGTTTATAATATAAATGTGTAGAGGCCACTTTTTAAATACCATTGTCACCCAGAAGAGCATTTGTGTCCAAATTGACTGGGGATATGCGCCTCTATGCCTCCTATCGTCAAGGTATAAATTCTCACTTGAATGCTGTGCGAAATAATTTGATTAAACAAATAAAATATTGCACTGAATAAGTGAACAATCTGCTTAAGCTGTCCTATCCGGCTTAATTTCGACCACCAAAGCAATAGACACTTCCGTTCAGCAAAACGATGCGCAAGAATAGAACTACTGTTAGGAGAACAACTAATAAAATCCTTAGTCGAAAAACTTATTATTAGACGCGTCTAATTAAGATTCATTCTCAGATTTTACTACCGTTCGTTCGTAGTATTTTATCTAATGTGAATGATTTGCTCAACGCATTAAATCGCGAAGTTATTCAAAATTCCTGGCCAATTCGACACTAATTGAATACCTCCTCGCCTGACCAAATGTTATTCCCCTTCGATATTGACATAGTGTTTTGGTCATGAAGGGTAAACAATCATTTCAGCTCACGTTCAATTTTGGACCAAAAATCGCGTCATGTAAAACAAACCCAAAACTTGACTGCTTTATAATTATAACTTTGTTTTTATTTCGTTGCGAAAATGGCTCCATTTAAGCAAGAATATCGGCGCCAAATGATATGAAGCATGGAACACGTAATGCTTCTGAAATCCACTCCCTGATAAAGATTTCGCTCAAAACTGTATACCGTAATCTCAACGCTTGGACGATATAAAATAACAATATTAACAGTAACAGCGGTTCCCGCCCCATGGTCTGGGTGATAGCAATAGATTTAATAATAAGGGGGAACGGTCACCATAAAAAAATAATGCCTGACGCTTCTCGAGCAATCGGCCAATGTATTCGAAGAAACACTGACTATATCATTAATCTTTCACCGCGGTAGCAACGAGAGTAAACGAAACGCGGTCGCGTATATCTAACTATGAGAATGTGAGACAAATTCGGGCAACGCCAAAAGACCGACGCAAAATCTTCGCATGGGGTGGATTTTGCGTAAAAGCAAGGCATTGTTTTAGACAAATAATGGATGCAAAGTATTACATTGAGATATCGGGGATAAGAAGGGCAAATGGCGACTACAGCAAGACAACGATCCTTAGCATACTAGTCACATTGCTAAGGAATTTCTTCATCCTACAGTTATTGACTGGCCCACTAACAGTCCAGATTTAATCATGGAAAGACGTAAACCTAAAAATATCAGTGAATGAAGAAGTTTTTCGTCGAAGAGTGGAATAACATCCCAGATAGCCTTCTAGTCAGTTTGGTAGATTCAATGGAACAACGTTGTAGAGAGGTTATTGAAAGAAGGGTTGAAGAATATCATATTAATTCATAGTAATAGAATCTACCGCTTTCAAGCTTTAAACATGACATGTTATACGTGTCTATTAGTTTGTTCGTTGTAAAGCCAGGGCGGTTTAAACAGTTGTCATTTTTTTTTGCACACCACTGTAAGTATGATCTACGGAAATCACTCGGGCATTGAGAAAAGATTATTGTTTTGGTTGCTATCTCCTTTCAATAGTCATCAGTCCGAGTGATGCCGAGATCCAAGAATTGAAATCGCCAATTATAGCGTCCAGATTTTCAGCTTGCTGTAGGTTATAATGTATAGTATTTACGTGTATACAAAAAATTTCGTATATTTATATTAATTTTCCTAGAACCAATGTGATGCTCTAAACAAGGCTCTGCGAACAAATGACTACGAATGAATCGTTTTGAATCTCATCGGCCAAAATACGGTCAAGTTATTACTTTGTGCATTAGTATCCTGTTGCTGCTTATCAACAAATCTTCCGTCAAGAGTAACCATCACAACTTCCAACAGCTTCATAGAGAACGTAGGTACCATCATTCCAGACAATAAAAGTGTAATTATTCTCTCCACTCATTAAAAAGCCATGCTCTTGTTTAATCCATGAGATAGGTGAATCTGCAAACCCACATACTGTCAAAGCTGCCCACGGAATGTCCATCGACTTTACCAGATCACTACGAGAGAAAGCGAAAGAATTTACTAAACGTTGAGAATAGTGAGAAGTAATGTAAAATATCAATGACAAAGAATACTCGCAGTGTATTTTGCAAGATAGAAAATATCGAAGCCGATGAGATCAAGCCTGTCCATTTGATGAGTGACCCGTTGCCAGAATAATATGGATCAGGAGGTTTATAGAGCGAGACATATGAATCCACATTGTCATCAGAGTTAATTCTACGAATGTATACATCAACGTGAGCATATATGAAATCTATGCATATACAAGCTTGCTTTTTGTATACATACCTATCCGCTTGTAATGATGCCATTCCAATCCAATCGTACACTTCGATCGCTCTGTACTTCCAGTAATCATTTGTTGGATTCTTTATCAAACTAATATCTGGTATCAATATATGCGACGTTGATTGTAATGAAGGTTGTACTGTGAATTTCTGAAATTGGAATACAGACGGAAACTTCATTTCGGATGGCTTATTAGTTGCTATATAGAGTGCGGATATTAATCAGTTAATGAACTTGGTGTAAATCGAATCTTGGTATATGAACACTCACTCGCATTGATATACATAATTACAAATGGAAATGAATCAACAAGCGTGTGTTCAAAGCACCATTTTATCCTTTCGTAAAATTTCTTTCCTGGACTCATTGCCTTGGCCGATAATTGGAGCTCAATAACTAGTGTAAAATAATGACTGGGTTATGCAACGAGTCTCATGTAAAGTTCACACGTCCAAACTAAATCACAGGTATGAGGGCTTGTTAATTCCCATTCAAGTCATTTACCAAATCTTTGATTTCTAGATCCAAATCTGGCCGCCTTTCCCGCAAGTCCAAGTGATTCATACGTATCTTTTGTTACATTTAGTGTCAATATACCTACATGTCAAAATCCAAGCGAATATGTATATTAATGGATTCCTAATTATCCAGGCTCAGGCAACTCATTATCATTACCATTCCCGTCGATAGAGAACACGTCTGAGATATCTATTCCTTCAGTCAAGCTTAATGCAATGACCTGACCTACATCCAGTCTTAAGAATTAGCCAACATTTCAGCATCCCTCAGTTTAAAACCATCACATGAGTAACGAATGAAACGACTCGAAGTTACGAACCTTTGTTAACATAGTTGTTAATAAATGATTCGTCGATAAAATATGATAATGGCAAATTGACTTTATAATAAAATATCTCGCCAGTGTTCCATAGATTTACGTTTTCTGAAGAAACAACAGTCGGCAGGAATAGATCCACATGATGATTGAATGGATGGCCAAATATGATGTTGTCATGACGAGATTTAGATGAGGCAAATAAAGAACGGGAGATATACAGTTTGGATCTAAACGGCTCCATTTGAGGAATGAATCGAGCAGCTCAGGGTGCTTTGACAAATGTCACGAGATGTCTCACGTGTTACTATTATACAATACTATGGTTGTTCTTTGATAGCCTTAAACAAGAATAATAATCGTGTAATTGCATTAGTCGTCTAACGGGCATATTAATCTCTTTGCGTTATACCAGTACTTTGTCGCTAAGAGATATAGAAAATACTGCAAGAAGTCTCATAACAGTAGTTGATCGCCTTTAATTGTCAAAAAACTGATATTTCTTTTTGATAGCAATTTATTTCCTTGAGATTATAAATTCTTTAGACGGCAACGTCTTACTTAAAACTTGACTTAAATCTATAGCCTGATTAAAAATATGGTTTGTTTATTAATTATTTATTTTGTTCATCATATTCATTTTAACGTACTAAATACATACAGCTCCCAGTTTAAAAAACCCTTGTTCAAAGATTTGAAATGAAACAATAACAATAAAACTAATTGAACGTAGAAATATTGGACAAATTGCGCATAATATATCGTTATAAAAAATGATAGTAAATACAAATGCGGTGAAAAGCCGGCGCCCAAGGGAATTAAAGAAGAAAAAGGTTTGTTCATAAAGACAAAATAAATAGTATTTACTTCAAACTTCATCATTATAATTGTGCTCTTAAAACAAAACAATGGAGAGTTAGAAAACAATACAGCAGAAGATTTTAATTTTATATCTTATAAAGATAAAATGCAATGTAGAATACAAAATTCTATCATTAATTATTCAAACTCGAGGCTCACTATTGCAAAAAGTACATATGTATACGATGAGCCAATTTTGACGCCTGGAGTTTGCTTATTTACTGTGCTGTTAATAGTAAATGGTAAATTGATACTTGTTAGTCTTTACGTTGCCTGAGTCACGCCACGAGGCTCTTTTGATGCCTATATGTACAGAATGCCATTAAGAGTTCACGTTCTTGTATTTCCACGCTACACAAGTCTTTCATATTTATGCTTACCTGTTACACGCCAATTACGGCCGATTGTACATTTTTCGTTGTTTACTTAAAACTGTCTCTGTTCCAAATTTAGGTATAACACCCGGTTTTGGAAATGAAATGACTATTCCTTCCCGTTACGGAGTTTTTCCGTCTCCAAATCCGGTTAGATTTGTAATATTGATAGACAAACGTTATCCATTAATAAAATTGTCATCTGGAAAAAAAACCACCATCTCATCAGCATATCTACTGTACTACTCAATCTATGCATTTCACGAGTCACAAACCCACACATGTTCAAATTAATATGAAAAGTGTGATATCACAAATTAATATGAAAAGCAGAATACAGATCATTTAAAGAGTTACAAATAGCGTATACATCGATCATATGTAAAAAAATAAAACAAAACTTTCAAAGGTAATAACTACAATCATTGTCAATACGCATGTTAAATTTCACCGCAAGTTATCTCGCGCTATTCAAAGATCTATAGTAATAAGAATTAGTATTGCAGGTATATTTTACGAATAGTGTTTGCGCGGTCGTAGAATATTCTATTTTGGGAGTAACCATCAGATGACGGAATAACGCGGTTACCGATCCCTACCGCTTTTCCCGTTAAATTTCAGGTAACGCGAAAAACTCACCAAGGGGAAAGAAAATTTTTTCCTCGCTTCTCTCTTTTCGAGGTCTTTATTAGGCACACTAACTCAACCGCAGAAGGTAATAATTTGAAAAAAGTGATTTCTCTAAATCTGATTGTTTCTAAATCATCGTATTGTCCTTGTTAGTATATCTTATTCCAGCAGCATGACAGGAACCTGCATAATCAAGAGAAAAACGAATTCGGGGACGGCAGAACGTATTCGACGCAGGCGCCGAGCTGCGTTGGGCTTCGAATACGAGAGAGTCGTGCAGAGGACTCTCGTAAATCGCGGTATACCCGCGTATATAAGATGCAGGTGAGAATCTTACTGGGTATTTGTGGAATGGTTATTATATCCGAAGGAACGCTGCCACTAGGTGTAAATCGGAGAATTGAAAGCGCATCGTGATCCAGCTTGCAAGATATTGTGTTCAAGTAAAACATCATATTGTGTATGGATACGCTGCCACTAGGTGTAAATCGGAGTTTGGTAAATATATCAGCTCCGAAGCGATCTGAGTTGGTTCCTCTGGCCAATAAAGCTGTCGAGTTTGATCCCTCTAGCTGTGGTACATAGGATACACTTTATGGTTCCTGTTACATTTCTGAATAGCTGTGGACGTTCTTCTCCGTTACCGACAAAAGAGCCGTTGAGATTATCTGGCTTTTGTGGTGAATAGGATATAGTGATCAGCGAAACGCAAGCGCATCGTGGCCACTTGCTGTGAACGTTCTTGGCTATTATGATACAAAACGCTTATATTTTGTTTCTTTTTTGACGTTAGTCAGTGCAATTGTGGTGACGGAGGAATTGACATGACTGCCGTCCACAAGAAAACCGGTTTCTTTATACAATGCAAGCGTTGGCTGCTTCGAGTCGGTTAGTATATAAAATACATATGGAATATAACATAGTAAATGAAAAAATCAAAATGACGGTAATGTAACTCGTTATTTTTTTATAATAGGCTCCCACGTAGTGTATGGGTTAGTCGGCTCTGTTGTCAGTGGCACCGTCGTTTACAGCTGGTGCGAGAAGAGCGGCAGAGGCCGCACCGATCCTCGTCATCCTAATTAACGAGGATCGTTAAGTATTTTTATCGGAGTCAGAGTTGAATTTGATTCTAGAGCCTTTGCCAAAGGCTGTTGCTCCTGTATCCCCAATTTTATTGGGTTGGATGCTTTTTTCTAAGTTATTCAACAATTTCATAGTTAAGTCAACTAATTGATACTTGTTACACTATTTGCTGTTGAAACGTAGTAACATTAGTCATCAACAAATAATCAGTTGGACATTATGGACAACAAAGATATTTTAAATAGTTGCTCTGATTCTAGTAACTACATATCTCTATTATCAGCAGAATAATCAATTCATTCAAAGTATCAGTATTTGTTACAATAATAATAACAATAAACATCATGAATTAATAATGAAATGATTTAAATCAAATTCACGAAAAATCACCGGAAATGAAAAATCATACCGACAATATTATTATTATTATTATTATTATTATCTGTACAACTATCCTATTTTAAGCAAAAAAATTTTTTTGTAAGCCACAAAATGTTAAGGTCGAGAGATGAGAAATTTATTATAATGGTTAATTTGTACAAAGGCGAATGTAATAAATATCAAATCTAATCAGGAATCTAAAAGAAGGACGGTGAAATATTGATAACTTAACCGAACTAAAACGTAACATAATACTTTTGTAACAATAACCACTATTGTTACACAAATTAAAAATAATTTCCTGCTCTATTTCCTGCACTGTTATATATTCCATTATGCCAATTTTCATTATGCGTGCTAAACCCTCTGGACGACGGTTGAGGACTGACACTCCGCGCTCGTTGCTGTGATGATTCGTCGTATGGTTTCACATATTGTCCACGGCTTCGGGAGTCAGATGATGGAGATCGGCCAGTTGAATTGAGCATTTGGCGATTTGCACTATACTGTGTTTTTGGTTCACGCTGTGAGGAAGATGGTTGGTAAAGGTATCGTGAGTTCGAAGAAGAGGGTTTTGTTGCCGGTGCTAATGTTTGAGAAGAAGCAGAAAGAGTGCTTCCAGAGGGTTCACGCTGACGATATTGATATTGTTGAGCCGGTTGAAGTTGTTGAGAAGTATATTGTTTACGAGATGTTCGAATAGAAGAATCCTGCCCGCGTTGTGAATAATGACTCATACCCATTTGTTCTTGCCGTTGGTCTGCGTATCTGCCATCTGACTGCCGGTATCCATTATCATTGTGATTAGGAAAAGTCCTCTGCTGAGTTGATCCAACTACATTTCTAGCAGTCTCTCTTCCTCGGTTTGTCCAATCAGCTTGCCTATCCACTTGTGTTTCAGCTTGTCTATTTCGCCAACTAGTCTTTTCAGATATATCCTTAAATGGTTTCTTAACGGGTATATCTTCTTCGACGCTTCTTTCTGATGAATTACGCCCGGACGATGCAGCGGAGTAAACAGTTTTTGGTATGGAAGATGTTGAAGATATGGACGACGTCGACGAAGACTTTTGTGGAGTAGGACGAGAACTTTTCTCAAATAGCCATTCGGGAAGGTCTCCGGCTTTGTCCTCGTAGTATTCGCGTAGAACGCGGGATATGTGAGTTTCCCCTTTCCAGTCTTCCTTGTCAGAATCTGTGAATTCGAACATGGGAACGTAAACAATGCATTAGAAGAAGTGACGCGGTCAACCATCAAGAATTAGTAACAGGAGATACATGTGTGATCAGTTATGCTGTGTCAATAGGCTCATTAATGATCTTACCATAGTCATCTTCCACTGTACCGGTGATGTTCTCTTTAAGCGTGGAAGTTGCGCTAAGTAGTTTGTCCCAGAGGTAGGTTGCTTGAGATTGTGGAGCAGGCGAGCTTGATGCTATGAAGATGTGAACATAAGAATATAATTATTGTTGAGATTTGAATTGTCATTGCGTGTGCACAGTACTTTTTCACCCGATTCAGTGATTAACCTCTAGCACAATGATATGTTTTCATTTAAATTCAATGAAACCGCTTTTACGTCTAAATACTATAATTACTTCTTCCAGGGTACAATAAAGAATCGTACAAAACTCTCTTTCATGGGATGTCCGAGCTCTATTTCCCTGCAACTTACCACCATCATTTAACTCAGACCAACTTTTAACGCCTCTCAGCTTTGCCCATAAGGACTCTCCACTCTGAGCAGTAGACAGTTTATCATCGCTTCTTTGAATACCAGTCTTGGAAATACTGCTATTTCTTGAGTGCTGTTGTCGAGAAGGGGAGGAGTGTTGTGTTGGTAGTTTGGGCACAGGTGGTGCCGACGATGCAGGCAAACCGCACTTGTGTCGAGCCGGATAGAGACCGACGTCTTGACCACAATCTTTACAAAGAACCACTACTCGGGAAATACGGTAGTCGTTGACTTCAGCGACCATTTCGGCAAAAGTTAAATGAAAGTCAAAGAATAGGGTATTATATATTGGAGATTGAGTTTAGGTGTTTATGTGCAGCGTCTTTTGTATTAAATATTCTATAGAGATGTATGCTGTATGCCACTGTATGTCGTGTTATGTACGAATGGAAGTAAATGAGATTAGTTGCCAGCAACGTAGTTATTGGGAAGAGCTGTACAAACAGCTCACGTAAGTGACGAACAGGAATAAGTGCAGCAATTATCACAAACCAAACACAATTCATGGTAACAATACCCTCCCAATCAAGGAGATCAAGAAAAATCGCAATGATGTAACCGAGAATTTACACAGAATTCGTGCATTGCATCATTTCAGACCAACCGTTCCTTTGACAAATCCTCGCCATCAACTCGAGTGTAATATCATGCCTACTTATTATTAAGTCCGACTTTTTGTTTCCTTCCATTCTTCCCCTTTGATTTCGTTTATTAAACAGTTGTTTGATCCTTGAAAAAATATCTTTTAATCCAAACAGTGTAACAGTCTCCATGTTGGGAAAATAATCAACCATTTTACTTTTGAGGGATACAAGAATGCCAATCTATTAATTCTATTGGTTGAGCCGCCAAGGGAAGTATTGCCGGTTAACATTATTCAGCCCAAAAAATGCTGAATTGGATGAACAATTGTTGATTACGGGTAGGCAAACTGTTTGGCGCAGCAATCGCGAAAGTTCTGACAATGAGCGAAAGAAACGATTGGATCATCCCAGTTGAGATTGATACTAATAAAGTTAAGACTATTGGCCATCTCAAGAACTCTATCAAGGAAAAAAAAACACACACACAAGCTTTCGCAAATATTGACGCCAAAGACATCAAACTATCGAAAAATTAACGAAGGAAGAACTTCCACCGCTTTCCCTCCTCACCAGCCCACAAACGCGTACATAACATCGTACAGCGTTCTGTTGTAGTTGAAATAAACGAAGTACACTGCGTCTTAATCTGGAAAATGGAAGTTTTGAGAAGTTTGTGAACTTTAATCAATTGTGTGTAACCCTATAATACCAACAACACTAAGTATAAGGTGACATGCCATCTTCTCATCTTCCTTTATCAGTTATTTGCAATTTACTACACGACAAATATAACACCTACATTAAATACACTCTACTCTTAAATTTAATCACTCCTATGCTTTGCATATTAATATACGTTAAAACTAACTCTAGAAATATACTCGCAATTAGGTAATAAAGTCCGACATGTCCCGTGTCTAACAAGTCTTAAATAAAGAAATCAACATTATTTAGCAATCTAAGTTTGAGGCAGATACCCTACACGAAATAGAAAACGTTTTCTGTTAAGATATTATTCCTTTCTGACCGTTTCTTGTTCAATACGATTAGCATCGACGATACTAATAATTGATACAACGCGTATAAGGAGCTGAGAGAATCTATAGTCGAGATAGTCATTTTTACGTCTATCGATATCATATAAGATACACTCCTTCAGAGTTGATGTTCTGATCCGATTAGGAAATTTACGGATATCGCTTTCACTTTCGAGTGTCGCATTTTCAGGAGAGGATGTTGGTTTTAGACAGACTAATACATTAAAGACACTAGTAGATAACAAATAAAAGATTATATAGAAACGTACCATTAAAAAAATAAAGATCCAGATGATGCACCTTCATCTTAAAAAAAAGATCTGTTCATTATTCTATCTCAGATCGAATCTGCAGAAGCAGAAGGATCTTGCCGTACTGAACGTTTTATAGAATCGACTGGCCGGATTTCAGGTTTTAAGCGTCGGTATAATGTATAATCACACTTTGGATAGTTTTATAAGCACTGATTTACTCTTAAGTATGTGATGAAATAAAACTTTCCTTCGAAATAGTATATCGTCGTAAATTACTAGTACTAGCAACAGAAAGCGTCATTTGAAAACATACAATTATTTAACTTGTTATATGGATACAATAAGATAATTAACAATGTCGTTATAAACCCGATTAAACCGATAAACTGTCTATACATCGGTGCAACTCGTATAGGCATAAAAGAGATTTAACTTGATTAAAATTATAGCATACCCTATCAGAAGTATTAATACAAATCCAATTTTATATCAGCAGAATTAGCTTTACATTTCTTTCTCTTGTTAATGACCCAAATATTTTTTGCCTTTCTTAATCCTGCAAAAGTAAAGGATCCTGAACAAGCGCCAAGAAATGTGGCTATCTTGTTCGACAAGTTACTGTATTTAAGCATTTTATTATTATTATTGTGTCGTAGTATCGTATAAACCCCGAGAACAAGCCGCTAACGAACGCAAGACAAATGTTCAGAATGATTTATTGAATATCCTCATCATCTCCATATGCAGAGTACATCCCTGCTTCAGTCATCGATTCGTACAGATCTTGCTCAAAGTCGGCGTCGTCTTCGGCATCATCGAGGTCGTGGTCATCCACATCAATGTCAAGATCATGATCTGACATGTCGTCTTCCATAGATTCGTCTTCCGGGGAATCATCCATTTCTAAATCATCAGGAGATGAGTCTTCTTCAGAAGGATCTGTATTTGCTTCTCCATCCTGAAGGAAGGAGTATGGTGAGTAGAAGAGGTTTGATGTATAACGAAAATAAGTATAAGACGTGGAAGAGGTTGCATTATGTAATTTATTTACGTATTTGTAGAATTTACCGAATCGGCGTGATCACCGTCGCGAGTTCCCGGTTTGCCAATTATCGTACAATGACTGTTCACGTTCTTAATTGCCAAAATCTGGATATACGGGGCAAGATAAAGTCGCATAGTTCAGTTATATTGAAACTAAAAAGCATGAAGCGCACCGTCTAATTTTGAATAATAATTTTGCATTAACCCCTTCAAATTTTCGACCATACTTCCACCCGGCACTCTTTATCGACTTGTTGATTACCTCGAGATCGTATTCCCGTTCTTCATTATCTAGCTCGGTTATGTCATCTATACGTCCGGGACGATACATATTGTGCAAGACTGCTCGCGGTTCTAAGTACGGCATCCATGGTTGTGGTGACATGTTGGATATGGAGGAGTTTCGTTGATGGAAAGGTAGATTGTTAAACTCATCACGTTATCATTGCATGTGACTTGATCATCAAAAGATCGTCAGTACCGGTATTTTCTACGCGTTCCAACTATGAAAGAACGCTGTGCAAACAGGAACCAGGACTGCCAAGATTGATTCGAATTCTACGAAAACTCATGCGCATGAAGTTGTAGGAGAAACATGATTAGAAAAATTGGGTATGATTAAAAATTGTGTTAGAATAGGATCAAGAGCTGGTAGTATGTATAATGTTAAAAGAATTGTAATTCTCTCAGCTATTGTAGTTATTTCTTCATTAACTCACGGACGTCTATTATCTTCATTCGTTCACATGAATTCTAATCCTTTAGCGTCCGTACAATCTTCTCACGGTATCTTACCGGTCCCAAGTTGCACTCAACAATAAACCAAGCAGAAATTGCTAAATTCTCCGATCTCTCTGCTCACTGGTGGTCTCCTTCTGGTCCATTCGCTCTTCTTCATCGGATGAATCCGATTAGAGTCGATTATATACGAAGGCATCTTGCTGAATATAGAAGTTGTGAAGAAGGTGGTAGCTTGCAGAAACGACATAAGTTACCCTTTGAAGGCTTGAAGATATTGGATGTTGGCAGTGGAGGAGGGTTATTATCTGAGGTAATGTGATCAATCGTATACTGTGTATATCCATCTGCAAGTTTACTTACCGAATCATGTTATACAAAGTCGCTGGCACGTTTAGGTGCAAATGTAGTTGGAATAGATGCATCAAATGAAAATGTCCAGGTCGCTAAATTTCATGCAAAGAAAGATCCTAGGTTGATTTCTGGTCCTGGAAGAGTCGAGTATCGATGTATGACTGCTGGTGAGTAAATTTGGGAAACAGGATTGGCATTAATTTTATCATTGATAGGGAAGCAGTCAGTTAGTGAGTAGAGTAGGTTTATAGCATGAATTTTAACAATGCTCTACTAAAAGACTTTACTTATTTATAAGAGTAAACTCTTAAATTATTCTTTAATTTTACCTATTATTTAAGCTATTTATATTTTCGAAAACACGATTATAGGCTTTACATGTCAATTATTAATGCCACATTTAATTGGCGTTTCAGCTGTCATAACTTGTGGCAATTAACAGTACGCGCTCTTTATTCTTACGTTTAATAGAAGAATTGCTAGAAACAGAAAAGAATGCTTTTGATGCAGTCTGCACAATGGAAACTATAGAACATGTTGATCATCCTGCTGACTTTCTCAAGGCATGCTGTGGACTTGTAAAGGTACAACCAACAAACTCTTCAACAAGTTTTTGTCTTGACCTCGTAATCTTATGTCTTTTTTTTTTTTTTTTTTTGATAATAATACATATCACTTATAATAGCCTACAGGGCACCTTTTCATTTCAACCATTTCCAGAACATTGCTTTCCTATACCTTGACCATACTGTTGGCCGAGAAAGTTCTAAATATTGTTCCCTTAGGGACACACGATTTCCATAAATATGTACGGCCTGAGGAAGTAAGTCTAGCTTTAGATGAGATACGAGAAGATGAAGACACGAATGGAATGGTGAATAAAACCAGATGGGTTGTTGTAGATACTACTGGAGTAGGATACAATCCAATTATGGGCAAGTGGTTTGAGATTAATAGAAAGTTTCCCTGGGCCATGGAAGTGAATTATTTCTTATGTGCCAGTAGGGTGGAGGTACATTGATATCTGAATTGAATGATATGAAAATGTGAAACAGAGGAAGAATAGTTCGAATCCTGTTGTCGCATCACGAATGATTTTTAGGACAACCCTTGAAGGAAACTTTATCAGTAAAGTCGTCCGTAATTTCAAAATAAGTTTATTGTCATGCATGCTTTCGTCTTGATACGAATGAATGTCATCCGTACAATCTGATTAATTTTTTAATACTTGCATGTCAAACTGGAGGTTATTCTAGGCTGAATAATTAAAATCTGATGATACAAAAGATATTGTTTTCCATCTTCTCTTGAAGTCTTCCGACCAAATCCTTTAAGGAAAATCCCTCAAGTGTTAGTTTTCTATATAATTAGTAACTTACTCTTCGACGACGAGCTGTTTGCTGTTTGTTGATTATCTACTAACGGAGCTGTCGTCTAAATTGTTTTTTGGCGAATATGTTCCATATTAATATACAATCCAATCACCCAATTAATACTGGAGAAAATTTTAATATAAAGTCTGCATATATTTAAATTTCGACAATGTTGCTAATCATTATGCATCATCGTTATAAATTAAGCTCATGTGTAATAGTAATAGTAACAAGATGGTAATAAGTTTATTGATTACGTAATTGATTGAATCACTGCAAATATTTAATTAGTCATTCTATCCATATTTTTGTCTACTAATTATAATATATATGCTGTTTCACTATACAAATGGGAGATCCAGATGAAGACTTGGACAGCTCACTGTAGGAACATTATTAGGATCTGCAATCTCAAATCAAATAGTTGAAATAACAAACAAATAATGATTGGATACAATACAACTATGTTTTCAAATGGTTTATAGTGTCAGTATGGCCTTGCATACGTGTTCGAGAATGTCCCCTGTTTCATTGAAGAAAATACATTTTGTGGATCAAACTTGGCTTGCTGTTGTTGTTGTTGCTGCTGCTGTTGTTGTTGTTGTAGCCCGAATGGTGACTGCTGAGGAAATGAGCCAGCTGGTTGCAGCTGATTGTTGGCGTTGAATTGGTTGGCAGCATGTGGATAGTTGCCAAACCCTGCAGATGGAAATTGTCCTGGCGGATTTGCTGAGTAGACTAAAGGGTAAACGCATTTGAACAATACAATGATTAATATGGAAACTCATAAAATACAAATTGTAGAGTATGATGTAAAATATACACGTCATACTATCAAGATTAACGACATATAACATACCCGTATTCGTCCATGTAGTAACAGAGGTAGTAGTAGTTTGATGAGGCAGGTGACCAAAATTAGGTCCAAATCCACCTCCACTCGGCCGAGGCTGTAGGACGCTGCCAAAATTACCACCGGGTCCATTATTATATGACATATTGCCGCCCGGATTATTCATCATAGACATTGGGGAGGGACGAGGTGCAAATGATGGATTAATCGGCTGTTGTGGAACAAACGAAGGAGTCATTGCAGAATTCTGTCCGATAAGGGATGACTGTTGTTGTAGAGTTGGATGAACAGTCGTGCCAAAGTTCGGTTGTGAAGCAAACGAAAGATTCATGCCAGAATTCTGTCTGACAAGAGCTGACTGAGGATTCAGAGGTGATGGTGTTCCTGTATGCATTGAGCTCAAATTTGTTTGTTGAGCATAGGAAGGTTGTGATGTTTGCATTGTCGTACCAAAGCTCGGCTGTGAACCGTATGCGAGACTCATTCCAGAATTCTGTCTGATAAGAGCTGATTGCTGAGGAGGAGGAGGGGGAGGAGGAGGTGTAGAAACTGAATGGATTATTGTAGATCCATAATTCTGTGGTTGAGTGTAGGACAATGGTGGTGGAGGCGGTGGGGGATTGGCCGAATTAATTGTACTATTAAAGTTAGATTGCGCTGTGTAAGATGTTTGAGGTGGTTGCGGTGGCGGTGGAGGTGGTGGAGGTGATGGAGCCTTTGTCTCTGTTTTGGGTGGTGGTAGCGCTAGCAGCGCCGGAGTAGGATCCTTGTTCAAACCCCAGTCGTCGTCAAAACCACCAGTCACGTTAGGCTTTGGCTGTGGCGCCTTAAATGCCTCATCCAGTCTACCTTTAGCACTAGTAAATGAACTGGCATCAATAAGCAAAGGAGCCGACTTTGTCGGTTGAGGACGAGCCTTTTTAGTGTTGTTCTTTAGCGCTCCATTAGCACCTGCGAATAGCAAGGGTGCTTCCTGGTTTGGAGTTTTATTATCGTCTTTTTGCAATATTGACTCTATATCCCCATAGATATCAGCAGCTTTTGGTATGGCTCTACCTTGACTGCGAGCAATCTCGTTTTCCTTTTCTTGAAGTTCTCGGGCAAGCTGCTCATCACGTTTTATTTGCATTATTTTATTGAAATCCGTTGACTTTTGAGGTTGACTTGATTCCTCCGACTTGGGGTAATATAAAATTTGGATTTGTAAGTTTCGGTAAAAATTAAACAAAACAATGTCCCAAATCTTTTTCATGTTCATGATGGTACCTGAATCTTGATAGCTAATCCTTTATCTAATTCTTCCTGCTTTTTTTGTTCTAGTTCATCATCTTTTACGTCGGCAGCAAATGTCACGGTTTTCTTCTGTTGCTGCTGTTGCTGCTGCTCTTGACCATACTTAGTATCAATATATTTCCTTATCCTAAGAATATCACCTTCTCTCACTCCGAGTGTCTTCATGAGTTCACGAGTTAAATCAGGTATTGAAGAGTCGTCCAATTTCTCTTGGAAAAAAGTGGTAGCATATCTGTAGGCATCTTCATAACCGACGTCGGCTTTGAGGAAGAAATCAAACCAGTCGTAGTCTTTAGCAGACTGTTTGCTTTTATGTGCTACTGCAATGGCCGCTAACGGCATGTTATCAGTACTGTCTTCTACCTTCTTGCCGGTAGCCTCTTCAATGTATGCTATATCCTCTTTACTCATTTTATCAATTGGTACAGCGATTTTCACACCATTAAGTTTGTGCAAATGAATCTTGCCATCGACACATCGAAGGAATTGGGCTTCAACTTTGAAAGCACCTGTTCTGTCCGTCCATGTCCGCGTATTTGATGGTAACGGTTCTGTGGTCAACGACATTCAGAGTTCGTTGTTATTATGTAAAAAAATATTAAACTACATTTCATAAAAATTCCAGTCAACGGTAATAACACATACTCGATTTGGACTGAGCTTGTGCAGGTCGATCAGGTAATGCACGATTTGTTGGAGTTTGAATCTTTTTCGCATTATCTTCTATGTAAAACAAGAGTTTAGCAAAGAGCTATGACCAATGTGAAGATAGCTAATAAAGACTCCTACCACTTCCTTGCTTCGTTCGAACTGGTGGTCGGCCTAATGCAAACACATCGAAATAAGTCTACTGTCATTCAAGTTCTGTCATTGTGTTAACGCAACTTACTAGTTAGCACAGGCGGAGCTGTCTCTTTTTGGCGTTCCTCTTCGCGACGTTTCTTTTCTGCTTCTTTCTTTCGTTTTTCTTCGAGTCTACGGCGCTCCACGGCCTTTCTTTGTCGCTCTTCTTCCTCGTGACGTGCTAATTCCTCTTCCTCGCGACGTACCCTTTCCTCCTCTTCCCTCTGTCGTTCTGCTTCTGCTTCTGCTTCTGCTTCGGCCCCATCTTCATTCGTCTCGTAAACATCAGCAGTTTCCTCTACAATCTACAAGTTATTATAAGTTAACGAAATGCACAAGTTTTTCCTACACAAACTGCTAATTTGCACTTACTTCAACGTAAGATGCAGGTACAACTCCTTCTTCTCCATTTTCATTCCTACATTTCCACCATTCAGTACTAGATGAATCGACGACCCAAACGCTTTCTCCCTCTCGAACAGTCAGTTCATCATCACCATCGGCGTTAAAGTCATAAAGTATGGCGGCTGCCTGCAGTTCGCGGTCTGCTTCATCCTCTTCTCCTGTCGGTTGTTCGTCGTACTCCGCCTCTTGTCCTGTTTCTTCATCCTGGTATTGATCTTCTGCATGTTCGTACTCCTCATGTTGACTTTGAGTTTCGTCTTCAGCCTCAGCATATGACTGACGATCAGAGTAATGTGGTGTGGTGATAACCACGCTGGATGTTTTAGTAGCCCTGTCTAGATTAACAGTTGGCACCTCTACAGTTGCTAGACAAGCTTTTGCTTTCTGGACTATCGCTTCTGCATCGCTCTTGGAGCCTGCTTGGAAATTATATGTTGCAGCTTTTGATCCACCAAAGGTAATGTGTACATGCTTCTTATCCGACTTTATGTCCATGACATCTGTAACATCCCATTGCTGGACTGGTGCAGACTAGATAAATTATCATTTAGATTACTTTGTCGCAAGGGAAACCAAGCAAACACTAACTTAGAATAATAGTTACTTTATCTGATTCGCTTGCATAAAATACTTTCCCCTGACCGATACCCAGTTTTCCCTTCTTTTTCTTCTTCTTCTTGTCGATTTCCTAAACAATTGATAAGTCGAGCATGAGTAAATGTATATCAGACTGAAATTTGATTGACTATCTGCTCATAACGCTAAAAAGTTTTACCACAACCGCCCACGTGTTTACGCTAACTGCCGAGGCATCACCTTTCTGATGACCAGCTTGTTGAGCGTATAGTTTCAATGGATCGACATATGAATTCTTCTGATCGGCTGCACTCTGTAAAAATTGGTAAATAAATATTTTGATGCGATTATGTTACGCACAAGTTTTCAATTGAAAGATTATCTTGCATACCGACAATGCTTGGAATAGAGAGACTGACTTGTTCGCCTGAACTGTTGGAGGTTGTCCTTCTTCAGATTGATGATCTTCTTCCGCTGCTTGCTCTTCTAATGAAGTCTGATTGGGTATTATTTCATAAACGTTTGTAATTAGACTTACACGAGGACAGACATAATCTGACATAATAAGAATCCATTCGTATACAAACCTCCTCCAAGTAATTCGCAGGAGCGTAGCCGAATTGATCATTATACTTCACTAAGTACCAGTCAGGATCATCGTTCTCGTATAAATATAAAATGGCGTCTTCTGAGAAACTAAGTTCATCCTCAGTCTGTGCCTCGTAATCGTAAAGAGCTTTTACTATTGCGGAGCATTCTGCCTACATAACATGTTTTGTTGCAACAGTATGACAGGTTAACCGAATAATATAGGTATACTGATACATATACTTTGTGATCAGAAGTTATGATCATACATAGATCGAGATCAGTATGTTTTACGCCCCATTTCTAATTATTAACCGCAAGGCTATAATACAAGTATAAAAATCGAAAACACACCTCTTGCACGTAGTTGCAAGGTATTACTCCAATGGGACCTTCTTCTTCGTCTTCACCATTTGCATCTTTCGGAATCTTTAACTTAGCCTTCCACCATTCCTCATCATCGTTGTCTAATATATATAAAACGTCATCCTCCTTAAAAGAAAGTTCATCTTCGTTTTGCGCGTCATAATCATAAAGTGCTATGCAGATGTTCACGTAGTTTATAGGCATAGTCTACCGATTAAATATTTGCTCACTTGTTAGGACTATGCCGGCAAGGTTTAAAGGTGGTGTGGTTGAATGTTTACATAGTACCAGAGTATGCTATTGGTGGATATGCAAGGATCGCCGCTTTGCGTCATCGTGGAATAGCAGGGTGCAACAACAACAACAAATGGGGCAAAGTGAATTTTCGAAATTTACAAAGGATATATTCGCAGTAAAATCATGTTTTTCGTATAGCAGTTATTTTCATGAAAATTTCGGCATTTTGATCTTTGCGAAAATATTTGAACGCAAAAGTCTTGCGCAGTACATAAAAAAAAACCGTCGTTAATGTTTGACGCAATATCGTATTAAAATTAAGCATAAAAATTTCTTAAAAAACAAAGGTACCTAACATTTCTATTACATTACTTTTCTACATCAGTTGCTAAACCTTGCTAAATTAAAGACTATCCAACCTGTGTTGGTAGTGTTGATCTTGTAAATATAATTTATTTCGTATTTGTAGAAAAATAGCTATTTTCCGAATGGGTAAAAAGGCCAAAAAGTAATTTGATGCTTCGACTGGCCTGTGAATTCTCCCTCTTTGGTAGCATTATTATTCCACTTGTTCCTTTTTAATTATAAAGGCATCTCTGTTAAAATATATATTACATGCACTACTGTATGCGTTTATAATTTTAATAAGTTTGTGGTTAAATTTGCAAATAAGCAAACCATGCACTCCACGAACGATAAGATACATGAATACGATGATTGCATATTTCTATTCGGAGTGGAGATGGTTACTTAGTAACATAAAGCTGATATAACTTTCAGTTTGATACCTCAGCAGTTGAGATAATTATTGTTCGTATAACAATTTTTTTCGTCCTTGAATACTGATTGAAGATTCTTCCCCCCCCCCCCCCCCCTACAACCTGGTAACAAACGTAATTGATGAGATATGCCCATCAGCACCAAAAATACTTATTAAGGGTTTCGTTTCCATTGGATAATATATTTTTTTGTATGCCAGAGAATGGTATAGTAATATTACTGGTTGAGCTTTAAAATCCAGAAAAAGATTAAAAAATTAAGTATTTAGTGGTAAGTTTGGTGGGGTGTGGTAGAAATTAATATTGCGATAAAGACTCAAAGTTTCATGTCATACTTTTTGAAAAATTTGTAGAAATTGAGGAATATTTAAAAAATAGACATTTGAAATAGAAAAAGAAAGTAATGTTTGGGAGTGTGGTAAAAAACAGTGTAAATTAAGGTCTGTAATTAATTTCAAGCAAAATGTATTAATTAGGTACCCAAATGTTACTTGTGAATACGACATTATGTATATCCATCAGAGTTTAAATAATAAATTCTATGCCCGAGTTGTGCAAACGAAAAATCGGTTACTGAGCGTATCCAAAATGAATTTCAAACGTTTGTACGCAAGATAAACAATCGATCAGTTTAGCATTGTCTGTTCATTTTCTATGACATGCCTGTTTAAGATGATGCAAGTGTAAAGATTTGTGATACTTAAATTAATTTTTTATGCGAGGAAAATACTTTCGAATAGTAGCATTTCAATTGTCGACACTCTTTTAAACGATGGGGTATGTGGGTTGGCAATGCACTTCCAAGAAAAATAGATCCAATAGCCGTAGATCGTAGATTGGGAATTCTATTGGGCAAAGTGTTATACAGTACTTTTTTTTAAAGACGTATTTTTATTATTAGAGGAATCAACATATAACTACATTACATAATAGCATGACTCAATTGACAATGGAATGATGTGTAGTAGGCGCTTATGTCATCCGCTAGAATTTAACCATTTATGTTTATACGGGTATACAACATCGTTAAAATGGTATGAATGGCTTTGTCTCCATCATTACGAGTCCATGTATGCTTATCTGTTATCACTAGATCGAGACTTAGATAATCTATTCACTCATCACAATCAAGCGAACAAGTTATCATCAGTCAAATCAACTCTCGATATAAAAATTCTTTGGAACTATCTTTTGTTTATTCATATAACATGGCCATTAGTAGAGCTATGAAACTATGGCTTTCCTGCCATAACAATCTCCCCCACTTAATCTTGATTTTTTTTACACGTCCACATATGCTTCAACAAGAGCTTCTCAATCGAAACTGTAATGCCACCAATTGTAAGTGGCTAATGCAGTGACACGCAATAGATTGATCGAGAATCATGCTTACCCTGCAGAAGTATTACGGAACGCCGTTGTCCATTTGACGTTTTCTATTCGTCAGTTTGTCGTTATTTTTTGGGGCGGGTGCATTATTATTACCAGTATCTAAAATAGAATCCTTAACTTTTTTGTGATGAATGGGGACATTTTATTATTCCGCTTGTTGCTTTTTCACAAGCAATTGCATTATCTGCAGATAGATATTTTACTTTGATCTGCCGTTTTCACAGGTAGGTACGCTATCAGTAATCAAAAGTAGGACAATAAAGCCTTTTACGATAGCCGAGATCTCACTCAGTTGTCTCAATGGCATTATTCACCATGTCATGTAATAAAACCTGTTACATGGTTGCGCATTAGGTATAGCGTATTAATTAGGAAAGTTGGAAAGTCCGGCCTGTACATAATAATAAGTAGTATTTTAAAGAACAATGCTTTTATGCATGTATACATATTGTGTAACACTAATAATAACTATTCACGTGAGTGCTTGACTATGCGTAAGTAATATACTGTAGCTTCGATATGCTTTCTTACATTCGTGTTTTAATAGTTTTAATGTCTTTTTCTCAATTTACGTGCCAATAATTGTGCTCAGTGCCGACAACCTTACTGCGAGGTGAAGTCGAAACTATAATCTTGATCTTGTTATATTACACAAGTCGATGCCTTGACAATTGGAAACGGGCCATTTGGTTTTTAGATGCCAGATGGTATTTTCTTGGCCAAAGTTGTTAAATAAGCCAGAGAATTTGGTCATATCCTTTAGATAGCAAAAGTTTGACAACTTATCCAGCGGCTAAAATAATACTTACTGTAGTAAATAAAGCATTGCCTGGTTGGTTACCCGAGCTATCGTTCTAAAAAAATGATAGACTGGTTTATATAACTCGTTTCAGCATAAGTGATTGAGTACTGCGATTGACATGTTTGTTTCACGGCGGTAGCAACGGGGCATATTGATAGTTATCTTGATCTTCCACCACGGCATTTGATTTATGCAACGCGCGGTATTATACCATTCGTCGCTAGGTAATGTTTGACTACCGTTTCGAAATAAGTGCGACCAATTTCTCATATATTTAGATAAGTTTCCTGACAAAGAGGCGTATCGCAATTTCAATAAAGAAAAGTTTTTTATTAGTACGCATTGATCCACCATCCATCGCTTTCAGCTGGGTCAATAAAAATATATCTTGCTCGGGTCTAGAGCGCTTGAAATGCCTCACGCAATTCAACAAACTTTCTTTGAAACTTTAGCTGAGCAACCACAATGACAGCCTCCTTCCAAGGAATTTAAAATTTTAGCTCAACCGGACGTTTCCAGCAAAAGTTTTACGTTCGGGATATATCATACCCAGGAGTGATTTCGGGATACAAAATTAAGAAATTTATATCTCGACACTTTTCAACCAAGTTATGTAATCTTTATTTTCTTTACTATCGTAAAACGAAAATAGCCGGTGAACGCTTTTATCACTAAGTATAGTAACTTTTTGACCAGTCATCCAATTGACATGTAGAAAAAGATTCGACGACAAACAAAAAAAGATAAATTATAAACATGTGGAGATGTTCTGGCCCAGGCCCATTTTGAAACGAGCTGAATTTTTTGAATTTTATGTTCAAATAAGCGACATGCGGTTTTATATGTTTTCGTATGAATGGTTTATTCATTTTTGCTTTCACAAAGTTAAAATAAATACCATATTGTCTCATTTGTCAAATGGGAACGGGGTTGTCATGTGCCATAATCGATCTGTGCCACTGTCAAATATCCTACTGGTTTGTGTACCATGTGCTAAAACAAGCATGTCTTTTGCAGAGACCTTAATAACTCAACTCGAGACGAACCCGCTAAACTGGTTCCTCTTCGCATTTCTTATTTACGTGGTGTACTCATACTTGACCCCTCCAAGTAAGTGTGTGCGCGCTTTTTTCTTTTCATTCGGAACATGAAACAAAGGTTCACTTGGTATCCAAATAGATCACGATCCCCCCAAAGCGAGACATCCGGAAACAACTGTCTTTCGTCACTATACACCTAGACAGCTGAGAGCATATGATGGCCGAAGTCAAAATAAAATCTACCTGGCCGTATGCGGAAATGTGTATGATGTGACACGGGGACGTAATTTCTATGGTCCAGGTAGGGTATAAAGTAACTCTTCTCTCTCTCGATCATGTTTTTGCTTCTTCTTTCTTGATTCTGGCTCAATCGCATTATATCAGATGGACCATACGGTAATTTTGCTGGTCGTGATGCCTCGCGCGGTTTGTCCAAAAATTCATTTGATCTCGATGTATTGACACCAATTGATCAGCCGATTGATACTCTGGAAGATCTAACGTCAGAAGAATTGGACGTTTTGAGAGATTGGCATGATCATTTCAGAAACAAGTACGAATGTGTTGGGAAGTTGATTGACGAGGAAGGCATGTGAGGGATGGAAGGAAAGAAGGAAGGAAGGAAGGAAAGAAAGAAGAGACACTGAAGATAAACACATTCATCTTTATATTTAAAGCAAGGATAGGATGTATGATAATTTATCATGTCTTGACGTGACTGAAAGATGAAATCAGAAAGCTGACAACTTATTCTACATGATGATGAGTAAGATATATTTAATCCGTTCTCAATTACTGATACTAAATTGATCTCCTGCTTGGAAAACGAATGTTTAAAAAAGGAGATAGAAGTTATATAATAATTATAATAATTATTTGTTCGATCGAGGAGCCACAATAATGCCTTCGAGATTGTTGACGACAGTCGGAAGCTTATGGCGAATACTGAAGCTTGATGATTTTAATTTTGAAAGGGAACACTAATTACCGTATATAATTGAACATTTACGCACGGAACCTGAAAAAGTTGCCCGTTATTATATGGTAAAGACAACAACAACAATAATAATAGTAACCTCGAATTCTCCGAATTTGTCTTTTAGCGCCAATTATAATAACTGGATTCTGAGCCAGCGAGTCAGACCACACTTCAGTGGTAAAGCGGTAAAATTACCAGGTCGAATTGCAAAGAACTTTGTACCGAAACTTTTCTTCCAAAGGAATGTGAATTGAATAAAACCATTACATCGGCGTTCATGAATGATAACGATAAGCGCAACTGTAGGATGCGGGAAACCAACAATCGCTATTTTTTAGTTCAATACAATGACAGTTAGTGACCTGCAAACTAGACTTTACTGCTCACGACCTCGTGTCAGAGTATACAAACTATTTTTAGAAGCAATGTTATTATGAGCCTCGCTATCTAAAAACGGGTGACACGTTTTTAATTTATGTTGCGCATGATCTTACATGAGGATAGCGAATATAATCTGTTAACATTATGAGATAGATCTCTACAACCATCGTAAATGACGCTCCTTGGTGGTTCGTATATGAGATTGCGGAACGGATAGTTTTTCCGACTTTACCACTTATGGATTAGTTGCATTATTGACTACTCTACAATTTCGTCATAGAAGTTATTGATGTGCTGTAAAAAAATACGGATCGGTAGTAAAATTAGTCATCTAACTTGGACAGGTTGACGAGCCACTAATATTAACTCCAAATCGGACGGTAGATTTGATATGCGATTTGCTATTTGTAGCGTTAACGTATGGCTATGCCTCACTAATTCCCTTTGTCTAACCAGACTTTCCTAGATGGCCTGCCATTTAGACGTTTTTAAATCAAGAGAATTGTTGACACAATGCAACTTTCACCTTGAACATTGGTAAGGTGTCCTTTTTACGAATTTTAATTTGATTGCCACTGTGTAACAGCAAAAAGAGCAACGATCATCGTTAATTATAATGAGACGCGACACGAAAATTGAACTCACGGTACTAACGCAACCGATATTAATAAAATGAACGGGTGGAATAATCGCTTTGGAAAGTTCAAGTATTCAGATTGTTAAAATCTCGTCTGCATTTTTTTCATCTTCGGCCCGCTTAATAACTAACGCAAACGTGGTCTTTACCAACACAAATCATAGTTGTTTCTATAGAAATTCTTACCAATCATGGACGTTGTTATATCAATATAAAAACCCTGTATTTTCTCTCTCACCAATACCATTTCTTTTTTTCTCCCTCGAATCTTTTTCTTTCATTATGTCCTCCTCTTCTAAAGATATTATCAAAAGCTTCCTTACCAAAACGGTTAAAGCGACAACTACCACATGAACAACGTTATAATAACGATCGTGATGATAAAAATTTCCCGTTTGTTATGACAATTTGCATACTTCAGTGATTTTCGCAATTACTAGAAAAAGCATTAGATATGTTTTTCCATTTGATCAAAGTAAGAACCGAAGCTTTGTACAATAAGGGTTAACTTAAATTATTGAAAAGTCATCTGATCGTATTACTGTAACATATCTATAAAATAATAGACGTCATCTTTCGGGGGTTGTTGTTACTCACGAAAGCCTGATACTTCCATGTGATTAAATTATGCAGTCAGACGCGCCGACGTTCATCAGCAGATGGTGTGACGCATTGTCTACATGCTGTTCATTTCGGCTGATTGATTTCAATTGTACAAAAACATACACAATATCGTCCCACACTTTGCGGTATAGTCATCATAGTCAATGTCTGCAAACATGCCAAACTAAACGTTTTACATGCTGGAACACCTATCTTCGGGAGTAGATTTCAAAAACAACGTTGATGCATTGACAGCATTGAAACAGAATCTATCGATGAATTAGTGAGAATATTACTTGAGTAAGATATGCTCTCGCCGTTGTTGCGCTTGCGAATGCCATTGAGTATGTCTCGGTATAGCGACACGCTCGGTATGGAAAGTATGTCCTTATATCAAGAATTAACTTGCATACGACAAGATGGATAACTTTTTTTTGTTTTACGATTTCTGTTCTAATCTGTCGATATATTACATAGCATGTCGTATATCGAGACTCTCGTATTAATGATCCAATTTAAAACGATAATTTTTCTCTTCAATATTTCAAACAACCAAGATTTTTCCTTGATTGCCTGATAGGCACATAGTGAAACCCATTATTTACTTGGAAATTGCGTCTTACGTTTTCTACCCTCTTGTTAGCGGGATTCACTATGTATTAACAATTTTGTGCAACATTATTTATGCACTTTCTCTGTCTGGACTTTGTGGTTGCATGTCCTCAGTTACTAATTAAGCAAATCTTCTGATTTCCTCACGTATGCAGAGAACCTTTTTTTTTGTTGCTACCATTTCTTTCAACACCTTTATTATTATATTGTTACACAAATAATTGATGCCAGTAGCAATCAACATTTTTCTCATTAAATATATGTGAACAATTCCATCAAATTGAATGGGAAACGCAAAAATATGTGTTTAAAGACAATAAGAAAATGATACAAGGTTTATTGAATGGCCTCTGTGGCCTCTACGGACATAATTTAACTACCAAAAAATGATGGCAGAACAGCATTAATCGGAAATGCTAAAGATGTTACCGGCAAGAGTTGCGAGATATGAACAAATGAAATTGGGAAGCAAAGTGAGTCATGGAAAAAGCCTAAGCACAGGCAAATGAAATCTTCATACAGGAAAATACAAATCAGGGACAGTTTGTTTAATAGTTTCGCACTTGGTAAGCTGATATTAGTCATGTATAGAAGGCTCAACTTAGCACCCACAGTTGCCGGCATTCGGCGACGCCTGCGACAGGTCTACTCCTCCTCTGCCGTCCGATCCGTTCCGTTGACGCGAGTTGGCTGCTAACTCAAGTGGCATCTTTTTTGCTGTAGATGGACAAGTCGGTGCATTACAGTTTGTAACAGTCGAGATTTAGATCGTAGTCAATTGTTGCATATCAGTTAATTAATACATAATTAATTAAACTCATAAAAAGAAATGCCAGGTAATACTGACCTATTTCCGTGAAGAGCTCATTTACGTTGATTGATGTCTTGGCCGATGTTTCAAAGAAAAGGAGATCTGCTTCATTTGCGTAAGCTTTTGCTTCCTGTTAGTGCAAGTGCAAAGTAGGGCTATTATTAACAAGCAATAGTAGAGATGAACTGAGAAAAAACACAGAATGTAATCTACCTCGGTCTCGATCGCCCTACGGTCGGCAAGGTCGCATTTATTACCAGCAAGTGCAATCACGATATTTGGATCTGCCTGTCTTTGTAGTTCCTTTACCCAAGCCTTGGCTTTTTCCAGAGACGACTTTTAGAATTTAAAAATCAAATCAGCCCAAGAACTTTCAACAATAAAAAGATAAACATATAGCTTTAGACCTACCGCCTGAGTTATATCATAAACTACAACAGCACAATTCGCATTCCTGTAATACATTGGCGCCAAACTCTGCGTGCAACAAAAAGAAACAAAGAAAAAAACAACACTTTTGATATAAATTCTATTCGAATAATCGTATATGCGCACGCATCAGAAATACATACCTTGTAACGTTCTTGTCCTGCTGTATCCCTATACGAAAGGTTGGCGATTATATTAGCAACGTATTGAATAAATATAAATCTTTTTACAACGCAAAAAAACAAAAAACGTACCAGATCTCAAACTTAACGATAGTATTATCATCGAGACTAATTGTCTGTGTAAGAAAAGCAGCTACAGAAACGAAACCATTTTCCTGCGTGAAAAACGAATGCGCAGTATCTCCCGGCTAAGTATAAAGATCCTACCTCCAATAGTACTCTCTTTGTAGTCATCAAACTGATCTTTAACGAAACGCAATACCAAGCTATCATAGAGAAAGGAAAGAAAAATATCCCACAGTTTAGTAAAGCAATTGCGACCAGAGAAAGGAATCAACTGGTATTAGTGTCGGTTCGCGCGGTTTACATTGTCAACTTCGCACGACAAAGACTGCTTGAACGGTCTTCAAAGGTAGCAAGCTTCCGCTTCGTCTATGTTAAACGGAAGGTTTTGCACGAACCTTGATTTGCCGACAGCCGACTCGCCTTGTTTGTTGTCAAAACAGACAAGAATCGATAAGCAACAGTAAATGACTCGGGTGAAGCACATAACATAGAATAAAAGCTCGAAGAGAGCTCTGTTCAGAAATAACTAAAATCCGCATGAGAACGACATGATCACTCCTGAGAAAGTGTTTCGTAATATCTCGTTACCTAGTAAAACAAGCTTGAATTGATATAGTCTGCCGGTACTTGAAAGTGGTTTGTTTGGAACTGACATGGTTTAGAGACGGTAAAGTTACAGGTAGAAAGGGCAGTTTCCTCAACTTTTGGAACGAGAACGGCCGCTGTTGGGAATATAACAAGGGGAGTCGACTGGGAAAGAGAAGGGGGAAAGTAACTACGCAACAGTTGGGGCACATGAATATGGGGATAAAATGAGGGACACACCCCAAATTTTATTATAAATATTGAAACATGCCCTTCCAAGAAACAATGTGTTGCTTTACGTAGAATGAACGACAAACAGAGCGGATCACCAATAACACCGCCAGCAGGTGTCGGTAGATCTAGACGACGGAATTATTCTAATAACGGAATTAATTCACATGGAGAGTCTAGCCTGGATGTTCCTTCAAGGTAGTTGACAATTCCTCTGATCAGTGTCTTGCATATGACTGGCGTTACCTTATGAAGCGCGACTCGCCTGCTCTTATTCGTGCGACTGCCTGTTGATTTCTGTTGGAGTGTTCGAGTAGCTTTCCTGAAAGTCATTTGGCCGATCTTTGGTCTGGGCTGATCTGTTGCAGTTAGAATTCGCTGCAACTTGCGTTCGCTAGGGGGTTACTGTTCATACAACTGTACCTCTAACAACCTTGTATTTCGTAAATTAGGCGTGTAGATGCACCCAGCTCGTCTAGTCAGCATCAAGGAAGTACATCGTCCGACACATTGCCGAACCAGCCTTCTCCAACATACGCAGCAGGAGAGCCCGTGCACACATCTAGCACATATACCGGAAATAGTTACTTGGTCAGGTCACCAATGTATTCTGCTTCTTCTGCTCATCACCAACAGGCGCAGAACTTCAGTAATCAGTCGCCACCAGCAAATTCGGCGATCTCTGCGACGCCGTACTCGCCTTTCCCACCACAATATTCCTCATTCTCGACACATACGAACAATATTTCTCCGACATATGTTCCGCGATCACAGAGACAAGGTTACACTTCGCCTTATATGCCATCGTCACCGAATTATCCAGTGCCAATGTCGTCATTATATTCACCATCGTCACCTACATATACTACTTTAAACTATTTTAACATTCCTTCTTCAACGGGATTCCACCCGTCAAACCATAGTACGTCGTCTTACGTAAACGTGACGTCACCCACGCATGACAACACACATACTCCATCATCACCGCCGTCTCCGTCATCATCGACGTCGTCACCATCATTCTACAATTTCTCTGCTCTCAATAGTGCGTACGCGAATGGTGTCTCCGTCAATCCGATAAGAGCCGGTCAGATTGCTATTCAAGGTCCGCCACCGAATACGTTAACTACCGCGAGACAGTTGCGTAATTCACATCATCGAAATACACGAAATTCTGTTGGTGATTCCTCAATGCTTGTGATGCGGTACTTAATCTGCATTTCCGTTAACTTTTGCTGAAAAACTGTTTGCTAGTTCAATGTCGAATTTACGCTTTCTTTTTTGCAGATATTGTAAACAGTTGACAACCGGCTGCTTAAGAAGGAACTGTGTCAACCCATATTGCGCGTCTAATTCAAGTAAGCTAACAAAGTTTGTCTTTATCAATAATATCCTCGTATGTTAACTGTCTCGGTTGTGTTTGTAGATTTTACGCGTCTTGATAATCATGAAGCTATGGTTTTGGCTCATAAGCTAGCGGCACAGGGTGAATCACATATATGTAATAATGCAATGGATGACAATTCAAATGGATCGACGATGTGTAAGCGTCTGAATGATGCTGATATCTGTAAGTTAATATCTATGACTGATTATACTAGGTGGTTTCTAAGTGACGCGTATCCAGCTTTTAACATGACTACTACGGATATCGACAGCTTCCCATGATACCCTCAATTATGCCATATTAGAGACACTATATAATGATTGTAAAGAACGGGGAGATTACAATGATTTGTATCGTAATGTATATAATGTATTCAGCAATCACTCAAAGCTGGCCAACAGTTTTAAACAGGTTTGAAAGTCGTTTTTTGTCCCGCTTGTACCATGTGATTACAAAATGTTGACAACAGAAATTTTTCATAGATGGATCCTTATTACAGAGAACAGTGTCCTCTGAACATTGAAGAAACCCGCAAGAGTTACAATCTCATAATAAAGGAATGCCCTGATAACAAAGGAAGCAAAACTCTGGTCACCGCGACAATAGAATTACTCGAACGAATTAAGAGTAGTTATGAGACATTACAAATAGAGACATTGGCTTGTTTTATCATAATATTACAAAATCCACTGCTAATGGATCATGCCGAACATGCTGATATCATGCCACTATTGGTAGAGATTATTGCCGGACTACCAGAGAGTCGTAAAAAAATTCTCTGTCAATACTTTTTAGCAGAAAGACCAAACAAATCTAAGAGTTATAATGAGAATAAAACCGACTCAATAAAAGGAAATGATGACGATGCGAAGGCAACTCTCAGGGAGGATTTTCGGTATTATGTCATTCTATTCCAACAGTTTATCACATTACGTCTATGGACTCGAGCGACAACTCCGAATAAAGATAAAGCTGTAATGAACGCAACACGGTGTCTGAGCATGTTTTGTGAGTGTTTGCTGAACTCATTCTTAAGTAACAATTACAATTAAATATGTCGGTGTACAATAACTTAAAATTGTCTTTTCGGCAGACAAGTTAAACGAGGAAAGGAGATTATTACATTTCTCGGAATTTTATAATGACGCAGTCAACGAAACCATCGATATCAAGGATGATTTCCCGCATTTTAAGCAAAAAGATGGGTAAGTATGAGCAAATATTGCTTGCTAAAAGTGTTCTCACAGTTACTGAAGCTTATGTCTTTGTTCCCATCATTGCTAGTTTTTCGTTTTGTGACCATCCTTTCATTTTGACTCCAATAATAAAAGCGGACGTTTTAAAGATAGAGAGCATGGTACAAATGCGTCATGAATTGCAGGTGTGTGTCGTGATGGTTCAATAATTTGTATTCGATTATAAAATATCTAACTCGGTTTCGTTTCGGTACTTTTATGAAAGGACTCGTTCTTTAGGGCAATGTTTATTGGCGTGAATTCGCCCTACTTGATTCTGGAGATCCGAAGAGACCATATTATAAGAGACGCGTTGTATCAGGTACATGATGTATTCTGTAAGTCGTCAACAAAAGCTCAGTGTCTTCATTCTCATTTCGCATATTCACCATTACAGCTTGAGTCAAAGTCACCGCAAGATTTAAAAAAGCAGCTCAGAGTCCAGTTTGCAGGTGAAGATGGCGTAGACGAAGGTGGTGTACAGAAGGAATTCTTCCAGCTTGTAGTGCGAGAGATGTTTGATCAGAAATATGGTAGGTCTATTTTCATTTCTTCGAATTAACGTAAGTCTACCCCGATATCGACTAGTACTAACATGGCGATAGGCATGTTCACGCAGAATGAAGAGTCAAGACTGTGTTGGTTCAATCAGAATCCATTCGATGAGTCAGCTCTTGATGAATATAAGCTTATAGGAAGGTTGCTAGGGTTAGCGATATATAATTCAGTGATTTTGGATGTTCATTTTCCGGTAGTGTTGTATCGAAAATTGAAGGGACAACCTGCTACTTTGACTGATTTAAAGGAGTTGGACCCGGTAAGAAGACATATTTTCGTTATCGTATTTCTTGTTCAAGATTGGTTATTAATTATCATACATGTATTAACAGTCATTAGGTAAAGGATTGGAGCAGTTATTGGAATTGGAAGATGATGTTGAGTCGACGTATAACCGTACTTTCCAGATTGAATATGAGTCGTTTGGACATCGCATTACTCACGAATTGAAGCCTGGTGGAGCTCATATCAAATTAACAAATGAGAATCGACAAGGTTGGATAAACTGTAACATTTCATTCTTAATCATTCATTGGTAATCGAATATTAATCAACGTTCGACCGGTTGTTATACAGAATTCGTCGACCTATTCGTTGATTTCTGGTTAAATAAATCCATCAAGAGACAATTTAACGCATTTAAAGAAGGGTTCGATCTTGTTTGTGGCGGCAGTGCAATTCAAGTGAGTAATATATGCATTGCGAATCGGTTGTTCTTGATGAAACTTATTAAGTGTTTGTATACTCTTGGTTAGCTCTTCCGTCCAGAAGAGGTGGAACAATTAATGTGTGGTAGTCGTGATCTGGATTTTGAGGCGCTGGAAAATGTAACGCAGTATGATGGCGGATTCAACAAGAACTCCCAGGTTGTAAGGTGAGTCAAAACACTAGTGTTGACTTATTTATTCATTATGGTAGATTGCTGATGTGGCGATTAAATGTTATCACAGGAACTTTTGGGAAATAGTCCACGGCTTTACCGAAGAACAAAAAAAGCGGCTGCTCTTCTTTACGACCGGTAGCGACAGAGTTCCCATAGGTGGTTTGAGCAAATTACAGTTTGTGATTGCCAAGAATGGTGGTGATTCAGATAGACTACCTACCTCGCATACATGTTACAATGTGCTATTGTTGTGTGAATATAGCTCAAAAGAGAAGCTAAAGGAACGTTTATTGACCGCAATAAGCAATGCAGAAGGATTTGGAATGATATAATTATAGATGTTATTGGAGAATGGACGATGGTTAACCTGATTGTTCTGAAAGAGCTGTATCGGTTATTTATTGGCTATAATTATTAGGTCTAAATTTTAATATTAATCTTGTGTATTCATCGTACATGGCTTAGATGGTTAAGCGGGTTAGCATACCTGATATGATGCTACCATTGCCACGCCGAGAAAGACAGTAAAATTGATGTAAACTGCTAGATTACATAAAAATTTTAGTTAGTTTGTTAATCTTTTGCAGTTAGTTCTAATGATGTGTACTATTTTTACATTTAAAAGTTGGTTAGTAGATTTGCGAACTGGGTTGCTTATGCTCTATACATAGTGGGATGAAGATATTGACGTGATTAATTCTCTTCGAGTTCTGTAGTATTTTGCTTATACATCATATCAGGGACTCCCTGCTTTAAAAGTGTTCTTTCTCAACAGACGGCTTCCACTCGAGAGTCTATTGTGCCCAATTGTACGCAAAACTCTATGAAAATACTGTTCCCTCTCCATAATTATAATGTGATAAATGCGTAGATATTACATCAGCTTCCTACTAACAATTCCATCCTCTCAAAACACAGATCATCTCGCATAGCTGGCTCTATAATTTTCAAGCTAGCATTTCCCATCTCAGCTTCTTTATTCTATTGATACTTACTATACGTGGGGGTGCCAAAGTGAACATTGTATTATGTGGCTTAATAATAAATTAGAGACTGAAAAATTAATATAGCTGATAACAATGTGGTGCTCATGCGTAACTTGTGGATTTGTTGGCACTAAACTATTATACCGGGCTGTAATAGTAATTAACGTTAAGTTAGTCGAGACGAATATGAAGTCAATAACTAATACCATTATTAATATAAGGCTATTCCTATATGCTCGATCCCGCTCTGTCCCCAACTAATAGCATCCCAACTGCTCTCTTGTGATAGCATTGATAACTTTCATATTCCTTACTTGCTACCTTGTTTTTAGCTCAGAAGTACGCGTAGTGCACGTGCTTCCGTTGTGAAACAATTTGAATGCACCAATCATATCGTCTGATGCGCATACTATGACCATGTGCCTTATTAATACGCGAAATTAATGTCATTTTCAGAATTCGCATATTCATTAGAGTAACTGCGTGGGAGGAAATACTCGGACCCAAAGCGCCATTATGTACAACAACTATGTCAATTCCTTCGTCTGGTCCCTTACTGTAACAGAGAGAAAATGAGTAAACGTATCACTGTAGTTAAAAACCAATTGAAGAACGTTCACAACAGGCCGTTTTATTCACCACGCCTGCATATCCCTCAAAGACTTTGTCGGCAACGGAGAATGATGCTCACAACTATTAAGACATTATATTAAAGATCGCAAAGTATTTCATGTATCCTATTCACCACGCCCGCTTCCCTCAAACGCTTCGTCGGATACGGGAATCAACAAATGTATTTACACCTACTGCGTTTACCCTCAGATACGCATACTAAGCAATCTTAATAATAATAGCTTGCAAGCTGTAGCATCGATATGCTTTAAATTCTACACCCAAGTGGCAGCGTAACTTCAGATACACTATTAACTACTCAACTAATTATACTCGGTGAAAATTCTCACCTCACAAGGGTATAAAACCATCATTTCGCAATAGTTTTTCAATTTCTTTTTCAAAATCTTTCCGTTTCTGTAGGAATCTGCCATTAACGAAAACGTTTAATTCCGTTACCTTCAAAAGAAAAGAGAAAAGTTAGATGGATTCATTTCTATAGCGCTGGCTAATATTAAAAGTAGACAATGGGATTAATTAAAACAAATAAGGTATTTACTTCTTAATTATCTAATATAAATAAAAATCAATACAATAGAATATTACACGTAAGCTATCTTGAGTTATAGTGAATCGAAAGAGAGAGAACGAAAATAAGAGAGAGTGAAAAGTTAAACAGATTTCGGACAACGTTATTATGTGCTTTTGTCACGAAAAAAAAAAAAGCAAGTAGGAATATTGGAGGAAAACTGGCCTGTGAAGATGGCGTTTATGACAGAAAAGTAAAGTGGTACAATGTATATCGATATTCAGTAACAGCAGCCAAAAACTCTCATTATTAAGAATCAATGATGCAAAAGGTTGTCATTACCTTCCAACTTGGTCGTTCTAGTGACATCTACATATTATTCGTATTTTTATTAACGTTTCTTCTTTACTCATATTTCTTTTGTCTTCTAATGAGAACCAGCCTTTCAGAATAAAAAGGCAATAATGTTTTTAATTTGCGTATTTTGAGGTGGTTTATAATTATTTTTGTTAAGTTCAGCTCATAAGTTTTATCAAGTAACTTTGACAATATCCCTCTTTGATCGGAAATGGCTGCTGTGATGTAGTATGTTGCTACAACAATAAGTTTACATGCGATTCTTATTACGGATTATAATAAAATAGCTTATTCTATAAAAGGAGCAAACAAATTCTACGGGACGTGTATCTTTTTGCTTGACAATTTCAATTAGTATGATTGATTATTAATAGGAAGTAATTCAGATATATCCTTGGTATTATAGCATTTCTTATCCACCAATTAAATAGCAACGACTAATATCAACAAAATCACTAAAACTACGATTAATATCCCGATACAGCATTCTGACCTTGATTCTACGTATCATACGAGTTCGTGTTAATCAAAATCAGCACTTGTTCAACACTAACGACGACTCTCCCGCATAGTGTCTCATACCTACCTTCATTCTTTTTAATAATATATGCTACTTTGGACATTGCCCTGCTTAGACGATCTTGTACTCGATCGACTTGGCCACCAAATTCGTCTAGTAGGCTACAAACAAAAGCAGTTGATATACGAATAAGAACAAATCTATACGCAGACTGGGAATAACCAGACAACGTTATCTAAAGAGTCCCACGTGGTTTGGTCTTCAATTTCTTGTCCCATGATCGTAGCAATTTCATGGATATTCCGTGCAGTTCCATATAAAGAATCCAGATGTTCATCTTGCTCTTCTATTAGAACCTGTGAAAAGGAAGAATACGTATGTAGGCTATAATTGATGCTTGTAGAAAGCAAAGCCAAATACTTCAAGAAAACAACACAACACACGCACGCTTTGATGAGCCATTTCATTCTCAATAAATTGTGAACTCTTCATTTCGACATCTTCATATCGCACCCGGGAACTATGATTATCGGCAGCGCGTAAAGCTCGACCGCCTTCCATCAATTCCTGTAACCGAAGAAGTATAAGCAGGGGAAAAATTCCCACATTTCTTATGACTAAATAAATACCTGCCGTCGTTTATTATCAGACGTCTGTAATTTCTTCGGTGGATCAGCCAAAGTTAAACGCATATGCTATTAATCGAAACACAGATATGAAATCGTTACATATATTCTATATTGTCATTGCAAGGCAAGCTGGTTTACACAAAATACACACCTGTATTTGTTCTCTCGTGGTCTCGACAAACTGTCGCCGAGAGACTACATCTTGTTTTGTGAGACCAAATTTTGAAGGATCGCTTTCAACAACACGTATACAATTGGTTAAGGATATATCAAACGATTCGGAAATTGGCAAAATTTATCGTTTAAAGGATATTAATAGTCTCCTCCAAGTCATCCAGGTCCATTCCAACATTTTGTAGCATGCCTGTTAGCTCCTCTTCAGTACGTTGTAGTTCCTCATTATTTCGCGAGGCAACTGTATTATAAATACGTGACCAGCTTTGAAATATGGTAGTAGCATTTGCAAAGTTTTGCTCAACTTCTCTATAGTGGAATGCCTAAAAGTAAATTAAAGAACGAGAAACAACAAGTAACTTGAGATTACTGTGGAACCAGAAAAGGCCTACTCTTTGACTGCAAAGAATGGATCTTTGGTGTACATGGTGTGAGAAAGTAAAAGCAACAATAATTATCTAAAAAGAATTTATGTACATTGTGCCCCTTGCAGTCCTTATTATTATTGTTGTCCAGAAACAATCGATTGGGTTAGACGTCACCAACATTGATTTTAATTTTAATAATGACAGTAACCGACTCAACGCGCTCAACATTCTCGTTCTCAATAACATTGAACGATGGATTTGATCGAACTTTCAGAACAAACTGTTTCCTCTTTTCAGATGGATCAATATTCACAAGAAATTCAAGAGTCTCATGACCTTTTCTATACTATTGCCGTCTTCTTCTTTTCGACACTTCCGAGCTGGTTCTTTTCTATAACATACTCGATATCTGCATGGATACTCACTATTCTCTCTTGGTCCTTCACTCTTCAACTAAACTTTCCTACTGTGGTTGTACTGTTTTTACTCCTGCTCACCGGGCTTCGCCTTCTGACTACATATTCTCGCTTGCCAACAGTTGCCCCTACAAATCAGGGAGGAGGTTTCGATCTCCACCCGGACGTCGTAGACGGCCATGAGGCATCAATAAAAAATTGTCCTGATAAATTCTTGAGTATGTTTTTGGAGGGTATTAAAGTGTTTGGGTATTTGGAGGAACCGGTATTTCATGAGTTGGCTAGACATCTGCAGACAAAAAGATTGTTAGCTGAAGATACATTAGATCTAGAGAAGGAGAGGAGTTTCTATACCGTAATTGATGGACATGTACAGGTGTTCGTCAAAGTTGGAAATGAAAAGATCATCAATGCGGATCCATTCGAGAGCGATGATATGAATGGAGGATATCAGTTACTGAATGAAGTTGAAAGTGGAGGGACTTTATCCAGTTTATTTACGATATTATCCTTATTTACTGATGATGTTGAGTTACGATATAGCGAAGATCAACAGAATAACGAAAAGGAAAATAAAGGAAAAGCCAGTGAGACAACATTCATGTCTTCGTCGTCAAATGGATCAGGCCAAGAAGCTTGGTCTAATGTCTTAACAAATTTAGATAATCAAACCCCCCCAGATGAAAATTATCGCATACATCCCACTCAATCCAATGGAACAAATGCAGACGAGAAGGATAGTTTATTTTCATCAATCGACTCATCCACTAAACCGCAAAAATATACATTATTCGAGAAAGATAAGAGTCTTAATAGATCAGTTCATCCGAACATTATTGCACGTGCAACTGATGATGCTACTTTGGTTGTTATCCCCGTCGAGGCTTTCCACCGACTTACTGAAAAGTTTCCAAATGCAGTCGCACATATTGTGCAAGTGATTCTCACGCGTTTTCAACGCGTCACTTTCTGGACAGGATATAAATATCTTGGATTGACTAAAGATCTTTTAAGAACAGAGAAAGCAATGAATGACATTGCCAGTTATGGTTTGCCAGCGAACTTTTTCCGACCTGGAAGCATGGAAAGATTGCGTCGAAAGTTTGTTAACGAAGGCAAGAAGAATCTCAAAGATGATGCAGTGCTTGGTGATCGTAGATTTATGAAGAAGGTCAGGCCTTACTCTCGCCCAGGACAAGATTTAGCATATGGAAGTGACGTCGAATTTACTCCCGCACCACGTTTTCGTCCATCCTTTGTAGATGAACCGCGAATCCATTTACAGGAAAATTATCTCAACGTACAGAATAAAACCTTGAAGCCTGCACAGGCCACGCCTATCAAGGATTTTGATGCAGAAGATGAGATGTATCTCCAAGAAGCCGTTTTTGAAGGCATTGCAAAAGGTATTGGCCTGCTACGACCAGCGGGCAGAGCAAAGCCAGGAACTTCTGAGACTGGAACACGCACGCATTATTACTTTGATCCGATATCTACAGCTCCCTATCATTTATTTGGTAGCAGCCCATACAGTAGCACGACAACGTTGACAGATACCCTGGATGACGACTCGGTCACTGATACAACATCAGCTACAAGTGAGTTTGATAGCGATGTGAAGATACTATTTTACTCAAAAGGTAGTCTTCTTGTTAAGGAAGGAGAACGTGACGTTGGACTGTTCTTTGTGATCGATGGGTTGCTAGATGTATCTGTCTCTTCTGTGGATAAAAAGTTCTTGGGCACAGCTATGCCATCAACGCCAACAAAAAAATCCAAAGATAATGAATCTAAGAAACCACCACACAAAAGGAGGGACTCTCATGTTAATAACGCATCAAAACAAACAAGAGATAAAAGTCTTTTTATGATCAAGCCAGGCGGTATTGCCGGATATCTTGCCGCATTGACTGGTTTTCCGTCATTTGTAAATATTCGCGCCAGCACGGATACTTGTGTTGGCTATCTACCAAAGGCGGCTTTAAGCAGGCTAATGGAAAAGAACCCCAACATTCTTCTTACACTCGCCAAGCGATTGATCGGTTCATTGTCACCGTTAGGTAATTACTGTTTATATAACTTGAAATGATGCCATAAGTTTGGGTCTTAACCATCCCATTACGTTCGAATCTGTAGTTCTTCATATAGACTTTGCAATGGACTGGATGCAGGTCAACGCTGGACAAGTGTTATTCCGTAAAGGAGATCCTAGTGATTCTATTTACATTGTTCTTAATGGACGTGTGCGTGCGATTAACGAAAGCGCTGACGGAACTATTGATATTATTGCAGAATATGGCCAGGGACAGAGCATTGGAGAATTAGAAGTCATAAGTACATATGATTCCGTCACTTTTTAAATTTTAATTTTTCTTTACTTTATGTTTCTAAGTTATGATTCAATCCGTAACATTTTAGCCAACACTCCACGCTCGTATACTCTCCACGCAATCCGTGATACCGAACTTGCACGCATGCCGACAACCCTTTTCAACGCTCTTGCTCTTCGTCATCCTGAAATTACTCTACATATTTCTCGCCTCATTGCCTTACGTACTCGTCTTGGGCAAGATCGCGAGTTTAACCGCGGCAATGCAAGTTCCGAATTTGGAAAGAACAATACCAACCTTAAAACGGTTGGCATACTTCCTGTCAATAGTGGAGTTCCTATAGCTCAATTTGCAGACAAACTAAAGAATGCATTAGAGATGACGGGGGAGACTGCTATTTTGTTAAATCAAGCCTCCGTTACATCTGCCTTGGGGAAACATGCGTTCAGTAAGATGGGTAGGTTGAAATTGATAAGTTGGCTTGCTGAACAAGAGGAGAAGGCGAGGATAGTGCTTTATTTGGCGGATGGAGGAGTTAATTCTTCGTGGATGCAAAAGTGTATCCGACAGGTTTGTTGAGGGATATGAGGCGTTTGATTCCAAGATGAAACCTGAGATGACGGATAGATGCTAACGGTGTAGCGTATGTGTAGGCGGATTGTATTTTGCTCGTCGCTCTTGGTGATGGTGATCCTTCTATTGGCAAATACGAGCGATTGTTAATCGGTGCCAAGACGACTGCTCGAAAAGAGCTTGTTTTACTTCATTCGGATCGGTCTTGTTCGCCTGGTACTACTCGCCAATGGTTGAAGGTAATGAGAACGAGCAAGTGCATGTATATTTGTTCGTGCCGCTATTGTTAACCTCAGTGTCACGCTTTTAGGATCGCATGTGGATACATGCGCATCATCATGTTCAAATGCCTCTCGAGAAACCCACGATACTGGAACAGACGCCTAAAAGCCCTTTAATGAACATCAGAGATCATATATCCAACTATTATCCTCGTATTCCTCCGCAAAGATCGACAACGTTCAGCGGGAATCGTAGTGATTTTTCTAGGTTTGTTTATGTCGATATGTTCTAACACATTTCTTTAATTCTTTATCTAATACTCCTATCCTTTTTTGCAGACTTGCCCGACGTTTATGTGGCAAATCGGTGGGATTGGTGTTGGGTGGTGGTGGTGCACGAGGTTGTGCGCATATTGGTGTGCTTCGTGCATTAGAAGAAGCGGGTATTCCAATTGATATGGTGGGCGGTGTCAGTATTGGATCCTACGTGGGAGGCCTGTATGCTAGGGTACCAGATCACGTTGCTATAATTGGACGAGCTAAAGCATTTTGTGGGAGAATGTCCAGTAAATGGCGCCAGATATTTGATTTGACATATCCAGTGACGGCTTGGTTTTCAGGTAAGAAAACAGAAAGAAACAGAGCGTTAAAACGTGATCACGCGTATTGAACAGTTTTCATCTGCCTCTAGGACATGAATTTAATAGAACTATATGGAAGTCTTTCTTTGATACCCAAATAGAAGACATGTGGCTATCATACTTTGCGGTTACAACAAATATAACATGGTCCAGAATGGAAGTTCATCAGAGTGGGTCTGCTTGGAGATACATACGAGCCTCTATGTCCTTAGCAGCTTTTCTTCCACCATTATGTGAGAATGGTAATTTGCTGTTGGATGGAGGATACATGGATAATCTACCGGTAATGTATAACAAGTTTGTATATGAAGTGATTTCTACCATTTCCTTTTATTAATTTCAATAAACATTATGTAATGCAAATTATATGATGTACAAAATATAATGTATGCACAGGTTTCAGTGATGAAATCGATGGGGGCAAAGACAATATTTGCCGTTGACGTTGCTGCTCACGATGACACCTCTCCCGTTTATTACGGAGACTCCATCTCCGGCTGGTGGGTCCTATTTAATAGATGGAACCCATTCCGTCGCGGAGCGAAGATCCCTACTATGACGGACATTCAGTCGCGCTTGACATATGTATCAAGTGCTAAAACGCTGGAAGTGGCAAAGAAAACTCCCAACTGCTTCTTCATGGAAATGCCCGTACAACAATATGGTACTCTGGAATTTAATAGATTTGAAGAAATAGTGGAAGTGGGTTACAAGGCGGGAAAGGAAATGTTGAACAAATGGAAGAAAGAGGGGAAATTAAAAGAGTTGTTTGACAAGGGAGATGCTGAAACTAGAAGAGGGCGTATTCGCCGACGTAATAGTGTCTAACATAATTAAAATATAAATTATTATCTTTCAAGTTTTGAGGCATTGTCCAATGTTAGAGAATTTGTTCTCGATTGTAATGTCCTTCACATGATGACGCTTATGTCATCGAATCTTTTTGCGGTTGATTTGTGTCTGTACTGTAAGTCCCATCAAAAGGATCTTTGCCGCTAATCTTCACCGACGTAATGGATATAATGAGGGGTATTAAGATTATCACGATCAGAACGATGACCCAGCGAGGTAACGGTGAACAATTTTGGCGTTTCCTTCTCCCCTGTCGTCTTCCTGATTGACGTTCCTCATCCACTATATTTACAATGTGCGGTCGTGAAGAAGTGGAGGCGCGCGCAGGCACGACTGAGCTGTATGGTGGCGGCGGTTCAGCTGACGGTTGAAAGTGCACGTTTCCATACTTGTATGTATACAGGTTTGCATAATTTGAGTCTGGACTTGAATGCGCATTATAAATTGCCGGCGGTATCGAAATGGAATGTGGAGCCGGTAGCGCATTCGAGGACGTTGGTGTAATTGTTGTAGATTCTGAAGTTTTCACATCTGACGTTTGAAAATTCATTTGTGGTGGTGTCTGTAGAGTCTGTTCTGGGATCGGCGCACTTTGTGATTCAGAAGCAGTTTCGCTATTATTTCGTTCCGGTTTTTCAGGAATTTGAGTCATTTTATAAACACAGCGAATGTATGAGAACAAACAGAAAAAATAAAGCTTGTTCTATAAAGCCTAATTATTTTCACGATCATGCTTATATATATATAGTTAGAACCCCACAAACGAAATATCGCATAAACGTTTTTGTTTGGCTGTTTGACAGCAGATGATATTCGGTTTTGGTAAGCAACGTCATTTGTGTTCACATTCTGTATACTAAATTCGCATTAGTAACAAAGACGTATTCGGTCGGCTGAACGAATCAGCCGGGAAGGGGAAACCGAAAAATCAAACAATCCGTCGGTTAATCGTTTGCAACAACTCGAGTCAATCAAATGGGCCAACTCAATCGAATTAATCAATGCCAACTTTAGTTAGTTGGCACTAAGTCAATTTTATTTGATTATCGCTAAAAAGTTAATCAGTTGACTCATCTTTATTACGTGGGATATGAGTGAAGGGGCGGGAATAAAATCATGTTCCACATTTTGTGTGAATAAAATAATGCACCGCGGTCCGAACTCTGCCCGGGCCAATAATAATAATAACAGTGTAAAAATGTGTATGTGTCATGCGATCGGCCGATCGATGAAATCCTCGATAAACTAACGACTTTTCGGGAATTGTTGTATATTTTAGGACGATTTTCGCTTGGGACCTAAATACCCGGATAAGGAAATCGTGGCGCTCGCTGATGTAACGATGAAGATTGCCAAGAATGACGAGGCGTAATATTAATATGATTAAAGAAGAATACAATAACGATAAATTATGCACTTGAACAGTGGATGCCGTCATCATTCAGAGCCTCTACATTATAGAGGTCCGGATTTGAAACTATAAAAACTTTGGGCGTTCCAAAAATAAAGAGGGAATTCTATACGTCGTTTTCAGCGCTACTACGACATTATTATAGTACTTGCTGTTTAAAGTAATTTAGATCACATGATGAAACTTTGTTTATCTCACTCCATAATAGAACGCGATTTTTGCTACTCTTCCAATCAAATAAGGTATGCTTATCATAACTACTTTGAATAAGGTTAAGTCGAACTTTAAGCCATAACTTATCCATGAGTACAGGCCAATTGTATTCGAATTGGAAATTTACGTTTAATGCAAATTAATTAGTTAAACTCGTATTGCGATGCGGCAATTACGCTCATCAGCTACTGTAAACTAAATGTAAAGCGATGATCATATTTACTAATACAGAACTCGCAAAGTTTAGCGCCATGATATCTATCTTCTAAATGGCATACATTATGGCTTGCACCCGTCAAATTATTGTTGCGAGTCTATATCAAAGTTGCTTGCGCAGGGTTGTTTTAAAACACGAGAACAACCAAATAGCATAAAGATAATCTCCAGTTCTTTATCAGTAACACATACAGTCGTACCTCAGTTATGTCTTCCCCCTTGTATCCCAGTTCCCTGTTCCCAGTTTTGATTTTCCCTTGTATACAGTACAGCAGTATTCTCGGACATTATGTTACACCAAGATGCAACATAAAGTCTACAGTCGAACCTTGTTATACGAATTTCGTTTTTAAAATTCCCTCGTTATAATAATAACGTTTACATATGCTACTGTTCGCTTTATACGAAGCTGTATCACGTGATAAAATAGAATAGTGATTGGCGGTCGCAGATGAGTATCGTACGATTTTTGGTCATACGAGTGTCAGCGTTGTATTTTTTAAATATGATGAATTCGTGCATTGAAGAGGTAAATCACATGAACGCAATTGATCTGATATTCTCTTTCAAACGCTGATAACTTGAAAAATTAAACGTAATCTTATTAGAAGCGTAAATTGAACAACATCTCGCGATCAAGCGAGTTTCGACGGGTATTTAGCGGTTGGAAGAGAAACGTATAACGTCAAATGCAAATAAAGAAAGCGCTCCTACATTTACTAAACTTCAATAAGTATGATTATTAATTGCATAAATTGACTTTATGCTAATTGTGATCTTAATATTATACCGAATCACGTGATATACACGTATAGGGCTATATTCTTCTAATACTTATGTATAACAGTCCTGATAATCCACACTATTGTGTTTTGTCAATTCAGAACACATTGAATATGAGGTAAGGCAAGCTATACTGGCACTTGACGATAATTATCCGTAAACGTCATCATATTCAACATTTTGAAATATACCATTTACAAGACTGATTCCTGCCCTATAACGATATGATTAATAGGCTATTCGCCCCGTTATGGATGACTCTGCTGAATTATTTATATTTTCAACCGATCCCATTGAGTATTCATTACTTTTGTCGTTTGGAGAAGCGTTCTGTCATTTGCATAAGAAATATTACAGTCTTCATTCTCGTCTAAATATCTCAACACACAAATGCTTTTACTAAATGCTACCATCGCCCGCGATTTCCACCCCGTCCACGTCCCCCACGTCTATTAGCACCACCACCACCACTACTACCACCACTACTACCACGTCTGCCATTTCCACCGCGTCCCCCATTTCCACCGCGTCCCCGCGAACCTCCATCGCCTCTTCCCCCTCTACTCCCCCCTCGTCCACTTTGTTGACTTTGTTGCTGTTGCAAAGATTGCTGCCGGGGCCCTAAATTATTGCTGTCATTATTATTTGGACTCACATTCGTCAAAGGAGGTCTGTTTGTACTTTTAACTTTAAAGGGAACAAACGGGGGAGGTCCATCTTCTTGAGTGGATGTATTACCCGTTTTCTTTGCACCCTTATGGGAGCGATTGATGAATTGCTACAAGATAGAAAACAAAAAAGAAATAAAGCTTTGTTACTTTTGGACGCAATTGCGAGAGCTGGTAGATCCCTTTGCTTGAACGGAGAATAACGCGTAACAAAACGCTTTCCAAATGTTGTATAGAATTAAGCTATATTTCCCTCCTGAGTTTAATTTATGCGTTCATTACGACCTTTCCTGCCTTCCATTCTTTTGTTAATTCATCGACTTCTCCGCCTAGAATTTTCAGCATACCAGGCCCCAACAGAAGAAAATTGTCTCGAATGACAATATTCTTTTGAACAGAGACTTTTATACCCGGCGGGGTATTCAGGCTAAGCAATAGAATAAGAAAATTAAATGATGAATTATACAATACCGTCCCCAATCTGGATTCTTCCCTTCTTTTTATCGTTATTAAATTACTCACGTGATTCCTTCTACCTCTCCTAACATCTCGAACCCTTTGACTTTCTTCTTTCCATCGGTAAACTCTATCTGCAAAAGCCGTGGAAAATTCGATTGATTCTGTTGTGGCGTCGACAAATTTGTAATGGAGAGAATTTGGAGAACTAAAGGCGATGAAACATGAGACTTTGTTGTGATATCTCGTGGCAATGAACCAGATGATATGTGGCGAAGATCCGTCTGTGGAAAATAATGAATTGACGAGCTCCCTCTGAGTTCAAGAAGGTGACATTGTAAACATCATTTATGAAACTTTTATTAACATTTAACGCTTCTGCAATAATTTGTTGGACCGTAAGAGCTTCAATGTCGCATTCGAGCGTATCAGCTATCTGAGAAATGCCTTCTTCGTTTAGAAACCTGCAAGACAGAAGGAGGGAGGGGTTTGTTTGGTGTGCAGTTGAGGGTTACAATAATATAATATATACTATTATGATGGCTTTAATTAGAATGTTGATAAACCTACCAACCTGACTTCTCTAATTCGTCTTTTAAGCTATTCATTTTTTATATTTTATGACGGAATGAATTGAAAATGTGAAATCTAAGATTTGATGATCCTCGTGACCAATATATTGCATTGTCGAACCCAGAACATTTTAATGTTCGATGAGGAATGTATGTTCCGAGCACATGCGATATCCATTTATTAATAAGCATGTAGGGAATAATAATAAACTATAATAATACAGTGCTTCGAGCACAACGGAACTAGATAAGTTTACGCTTTTTCGAAGGATCGATTGATCTATTTGTTTTCTCGAGTTTATTTCTTTTCATGCCAAGTTTCGTTCCAAATTTGTTAATTCAATTTCGCTTGTTGTTCCGTGATTTGGAATTGAGGTGGATGTTTTCAATATCTTATTTGCTACTATTCTCAGATGAAATAGATTTAATTCTTTAAACTCTTTGCATGTCTTAGAGCATCGAGATATCTTCATCTACTTTATGACACTCTCAAAAGCTCCATTATGTTACATTTGTTATTACCATTCTTCTGATTGAAGCACTTCTTTATTCATTTGTTACGAGAGAATGGATGACTCTTCAATAAATATGAAAAGAAAAATAAATAATTACAGGAAGCGGTAGATATAAAGCGGTCTTGGCCAAAAAATTCCGAGAATTCCTTTCTTAGTAATAACACCCCGATGATAAATAGAAATCTGTTAGTCAATAAATCAAATCCTTATTCCGTTGACTAAAAAAGATTTGGTCATCTGCTACTATAGTATTACGCTCAACATGATCCTACCCCTAAGCCGTCATGCGATTTCCTGTAGAGACAATAGACCGCTTAGTAATGTTGATCCAGTAACTTCACAGTTATGTAATCTTCAGACCGTAAAAAGAACAGCTGTCGAGCGCCGAATAATCAACATACGTTCTGACCAGAATTTGTTATGAGCTACGAAATTGCCTTAGAGTCAAACTGAAAAAAAATCATTATTTTCAAAGTTCTGACAGCGGATTCTGAAACGATCACTGTTGCCAAGTAACTAAGCCTTTCAAGTGGACTAAACAGACTTTGGAAATTTTGCTGCAGTATAATTTCGCTCGACAGTTAAGCTCACATAATACCCTTCCATAATTTCATCCGATGGCAGTGTTTCAATTACATTATTATTATTCTTTGGACATGTCGTTTTGTCGGCTGTAGAAACACTAAATCCTTTGTTTTTTAAGTACAATTTCCACAAATTAAGATATACATACTTGTTTTCTACAATCTGATAGCATTACTTCCTCCTAACCACCAAATTACAAACGACTTTCCAAGTTTTCTCCTACCTTCATTCACCCGCTTCTCTTTCCTCCCTTTCCCCTCTTCTCCTATCTCCTCCTACTTCTCTTATTCGCCCTGTTCGTTCGCGATGCGCTCTGTCGCAAAGCAACATCTCTCATGGTCCATAAACGAGTGATATATTCTTCTTCCGACTTACCATCCTCATCATCTTTCACCGTATCTGAATTGCGCTTAAGAGGCGGATTGTGTGATGATGAATGAGACAGAGACATGTTTTGATTGGGGAATGAGGATGAGCGGGGAGATGAGGCAGTGGGATTACACGGGGATTTAGTGTGAGCCGTTGGAAAGGTTGTTGGAATTAATGTTTCTATTGGCTGTACAGTTAATTACGTGGCCGGAAATAAAAGTTAAAGAAGCAGTTAGCATTCAATATCATTCCTGGCAAATCTGTTAAAATTCGATCAATTCATACGATACAAAATGTGTGTCAGTTATTTATTCTCTACCTTCGCCGCTAGTTGTTTCTCTCGTTTTCTGTAAAGTTCAGCCAACAACTTGTCCGGAAGAGGTGGTTTGATAACTGTTGAAATTTGATGAAAATTCAGACAATTCTTCATGCCCTGATAACCTAATACTTTTGTTTCTGCACAGCAATCCTTGCCTTACCCCCCTCACGTTCACAATATTCCACCCCCATACTTTCTAAACAACTTACTCTGATCAGCACGCTTCGGTATAACATCCTCTTTTTCAGGCGGTATATATACTCTGCATCTTTGATTTAGGCTGCCACATTCTCCTATCCTCGATCCGAAAGTAATATCTGTCGAGGGCAGTGATTTCAAGTGTGCTCTGACTTTATTACTTTCCGGAACAACTACGAGATTGTGTGAAGGTAATACTTCGAGCGTCTCCCAGTTTGCTTGCATTTTTGTAGTGATAAAAACAAAGAATGTTTAACAAAAATTTTGGCGGGTAAGAAATTTACTTCATTAATTTTTATATTAACCACGTGACCTGAGGAGGAGAATGTTGCCCCTTCACGTGTAGCATAACGCGACGCGGGACAACAACCTTCAGTCAAAGATTAATTTCTGTCAAGTCTATTAATATTAAGGAACGTTATTATATAAATGTTTTCGTGAGAGTTCAAACTCAATAACAAACGGCCGGAATGCATAGTAAATAGAAGTTTAGCGCGCAGTGCACGTGTTTATCTTCTTACCTTAAGCCACGTGACCAACATGTTACAAAAACTTTGTGCTGGTCACACATATCACTAATTTGATAGCGTGCGGTTTATAGTTTTCTTAGTCGTGCCTTTCCCAACTCTTCATAGTAAACGGGTGGTTATTATTTACGAAAGTTAATGCGTACACAGTGGCTCTCTTTATAGTGGAGACACAAAATCCAACAGTTTTCTACACTATAACGAGCTATACACAAAAAAGAAATCTCACCATATAGTGTATTTAATAATATATCATGTGACATACACTATAGCGAATTTGATTAAAAAGCGGTTTATTTCGTATTAACACGCAAGGAAAAGCAGTAAAAGTTTTTAAGCTGAAAAAAAAATAAGATAAATGATCACTGAAAGTATTGGATAATGTTAGACTGGTGCTTGTTTTCAATATTATTTCGAAGAATTTGATGCTTTAAACTATTTAACGTTTTCATAGTCACTTTTCTGAAAAATAATTTCGCATTATTATCTTTTATTATTAACAAACAATCTCACACATTGTCTAAAATAATAGAAACTCTCGTATTATTATAGTTCTCTTAGTTCTTTATAACAAGTAATAGGCCTTGCTTTATTATTTTTTGTCAATTACATACTTTGCCCCAGTCAAGGCAACACGATCTTTGAATGTTTTTTGACCACCTCTATCCTAGACTGTGAGAGAGCCATATCAACTGTCTGTTCATCCATAACAAAGAAGAAAAAACTTTCTTCGTTCTAATCTGACTAATCATTACCCCCATTTGTATATTTGATCAACAAATTTGGCAATTCCTGTGCAGTGCGAGATTTTCCTTCACCAGCTCCTGCTAGTATCCCTTAATCTGTAGGCTTATTTTTGGCAAATTTAACATTTATTTTTGTAATGTAATTTTAAGAACATTACTACTATGTTACTTGCATTTTGGCTATTATAAAACATCATTCATCTTGTTCTGAACATTTAAATGAGCTAACTTGTTGGTGAGCGGATACGTGGTTAAAGAGTAATGCGTAATTTAAAAAATATTTTCAAAAAAATTTTAGGTAAAAATTTTTAAATTTTGCAAATTCTGTTTTATTCGAGCTATGATAGGGTACCATATTTTTAGACCATATTTTTTTCCACTTTATTGTGAGTCTAAAGAGCCAAAGATCTCAGCAAATAGGTAAGTGGTTGAGAAGTAATGACCATTTGAAGACAGACACTTATGTCCCTTAAACTCATACTTTCCCTCATACTTCCTCCCCTTGCTTCCTCTCTACCTAGTTCTTGAGCTCTTACATTATTTTTTAATGCTTTGTTCGTCTTCAGTGCTTTTATTATTGCTCTTCCTGCTCTGGTTTATAGTCATGTTCAGCAATTATGTCCTCCTTACTGAAATCTGTTTCGTTATGATGACAACCCACGAACTAACTAATATTGAGAGCCTAACATGGCTTCAAAATTGGTATAATAAGCCTTTTTTATTAAGATATATCTATAACAGATAATTAACTAACAGTTTACAACGTTAAACGTATGGAATTATAACGTCTATTAGCACATCGGCGATTGATCGTTACTTAGAAACTTTTCTAGACCTTTTCATAATGTAACTATTGTTCCCCTGTATACAGAATGTGACCAATGATAATTGATGCACAGAAATTCACGCACGTTGGTTATGCATTAATGACGTTAGTTCGAGTATCGTGACTCAAAACGGTTTGCTATAAAAAACGACCGAAATTGAGCTATTTACGAAAAAGCTTCGCAAACTGCTTTTTACAAAATCTGTCCAACAGACTTTATCATTTTAAAATGTTTGCTCTCATAAACGAATTTCTTCTTGGATTATTGATCGGAATGGTTGAAAAGTTTTGCGCGTAGACCTTTATTTGGCCATCCATTATTCGAAATGCATGCCTCAAGCCGTCTTGGCATGCTCTTAATCAAATTGGATGAGGAATCAGTGATTATTTCTCTTTCAGAGCAATATCTAATTCTGCCGAACAACGGTATAGTGGATGGCGGAATTTTAAATGTATTAGGTATTTTTGAAATGCTCGCTTCCATCTGTTCTCAGACCTAAAATTTTTCCTCGATCAGCTTCTGTTAATTCGGAACTTTCGGCATTGTAAACGATAATGAAAAAGCTTGGAAATAAAATTTGGAAACAACAAAATAAAACAACACGAAAATTCCCATCGGATACCTTTGTCCAGGGAGTGTACTGTATGTCGACCACAATCGTATTCCTAATCAATTTTGCAATAGGCTAACGTGCTTAGTATTTCAAGAGATATTTCACAACAATATATCACATTTTGCACTCAAACAATGCGTCTCCAACTCATTCGTCTATTATTTACAATCGGTCAACTAAAGTCATATTAACGTAAATTTGTTATACTACTACATAGGCGCTACCGATTGACAGCCCAAGTAGCTTTATTACTACGCAAATAAAATAACCATGTGCTACAATTTTGTTTTTATTACACATATTGCTTGCTTCAAGTATGAAATAACAATAGTCATGTAGACAACCTTTAAGCAAAGTGGCGACTATATGAGAATTCACTACTAGTCATAATGACGTTTTATCCCTTTAATGAATCTCTTCATTATGAATATGCATCATATTTAGCGCAGCCCGAGAATTTCACTGCGGGCCAAGATTTATAGGTTGGATATTGTTAGTTCGACCGGATCGATGAAAGCCAAATAATTTATTCCTCGATATAGCTGAAAACGTCCTATGTCGACTAGGAGCATTCGTTTCTTGCACCGTGAGTTACTCGCCAATTTAATCCCATCGGAAAGAAATAGTCCCCGCGATTGTTAACAACAATAGAGAATACAGGCCTTTTTAATATCTGCAATCATTCATTATACGAATGGCAATTTTGGTTTTGTAATAAAACTTTGGTTACGTGATTCTCCTTAAGATGATTGTAAGACAGTGGAAGTTTAATATCTTATAAAATGCATGTATAAGATAATTTATGCCAAAAATACCTTAATACAAGTTTCTTATCACTCCACAGACTTTGATAGTTAATTAAAAATAGCTCTATTTTACAATTCCAAATAACAAGCAAATGGTTAAAGAATTCGGCGACGCGACGTTTTTATTAGCAATCGTTTGCTGACAATAACGAATTTACTAAGCTAGCGTCAATTCGAGGTTAAAGACTAAGACGTTATGTACACAACAGCCATTGCAGCCTTAGCTTTATTCCTGAAGAACAACTCGGAGGTGTTCAGCCACGTTGTCTGTAGAATACACAACCTATCGTCTAATAATGAATTCTTCCGATAGATACTGAAGAAAGAAAAAAGACGACGGAAATGATTCGCTTATCAAGTTCAGCCATGACATTACTATCTTAACCCAACGTAAGTCGATTTTATTATTGCTATTTTGGCGGAAGGATATAATTTACGCATACACCGCCGTTTAATATCAAAGACTGCAAAACTCAAGATAGCCGAAAATACATGCGAAGACTTTCGCTAAGTAAGCCGCAAGCTATAATTGATCAGGAAACTACTTAAGATTACAAACTAAATGATGAAAAACAAAAATAATAAAAAGTTGTACAGAAAGCTTCTTTTAGAGCCATTTATGCAAGTCCGATCTTCCTCTCATTTGTAACACAGTTGATCCGTCTACCGCGGAGAAAGTTTCTATAGTTATTACAATGTCGGGTGTGAGGGAAGAAGCTGATACTCAACCACATCTTGCCATCGGTTTGCCGATGACGAATGAGATAGAGTCTACAACTATTGTGGTTTCACCGGAGGGAAACTATGTTGCTACATTCCATAAAGATGTAGTGAGAGTATGGAGTTTATCTGAGAAAACGCCGGAAAAGAAAAAAGAAACGTGGGAGGGTAATGCGTATCAAGGACTTGCTGTTTCCGATCATGAATATCTGGCAGTCGGTAATGGTAAATTATCGATCATTGCAAAGCGATAAATGTCTGGTTCAAAACGATCGTTATTAATACTTCTTGAACGTAGTTGTAATCTCTTTCGGAGAAAAAGAAGACCCGTCACTCGAACCAGAACTGAAGAATTTAAGAAGTTCGAGTACAACGTCAAACACATATGGCCTCACTAAAGAAACCTGCGCAAGCGGTTTCAGCAACTTTCACTATGCGTTTTTTCGATCTCGTGAATTTGTTGTTGTGAATGATGTCGGCGTTCATCGTTATGAGACTTGTGAAAATCGCTGGGAGGGCAAAACGACCGAATTTGATTGGCCTTTTCCAGCAGAGGATGCTTTCAGTAGACGAGCACCTCACAAGCCCGTTCGATACTCCATCACCAACGGGAAATTAATATGTGTATGCAGTAACTACTTGACACAGTGGGACCTTGATAACGAAAAAAAAGAAATGGAATACTACATTGGAAGTGATTCTACCCGGCAGAGAGAACATGGTGAAGAAGATTATGTTATTGCAATAGATTCTAGGAGTACTTTATCTGCATTGGTGACTAAGGATGATGATGCTCAGACATTGACAGTGTATTGGATACAAACAGGACTTCCAATGTCGACGATACGAGTAAAGAATAATACCGACGATTGGATCGTTGCTATGGAGTTTATAGAGACATGGGATTATCTTTTGTTGCTAACTGTGACGAAAGAAGGAAAAGCTATGTTATGGTATCCGTATAATCTCGAACGCGGAACTCCACTGGATACAATTAATCTTCAAGAGTACGTTGATCAGACTGAATGGAGGGTCAAACGAACATTTGTAATTAGTAGAGCAAAGATAATAGTAAATACGGATGATATACCTGAGGTCATATGCGCAGTAGAAGATCGCATCAAAACCCTCAACAAGAATCGATTCAATCATCCACCAAGTGCTACTCCTATTCGGCATCTTTCGTTGAAAAAAGACTATTCATATTCAACTATTTCGGTCAATGGTATAGAAGCTGATCTGGAAGCAACAGATCCTTTCGGAGCATCTCTTCGTTGGACTACAGATTCTGGCCTTTGTGTTTACAAAAATTCATTATCATCCCCCGTCACTTCCATCAATGCTCAAGAGTTTAAATATTTTGGAAAGGTGACACATGCAAAAATTTTGGATAACGGTTATTTGGCTATATTAACCGTTAGATGCTTATGCATATTTTATCTCAGCGAGAAGGATACTATTGAACTTAGTTATTACTGGGATAATGGAATGAGGCCTAGTAGCGTACTCAATTATCTGTACGAGCTGACAGACATTTCTCTCGACGAACAAATGGATGATAGTCGGTCAAACTTGTTTTATGCGAAGCTTAATTATAATGATGATACACCCTTGCCATTACCTAGCTTCAAAAGTATTTGGTGGCATAAGCGAAAGGCATTGGAAACTAACCATTTATTGAGAAAAAAATTATTTGAAAATCTCATTAATTTGTTGATAACTGAAGATAACCTGGCCAGGTATGGAAATATATTGCTTGCTGAAGCAATTGAACAACGAGACGAAGATGTAGTCGAGTCTATAATGAAGACTTGTATTGGCTGCTTCCACAATAACTCAATCCAGTATATTGGCTTTTTGCAACTTGTAACCGACTCACTACCAGAGTTGTGTGTGCACTATCCTGATAAGGCCGCAATATATTTTTCAAATATATGTTTAATTTTGGCTCCACAGTGTCGCTCTGTAAACAGTTTGATGCTACCTTTCAATCGCATTTGTGCTTTTCCATGTAGAACAGGAAATCCGTGTGGACTCATAAAGCGGAGTAAATTGGCCGGTATGTTGGGGATAATGAACGTATTCGAACGATATTCATTGAAGGGGGCATGGCGGATTGCGTGGCAGTTGGCGTTGCAACTGGCGCAAATTGTACTGCGTTCTAATACGTCACTAGCAAGGTTGCTCCTGAAATCCTCGGCTCTGAGCGCAAGCATCAGCCAAATAGACAACATGATAGAAAGTTTCTGGTATAGAGCAAGACTTGGTAAAAGACGGTCTACATTAACTCTCGTTGTCCGATTACCGAACTTTTGTTCGTACCCTCAGCAGTTTTCAATCGTGAAAGACTATCTTCTCCCGGCACCAAGTCCATTTGTTAAAACTGTCATTAGCAGAGCACCAGAATTGTTTAGAACTTGGGATGGAGAAGCATTGATAAACTTCAAATGGCGAGCATTTGGATTTTATTATTACATACTTGTTTGCATGATATTTATAGCCTTTGCTGTATGTTTCATAACTGCAATATCACTAATAGATGATAACTCAAATAACAACATGAAACAAAATCTCTTCATAGCAACTGTTGTGCTAGCTGTATGGCATCTTCATCTTGAAGTTAGGCAATTCATATGGAACCCGATATATTATGTCTTGTCAGTATGGAATTGGTTCGGTAAGCTATTTATTTTCATTATTTAATTTGACTATGTGATTTGGCGTAATCTTATTAGTGCTGGAAATTATTTAAAAATTCAAAGATCATTTATATTTATTTACCATGCGCTGGTTTAATTACAGATTGTGGTGCATTTTCTTTTCCTCTTGCTACTGCTGTAAATTATTTGCAGGAGAATGACTCACCAAGATGGATGACATCAGTATCCATTTTTCTTCTTTGGATTAAGTTTCTGTTCCTTCTTCGACCGTTTGAGTATTTTGGAATTTATATGACAATAATATTCGGCGTTATACAACAAATATTCTCATTTCTGGTGATCCTTGGAATTATGGTCATAGGATTTGCACATGCACTGTTTGTGCTGTTGAAACCAGAACCTGGCAGCTCATGGGAAACGCCGTCAAGTCCAGATAATAATGATCCTAATGATCCATGGAAGCTGACAACAACACTTGCCACAACGCTAGATAATGGAACGATCGTGAATGGCACGTCATTGGTTGTGAAACCAGATGAAAATACTAACGTCTATACGTGGTTTAATACGTCACTTTTGGGAGCATACAAGTTTCTTGTTGGTAATGTTAACAGTTTGGGATGTCTAGTGTTTTTAACTAGCTTTAACCATAATCCTTTGTGAAATAGGCGATTGGTCATCTGTCGCAAATTGGGGCCCAAATGACAATCCACTACTAGTCGTGATGACAGTTTTATTCTCTTTCTTTGTTGTGATTTATTTAATGAATCTCTTCATTGGATTGTTAAATAATGCAATCAACACATATCATGAATATGCATCATATTTAGCACAGAAGGCAGAGGTATTGGAATGTTCATATTACTACGCATGTACTGTTCACAGGTTTAACAGTATTGTCGTCCCTATAGGTATTGGCAGAGATAGAATTATTTTATCTTACCCCAAGTCAACGAAGATCAGAATGGTTTCCCAGTACCGTGTAGGTAAAACTGTTTGTTATCCATACATTATATTTTATTTTATTTTAACATTTGTGATTCATGATTATTAGGCACTTTGAGACTGATACAAAAGAATTACGGAAAGTTTTGAGAGAAAATATTCAAGCCGACCCTGAGTATCCGTCTAAACTTTCAAAACATAGTAAGAAAATGTTGGAAATCCTGAGTATAAATGAATAAAGTTCAATTGTGTGGGGCGGTTAAGTGCGAGAGATTTGTAATACAAACACTATTTATTGTCTATCATTATATATTAACACAAGTTAGAAAATGTAATTTTGCTATTATAATCATATATCGCGCAATCACACTATATTGGTGGATTTCTTGTAATCGATAATATTAGCAATGAAAGTCGACTTCGACAAGCTGATATGTTGTATTATAAGATGTATAAAATATTCCCAAAGCATAATCGATCCCTTACAAGTACAACCATTACAATCGTTATAACCAATAATTCGGACGCTTACACGTGTTAGCAATAACAAATTATCACGTGATGCATGCTTTATTTAGATTACGCGCTGTAAGGAAATGACTGGTCAGATCGTGTGATAAGAAACGTAAATATTATGTCGGAAATACGCATCAATACATCCGTGCATGAAAGCAGCAGTGATAATACGATTATGACATTCCAGAAGAGATTGTTTGACATAAAAACAAAGTACCCCTGTTGTATGTCGGCTTGGAATTTATGTCCATTCCGAATGGACATATGTCGGATTGGAATCATAAAAACAAAGGACAAAAAATAAAATTAATTGGGAGAGACAAAAAAGTAATTATTAAAATTTTTCTAAGACAATCAGTTAACAACATTATAAATTATTTATTGGCATTACGATATCAACCCTATCGTATATAACACGTCATAATACACAGAACGATATACCTAATTAACATTACTGCATTAACGATTATGAGGGTGGCAGTTTAAGTTACAAATGACAGCAGCTTTGCGACAAGCACATCGAGCTGTTGAACAACTAACTAGTCTTACAACTACATCTAATCATGGTTAAATTGACCAAACTTTGAGCCGAAGCGGCTTTATTATTTTGACAGAATGCGTTAAGTTAATTAATAATTGTCTTTCTACTTGTAGACAAATACAATTGTGAGTAAACATCGCCTGATCTGACGTATCATTGTGAAAAAAATGCTTTCAGTTACAGAATACGTTAGCGAATAGTTCTTCTATTGGTGCGGAGATGTAAATACAATTGTGAATAAACATTGTATGACATATAATTGTGAAAGAACGCTTTGAGTTGCAGAGCACGATAGCGAATAGTCCTTCTTTTGGTGCGGGGATGCAAATAAGTAAACATATCATTGGAAATATGCTTGAGTTATTGAAAGCGTTAGTGAGAAGAACTGAAAAACGAGAGTATTAAAAAACGTGGCTCGACACATCATTGTGAATATCTCACTGTATGAAATAGACTAGCCCGAGCGGGGTTTTGGACGGATAGTTTGTGTGCGTGTGGCGTTTTTTTTTTGTATGTCGCGTAAAGCTGTGTGATCAATAACGACAAAGAATTAAGTATTTATTAAAAAAAAATAAGGAAAAAATGGCAAAAATAAAAAACACGGGTATATAAAATTTTACACAAAGCGCCGGGGAAAAAAACAAACAATTTTCATTTTTTATTATAAAGTTTGTTTTTTATTATTATTTTGGTTTATTCGTTTGGTTTTTTTTTTGCCTGATTGACATCATTATGAAGAATGCTTGAGTTCTGAATACTTTCCCATTCGGAGGATGATATTCAAGACTTAACCATCTAGGTTTAAGCTTAAGGTGGTGCGACACACACCTACTTGTCAACCAAATTTGGGCTTAATACAGACAGATCGTGTGAAAATTAATAGATCTGTGCTTCTCGATTTAGTGATAACTACCCCACCCTTGCAGAGGATTTGGTTTAAGCGATAATCAGAATGGTAGAACAGCAATGTACTGTTCACTATCGCCATTGTTATAGTTATCGAACAAGTTTGTGTTAATCATACAATTTGATGACTGGTGTATGGTTTTTGCCGAAGGGTTCAACCATACGATTTGTGGTTTCTGATAATCATTATACGGCTTACGAATCAACGTACGATTTATCGAACTTTTCAATTACACCTCATTAAACGAATCATTCTGTAAGTAGTTGAAGATAATTAGCAGAATTCACACTATTCTCCCTCATCTTCGGCATTGGCATAGAATTGTGCAGTTTTGGTGAGAATAAACATTATTTGATCACATGTGTTATAGATTCTTCTTGTAACAGTGATACATGCAATGTTTTACGTATGTAAATGCGGGTTTGGGGATTTGACAGAGTTGACATTGTGATATGATTACATATGAAGGTAACCAAACGTTATGAAGCATATTTAACTGTCATAATCGACAGTGCGGTAATTTGTTATGTGTAATACCATTTATTGCATCATAAGGTAAGTTTCAAGCGCATATTCGAACGATATAATATAAAGACGTAATACAAGTGGTAATATCACAAGTTACTCGCTTATATAGATTATTAAATAGCATATATTTATAACAAACTCGGTTGTTTGTACGCAAGTAGGGTTGATACCGTAATGCCCATATATGTTGTTACCTGGTTGTTTCAATCTGACATACATGTCTATTCGGAATGGGATATAAATTTTAATCTGACATATGTCCATTCGGAATGGACACAAATTCCCATCTGACATATGTTGATTCGGATGGACGCAAATTCCCATCTGACATATGTCCATTCGAAATGAACATAGCACAAGATACAGCGTGTTACAAAAAACCCCGGATATTTTAATTTTGCCATTGCTCCTCGAGGAGATAACTGATTTCATGAACGATGGCTTGACACTAGCCACCCAGTCAATCGCGAGATATATTAGATTATCCCATGCCACATGTATATCGATAACCCATACTTGTTCCTGAGCCTCAAGCGTCATTCTTTAACTGATATGTACAGTCATGACGCAAACAAAATTTTAGACCATTTCCCATTTTTACCTTTAATGGCGAGAGTACCATCAGATATGCCCGACTCGTCTTTAATTCAACTTGCGAAACTTTACTTTTTTAAATGCGGGAGTATTCATACAAAGCGCATTGTCTTGCAATGAAACAATTTTTTATGTCTAGTATGTCGCTAGAAACTCTTCAAGAATCATACTCAACGGTACATTCTATTAGCATCGTCTGTCACGAAGGATTACGTCACAAAAAATGGGTTGTATCCAATCATATCAGTCCCGGCTCGTAAATAATACTGCTAGGCCGCAATTTCTATTATGTGAGGTTAATTTTTATACTAATGGGTATTGGCAGAGATAGTCAGAATGTTTTTCCAGATTACGTAGATAATTTATTTATTTATAATTTATCTGACATTTGCTTATGATCTTAAAGAATAGGGAAGGTTATGGACGAGAACAATCAGACCATGCTGATTATTTATCTAACATAGCAAAAAATACTTAGCCAGATGAGCGAACGGCGATGGAATATCCAATAACGTTCGCAGAGTCTAAATAGGCGTAAAATCGACAGACTGTAACGCTAATGAGGCTTTGTTTCGCACGGTAGATTATCGCGTAATTACTCACATATTGATTCGAAATAATGATTTTTCAAAGATCAAGAATTAGGACTTTGAATAGATATTTTCTATCGACATAGTTCAATTAAAATATTGCGTCAGCTTAGTTTCTTAATGCAGACGCTTCTGATATATTACATTATCATCTGTAAACTTAATTTTTGAGTTCAGATTGTCGTAATACGAAAATTCTTTGGTATGAACAGGCAAAGTTTTTAACTAATTCGCAGCAACACTGACTAAGCTTAAAAATAAAAATTATAATTTGGTCTTTTTGACAGTGCAAGTCTTCCATAAATGACACCTTTACATACAATTCTTGGTTAATCTGCGTGCAAGAGTTCTGAATCTAAAATATGCCTGCGTTCTTTATGTCGAATACTATTAATTGAATAGATACATAATGATAAAGGCACCCGCATAATAGAACTAGACTCGTTAAAGTAAGAACGCTGTTCTCATTCTCAGAAATCCAAACAGTACTGTTCATTCAATCATTTTCATTAAAGTTAAAGTTTGCGCTCCAAAGTGCTGACAATGAAACTGTTTGGATTTTTCATCGTCTGAATGATTTACAAAACAAGAATCACTCATTGATGGTGTTAGTTTAGATTACAACTCTTTACAAGTGATGTTTGAAAAAATTACACAGTAATAGTATCCGGATCAGTCGATTAATCGGGATAGTTACTTTTCTATTTTTTAATTAACTTAAGAGCAGATCGATATAATGAGACTTGCGAGATAATGTTCCATGGTAAATAAAATAGCAAAGCTAAAAGGTTTATTGTACTTGCACAATAACTATGTAAGTTCACCTTTCTTTGAACGGTCTTCGAATTTATTAAATTTATAGTAAGAGAATGTAGAAAGCTAATTGTCCGTTACGGTATAGTCATGGAACATCGGCTACATGTTGTTCGCCGTCGACAATTCAAAGTGATAGTTATAATAACAACAGTGCTCATACAGATGGTTGTATGCGTATTTTGTAATGTTAATAAAGTTGTCATGTAATAAAGATACCTCTTACGTGAACAGACGCAACTTATAGAGTAATTTAAACGGCACAATATCTTTGTTTGCAAATATCTGCCTTTTCAACAGTCTGACAACAGCGCTCAATACAATCGAAAAACAGTCGCTTGCAATAAAAAGTTTGCAAGTGTAGAATTAAATCGATGGAAATCGACTTGCTCAACTGCTCCATTCCTGGTCTCTAGCTTTATATGACAACTTTTGGTTTGCAGAACTGGATAAAAGAAAAATTAACCAATCGACTAAGCATAGTAATAGCAGCTTATATCAGATCTGGCAGTAGAACTGAACTAAACCATGTTGAAACATGCGATAAAAAATAGATACGTCAATTAGAGCAATAGTAAGTCAGACACAAATAAAGATCGTTCAACAAGTATTACTTATTTATTACCGTAGTAACATACTAATGTTGTCGACTGAAGAAAAGTTTGGTTGTTGTTCTTTTGGCATAAAGTGATGCAGTTGAATGTTGCTATTCCATTTCAGGCTATTTGTAGTTGCATGATACGAAGAGAAATTCTCTCGGAAACATCGTCATAGCAATCGATGTGAATTGGATGCTTCTCGGTACCCGAATGATCTTTCCCCCAATGCGCCATTTCAACTATTTATGGGCGCCATAGACAAAGATCACTTTAATTTAAAGCATGCAGTAAAGCCCATTGAACACATATTTGCGCATCAAATATCCATGCGTGGGGAATCATAATATTTTTGGCCTTCGTTATATAGAAATCATACCATATTAAACATCTCATGTCGACGAGTGTCATATTATTGGACGAACTTGACTACAATACATTTCGTATTATCTTACGCTTCAGTTTGTGTTAGCACATACAGTAATCTTGTCACTATCGTTAGACTTTTCATTCTCCTGCGACTCATGTATGGAACAAGGAAGCGGGATAGTAAAGTTTCAGATCTGATTTTATTTATTTTCTTTTTTGTTTGTCTTAAACTATCAAACGGTGGTCAGCTGACGGGAAAAGTAAAGTTCTAGTCAGACCCATATTGTTTTTTCTTCTCCTTTTTTTGGGTTAACTATGAGATAGGTATGAGAACGTCTTTGTCAAGTGCATAGATACACAAGCCTGCTTGCACTATATATCTTACGACGTCAGCCAATATGATCGGTTGGCTCCTGCTCATTATTCGAGTTTTTCAAGAACAGTCTGTACGACAAGCTCCTATTTGCATTCTAGTCATATGATTCACGATTGTTAAACCTGTAATTGGCTACATGACAAAGACGAAAGGAAATTTGATAAAGAAGAACATAAGGTATAAATGTGAATACGAGATCAAGAATAATACTACTGAAGACTGCAGTCTAACAGCAAAATTCTTTGACTAAATATTATGGTTATCAAAGCCCTTATCAATAAATGGAAGAAAGGAGACTCGTTGGTAGACGACTTGAGAGGTGCTTTGAATAACCCCCGATACAGGTAAAAATTCCAATTAGATATTTTTATCGGGCTTATTAAACCTTGGATTGTCGAAATGGTGTGTGACAGTGGCTTTCTGTTTCAATCAGTGACCTAAAACTCGTGTGCGAAGATGACGTCCTGTACGGTTGTCGTGCACTCCTCGCGACGCGTTGTGAAATGCTCGATCGTCTTTTGTATAACGGAATGCGAGAAACAAATGCAAACGAAATTTTATTTCCAACCATAAAATGTGCTGCAATGAAAGTAATTCTCGAGTATATTTACACCGATAAGCTTGCACCCGATTCGTTAACGCTCGAAAACACGGTCATATCATACGCAGCAGCCGATTACTTTATGATCACACCGTTACAGGATCACATATTAAACTTTATCGACAGTAAACTGGGCATGCAAACAACAGATTACGCGGTGGATTTGTTGTCCAAGGCATTGGAAGCAATGCCGGATGCTGAATTGGTAAATAGGCTGTTTTACTTGTTGAGTAAATATATCGCATGTTCGCCATTATCGGCCATAGATAGCAAAAAGTTTACGTCGAGATCTCTGCAAGCTTTATTGTCATTGACTATACACGATAAGACAATTTTTTTTGCAACAGACGAATACGACGTGTTCAGATATATCATGATATGGGGCGCACTTGAGGTGTCGCCTGATTTAGCGAGTCTTCTCGACTCTAATCTCCCTCGCTCGGATCACATGAAAGATTTTACCGAATGGAAACAGAGAGACAATATTATCAATGACCGATCCTTTCAATTGTTTCTAAATAAATTTACCGACATCATATCTCCGGTATGCCAATATGTAGATTTCAGGAGAATCCAAGCCGAAGTACTTCAAGATGTAATAGAACCTTTAGACATAATACCCAAAGAAACGCTTCTCGAGACTTATAGGGTGCAAGCGCGAAACAAAGGGCCGCTTTCATGCCGACGAGGGGATCCAAAAGCTGTCCCTCTACCGACAGCTGTTTCCGAGTTAGCTACGTCGTCCACCTTGCGATGGGATGAACAATTCTATTGGGACAAGTTTAAATGCGGTGACAAGCTAATTATATCTGCTAATAGCACGTTAGTAGAGACAAATTCTCGATGTCAGGGTCACCAATCGGTTAGTGCAAAGCTACCTATTGGTGATAACGGAGTGTACGAATGGGATTTTGTGATAGTTCGAACATGTGGAGTCATGTGGATTGGATTATGTGGAGAAGGAATTGATTTTGGAAAGTTTTTGGGAACGCAAAACGCATGGGTAGTAGGATCCAATGGGACGAAGTATAACCCACCGGCATTTAGCAGTCAGTATGGTGTTGCATTTGGCGATAATACTACTGTTACTATTCATCTAGACATGAACCAAAGGACGTGCGCATTTACGATCAACGGGGTGAAATATGAAAACGCATTCACGGATCTTCCTGATAAAGTGTATCCCGCAGCGTCGTTACGCTATCCTGGCAAAGTACGCCTTCAATTGAGAGAGAGTACAAAATGACGCAAGATAACAATGAAATCAAGTACTGAGTAGCAATTAATGTAATAAATTGTTTATTGGTGACATTTCATTAATTTGCTTGAGTGTTTTGCGCCCGTCTTGATTTTTCTATACTTCGACTATGTAACCATTCCTGCAGAGGTACCGGAATTGTAAAACAGTCTTGCTGTACTGTGACCAACAACATTCACCAAAACAAATGATTATTTTAATTTATATGAGACAGTTTCAAATCAGTAGTCTAAATTAATATAGCCTTCGATCTTTGACTTTTGGAAATACTGCTATCTATTTGTAGAACAGGGAAAAAAATTAGCTGTTGTGATACAGCATTTACAACAAGATTTCTTAATAATTTTGATATGATTGGAAGATTAACACAGGCAGTTAGTATCTTTTTTTTTTATTATTATTTTTGATTAATAAGCGTACAGCTTGCAGACAATTCTACTCAATCAAACAATAATAAGAAGAGATCGACATCTGATAAGTAGGGGCACTGAAAAATCAAGATCTAGCTTGGTATTATCGCAAGAGTATTAATGAAAAAGAAAGAACAGAATATCGAGCATACGCACCACTGAAATAAAAGGCCAAGAAGTTTACTCTGGCTTGTGTGACGATAGGTTAAAGCATGTGGTCTTTTGTTTTTGTTACAGTTTGTATGCTTTAGAATTGTCTCTCTTGGTCTACTTTACAATTCGCATACATCATTTGGAGAGAGAGATAAGTAGCTTTGAAGAAGGAAAGGGGTAAGCGATAAGAATGAAAACCTTATCGATATGCTTATCAAATTGAGGGTCACAAGATCAAATCATGCAGAAGATCTATCTGGATATTTTCGTGATTTTTATTGGTCAGCGATACCTGAATTTTACACCAATGGAAATAACTACCATTATCGCAAATTCCACAGCCTCGCACAAAGCATTTTTAACTTCCTCGATCTCGGAGATTTTTTGTAGATTCTACAAACATGCTATATGTTTTAATTCATTTATTATTGTTACTGTATCATTATGAAAAAACACCAGTTGAGATACTTGAAAATTCATGTGAATCGGCATTCGTATAAAATCATGTATACTATATATGTCTTTTTGTGGGTATGTGTGGGTTGGATGGATGAATGGACGGATGAATGGACGGATGAATGGACGGATGAATGGACGGATGAATGGACAGATGAATGGACAGATGAATGGATGGATGAAGGGATGGATGTGTGAGTGCTTATCCCATGATAGGATATAATAAATACCCAGATGCCCGCATACAATGACCAACTTGAGATTTTCACGCGTCATTATCTCTGCGGCGAACCAAAAATATCCCATCCTGGTACAAGTTCAAAACCCGCATGGTCCTGTTTACGATATGATAATGCACTAATATCACCGTGCTATCCTAAATAGACGCTTGTATAACTTATATAACATTGTCTATATCAGGATTGAATATGTAAAGGGAATGAGCAAAGGATTATCAGCGATAATCATGACCTGACGTTATCTTTTCTTTCGCACAAGTCCGTTTGTCACAGATCTTGACCTGATTTGGAATTGAAGAATACTGATAAGAAAAATACAATACATGTAATTTAATTGTATTAGTCAGGAATTAAACCCTAAATTAATTTAATTTTATTCAATTTAGCGGCTAAAACCTTTCCAATAAATCGACAAGTTTCTTTACAATTTCCGTTGACCTTAATATTCACGTTTGACACATTAATTCATCTAACGCATTAATTCATCCAACACATTTTTACTGGTAGACTTAGTGGATTTAGGTACATGTGAAAGTGATGGATGCACTGCATGTTTTACACTGGTCACCTTTTTTTAATGCACCGATAACATTAACAGTCGTGTTGTACACGATTCACACGATAGCTGATTGGTAATTTGTGCATCCATGATATAAACATAAGACTTTTGTTATATCATCCAGTTTATGTTGAGTATATCGCATGTTGAGTATTGAGAACGTCGAGCATTATGTTATCAAGCATGTTGGCTGAGCATTATTGAAGTAGATATCTAGAAAAGGGAATACAACCGTTACTATGACAAACACCGCGTTAAATTGCCATTCGTCTGTAAAAAAGGTAGTCACCAATAACTATGAATATACTTGTAAAGTGAATACAAATAAATGCTTTATGAAGTAATCTACGTTTTGATAAACCATTCGTTAACTGCAATGTAATGGTACTTTACATAATACTCTACCGTAGTAAAAACCTCAAATTGTTATTGCCAATTGTGGCGTGCGCGTTATGCCAACATTCTTATCTGTGTAATATTTATCGGAACTGTGTGCTCCCTGATAGAATTTGAAATACCAAATATAGTTAATCACTCGTCGATTACCCATTTTGGATACTAGGTTGGGCGCACGCATAAGGTGAATGTGTGTCACTTTGATAAGGGAAACTACCTTAACTAGCATAACGGACATTATTGGGCGGCAGAAGAACATGTGTTCTACGGCTGATTGATAATCGATATATCGATAGACTCTGTACTAATTTTTTTTTATACGGCCTATTCTATCTGTATTGCTATTGTTTTTCTTACAGAGATATGTACGGAGAATAAGCGTTTATCGGAGTTTCCGTCCTTGTGCTTTATGGATTGATAATTTCGATGATCTTGCATTTCGAATGGGGAAATCATTTTTTTTCGGCAAGATACGAGACAGAAAAAGCCATGTTCGATTACAGTCGTCTACGCCTTTTTTTATCACATCCGGCTTAAACAAATCCGATAGAGAAAAAGTCCCATTAGTGCAAACCGTTATCGTCGCTCTATTATTGTGTCCATAGACAATCATGTGCTCATTGTATATATAGTAATTGAATATCTATAATATATCATTTAACGTTTTTCCTCACAGGATTGAAACAAGTAGTACGGCAGCACCAAGAGATGTCAGGTGTAAATAAATGTTTCACAGCATCGATAAAAAATATACGGATAAATTAATAAACGATTTAAACTATTAGTTTTTTGTATGATACATATTTGTGTTTCTGTTTATTAAAAAATTGTAATAGTAATCAATAAAAATCTCTCGTTGATCTGTAGTAAAAAACCTATATAAAGCTATTGCATTCGCTTATCTTGACTCCTTCGTTACCAACTCCATTGGTATATTACGCGATATTCGTTTTTATCACAATCTCGACTGTCCTACAGATAACGATCTTTATTTATCCCTCTTTTGCAAACTCTAAAGAGCTGGTGGCCCTACTATTTAAGCGACCCTTGCTCTCCTTACTCTCTTTTTCCACACGCATCTTTTCTCCCTTCTTTACATTCTGATTCCTATAATAAATAGTAACTATGAATACTACTAATTCAACGTCCACACCTGCTCCCACGCTCAACAATGGCGATGCCGCTTGGATTCTTGCTTCTACCGCACTCGTCATGATAATGGTGCCGGGTGTCGGTTACTTTTACAGTGGTCTTGCTCGCAGCAAGAATGCTCTATCGCTTATTATGTTGTCCATGTTGTCTCTTGCTGTCGTATCATTCCAGGTGAGTTTTGCAGTACACTGCTTTTCAAAACACTATGCAATCATCCACGTATGATTTTCGCATATATATGTGTGTGTGTGTGGATGCATGTTTAACACCCCCTTCCTTTTTCTTTCAAACAGTGGTGGTTATGGGGTTACAGTTTAGCTTTCAACACAGACAGTGATAGTCCGTTCATCGGCACTCTCAACAACGCATTTCTGATGGACACCCGCGACGACACATCAACAACAGCTGTCGCCCTCACATCAATCCTCTTTTGCATTTTCCAAGGAATGTTTGCAGCAATCACTCCAGCACTCGCCATTGGTTCAGCCGCTGAGCGTGGTCGTATTCTTCCTGCCATTCTCTTCATCTTCATATGGTCGACTATAGTTTACGATCCCATCGCTTACTGGACCTGGAATCCAAAGGGTTGGGCATTCAAACTCGGTGTTCTCGATTTCGCCGGTGGTACGCCTGTCCACATTTCGTCTGGTGCTGCTGCTCTTGCCTACTGTCTCATTGTCGGTAAACGTCACGGTCACGGAACTGATGAATTCAAGCCCCACAATGTTGCCAATGTCGTTCTTGGAACCGTTTTCCTCTGGTTCGGTTGGTTTGGATTCAATGGTGGTTCTGCTGGTGACGCTACAGCTCGCGCTGCTATGGCTTCATGCGTAACAAACTTGGCGGCTGCTGTCGGTGGTCTTACATGGATGTTGTTGGATTACCGTTTGGAACGTAAACTTTCCGTTGTTGGATTCTGTTCTGGTGCGGTCGCTGGTCTTGTGGCGATCACCCCTGGTTCTGGTTTCGTCTCCCCACCATCTGCAGTTGCCTTTGGTGTCGTGGCTGGTATTTGCTGCAACATGGCTGTGAAATTGAAGCACATTTTCGACTTTGACGATGCTTTGGATGTATTTGCTGTCCATGGTGTTGGTGGTCTTACTGGCAACATCTTGACTGGTATCTTCGCCCAGTCGTCTATTCCCGCACTCGATGGAGTAGTTATTCCTGGTGGATGGCTTAATGGCAACTGGATTCAAGTACCCCGCCAACTTGCCGATTCTGCCGCCGGTATGAGTTACTCCTTCTGCCTTACCTACCTCATCCTCTTCATTATGGACAAGATTCCAGGTCTTGCTATTCGTGCTGATCATGAAACTGAAACTCGAGGTCTTGATGAAGCTGAACTCGGTGAATTGGCTTACTACCATGTTGATCGTCTCATTACCGTCAATACCAGAACTGGCGAGACAAAGTCAATTAAGGAAGAGACAGTACATCAGGGCAACGACACCAACGTCACAATTGTGTAGAATCCTTGCTTTCCCAGGAGACATCATCATATATTAACCTTATATTTTTACGCATTCACTAATATATATATATATAGTTTCAGCATATTCTATCTTCATTTCTCTTAGACGGATTTCATTTTTTATGGGCCATTCAAAACTACTGGGGTTCAGCTTTTTAAAAGTAGTATAAATAAATGGTTTTGTATTTTTATCTCGATTGTATAATAACCCCCACCCCTTTACTGTTTTTAACCTAACTTTGCAAAATATAAATTTCTGTTATTTCATACGATTGGGATTGAATTTTGTATGTTTGGGAAAAGCGTGGAGCTGGAAATGAGTTCGTGCGGTCGGTTTTCCGATGCGCGCTTGGAGATAAAAGAAGATTTTTAATACACGAGGATTTTTTGCTTGAGAGTTTTTCTGTTTACTCTCGCGATGCACGATCAATGTGGAAAAAAGTACTTTTTTTTTTCTCGCTCAACGATAGCTTTCACGTGAATAAGCTTTTTTTTAATCAATGGACTTTATTATTATCATATTATTATCTTACAATTTGAAGATGTTGAATGTGCCTAACAATTGATAATAATACAGAGGCCGAAATTTTACTCATTATTATTTTTACTGTATTTCGTTATTTGTATATGTTTATTGTTAAGGTGATAGGTGTCGGCTTGTAATAAAACTGACAATACGAAAACTACGCGCGTGTCTGTGTTTCTATTTACTATTATTTAATAGGTGTTGAAAATAATGATTTGTGCATGTCGATGACAAATCAACGCTGACTGATAAGAGTTTATTTATTATTTATTATGCAGTAATAATAATAAGTGTTTGTACACAACACCAATAAAAGGGGTAACGATAATAACTTGGATGACACAATAACTCAGAAAGGGGAAAGGCTAAAGCGGAGCAGAACGTGATCCTGTATTTGCAGTTTTATTGGCTGCCATACAAATTTGACCAATGGAATTGCGAGGGATCGGATCTGCTTTAGACATGCACTAAAAAAGGCAATCCCATTGTGTAAACGTAATATGTATGGGGCATGCTTGGCACAAAACCAAAGTGAACGCGATATGTGAGAAAGTCAGTTTTTTACCATGTACATACTAATACAATACAGATACTAAGCCACCATTCTTTATTCACCAATTTCACTGGCAAATTTAAGCGTGTTACTATCTAAGCGCTTGAGCATTCCAGTAAAGGGAAAGATTTGTGTCAAACGTGAATGCCGTAAAATCCTTGATTCGGCTGTTGCCATAAAGGTTCACTGGTCGTGACTACCCATACTTCAAACTTGTGGCATATCTATGCGTCCTATCAAGCTTTGATTTACTTCCAGAAGCCAGTAAAATCCGTGGTTATTTTCGAGACTCTTTAGATGATGTAATTATAATGTCGCAATGATTGTGTTGTAATTTTGAAATAACCACATCCATTGAGTAGTACGAATGGCTTGACAAGCCAGAGTACGAGGATCCTGTTTAACTCCGTATTTCCTGAAGGTGTTGGCCTTCTACCGTTCTCGATTTTACTAACCTGAATGAATTCTTTGTTGAAATAAGTGGCAGCAGCTACTACAAGACTCCAAACGCTGTAGTTTTCAACCAATCGTTGTAACTAACATAGTAGATAGCTCTTGAAAAAATAAAGTTCGGTGATTTATTGTAGGGTAGTGTATACTAACTCAGATAATACGCCATGTCCACATACTTGCCATGTTAGGATTTAGTATTACGCATACATGTGCAGTTCTCATTTATTAATTAATATATCCTAAATGACTGTCACGACGTTCACGAAGATGCGGAGAGGAAGGTAAAAAATGACATTCAATGCTCTAATCTTTCTACTGCTCAGAGATCAATATCATATATATTACTCAGAAAGATCATAGGGACCAGAATTATGTCCGTGTCAATTTTCATGGAAGGACCCGGTTTTCTGCGCCTGTCACCATCCCCATCAGAAGGATTCTTTAAACTTTGAAATATAACCAACGATTTAAAGGATAGCAAGAGTGAATTGGTTAAAGAGAAAAAAGTTTTAGAAGAAAAAACTAAAGGTTAATAGTTTTTAAAGAACAAACAGAAAATTGACAAGGAAGATATTGCAAATAAAAGAATTTATTGACAAATAGGTGAACCCGAGGAATTATTAGAGAAAATTAAAAAAGTGACTTGAATAAAGTTCTTATGAAAATTATTGAGAAGCGGGAAATCGATGCAAGAGAAGAGCTGAAAGATAACTGAGAAAGGCAAGAAAAACAATTCAAGCACAAGAGGCATTGCTTAATCTATACGAAAAACCTTTGCCTTCTTTTATAAAAAAGCAAACAAGTTTCAACAACTGGGGACAAAAATCAAAACAATAAAAAAAACGTTAAGTCGCAGAAACAAACAATTGTTGCTAGTATTAGTATGGAAATTCCAATTAAGTCGCGAGAGAATTATTTTGAATTTAGATGAATGAATGAAGGGACAACTTGCGATTTTTATCCTGACTTCAATAATAATAAGAGAGGTGCAGCGTGTCAAATCAGAACTCGTAATAAATCAGAAAATAGTGGACAATGCGTGTGCTTCTGAGAAGTAAATGCGAAAGGAGAACTAAAAACTAGGATATAATTGTTCTGAAAGCAACGCAAAGAACCTCCCAGCGAGGAAATATCTTCCACGAAGTACGAACACCAAATAAATTCCTACTAAAATCTGCCGGGTGAACTATCCAAGAGGAACGAGAAGGTTTCATGAAAACTTCGGAATAGTGGAATAGAAGGCAAAAACAAGAGTTATTTGACAATATTAGGCAGCAAGAAGCAGAGATTGAACGTTTAAAAAAACTAATTCCTCAAGACTTGATTAACGAAATAGAATCTTTGTACTCCGAAAAATTGAATTCTCAGCAGAGTGCTCATATTGACCTTAAGAAAGTAATTAAAAGTTGTAAGCAACAACAAACTTGATACCTGAATGACGTCAAATGTTGCAGCACGTCCCACATATTAATAACGATACTGATAAGATAAGAATTGATACGTCAGACGATATGTCATATGCAGAGTGAGTATTGGGACATATTTTTATTTCACTTTTTACTTTTACTTTTATGCGGTCTAATCCTCAATTTACCCGGGTGATCTATGGAAACGGCAGGATAAAGGCGGTCAGGAAGACTATAATATGCAGCAGAATAATCGTATCCATTGATCGTAAATGAAATTTTCTTGTTGTTCATGTCTAGATGTACCGTGACGGTTGCTCCCTTTCCAAAGGGTTGTCCATATTTAATGTATTCATTGTTCGTACACTTGTATGCATTAGATCCAATGGCCCATCCGTGAGCACTTTTACCCACGAACCCATTGAAATCAGCAAATTCAGCACTAACAACGCCAATCCATACATAGTTACATGGTTGCTCGACGATTATGTCCCACTCATGCACCTCGGATCCGTAAAAAAACTTGTTGGCTCGAATGGAAGGTCTAGTCTTTGTATTAGGGGCTGTCACTACGACGCACCCGTCTTCGATAATAGTAAGGCCATCACCACAATGCTTTGGATCCCACTGTAGAATCATTCCATCACGCATCTGCGGTAATGGAATATTGCCGAGTGCATAATATCGATACAACTGATTGACAACATCTGCTGATATTATACCAAGAGGTTCGATGTAATTGGCAACCACGCCGACTTCGATTCTCCGTAAATCGATCAAAGGTATAAACTGCTGCATCTGATCATTAACCTTTTCCAAGTCTTGAACTTCTAACGAAATACCCTCAACAACCCGTTGCTTTTCAGAATCGTCGAGCTTTTTCAACGCTGCTTGCGTAGGTAACCGAGATCGCAGCAATTCGTATATCGAGTCGGACGTTCGAGCCGCCGTATGCAATATAACATACCGAAACAATGCATATTCCGACGTTACGAATGTAAACTTTGCATTGTCACCAGTCACCTTTAGCAAAACCAACAATGCTTCTACAGAGATATTACTATAAGTGATTTGGTCCAGAGGTTTCTTGCCGAGATGCTCCATTAAGAGATCGTAGAGCATATTGGTTCGAGAACTACCCAATGTCGCAACAGCCTTGGATAGCAGCAATGCCAAGTCGTTCATGCTTTTATTGCGTATCCGTTTTTTGGCAATCGAAATAATTGCCTTTTGTAGTTCATGAAGTTCAACATAATACGCAGCATGGAATATATCAACTAGAGTGTCGACGGTAACAGAGTCCTTTTCGATCGAATCGGTGTATATAAATTCTAGCACGATTTTCATAGCTGCTGTTGTTAACTCTCCTAGTGCAATTTCGAAATCGTCGACTTTGATTGCTTCAGAGAATCGTCGTATGTACGAATTGATTTCTGAATTCTGGGTATTTTCCGGTGCATATATCATTTGATTAAAGTAGCGGCACCGAGCCGCCAAAATGATACGGCTGGCATGGAGTTCTCCATCAGAGCATTTTATTTTTATGTCGCTGTATCGAGGGTCATTGATAATCAACTTTAAGTCACTTGCGAGAGTGTTAGGGCGAGGCATCGCAGTAAATGGAGCAAGCACAGTAATTGCATTTACAGTTACATCCCTGACCTTATGTATTATTTTTGTTATCCGCAGTAATGCCAGTATAAATTAGTGTTACCTCGAATAAAAACAACATCGGCTGTTCTCTAATTAACGCATCTTTACGCAGCCTTTCAATAAATATGCGAAAAGAAAGTACAGTCAACCCTCTCTAAATGCACGCCCTCGGGAATGAGCAGTAGCGTGCATTTAGAGAGGGATGCATTTACAGAGGGTCAGATTTTATTGGTTACACGTGATTTGATATATTAGCATGTTTATTAAAATTGTATCTATCATTGTTTGCTTCTGACTTTAAACTAATGTAATGTTCAAGCACTCTTGCATGATTTAGCAAGTCTTTATAATCTTGTTGCTGCTGCAGAAATGAACGAACACTTTCTAAGTTCAATCTGAGGATTATCTACAGTTTATATATATTTAATAATCGTTCTATCCATTAAACAAAGAATTTAAAACATTTATCTATTACTATTAAAAAGACGTAAGACTTAGTATGCGTTATCATAGCGATTCAACAAAGACATTACAGATTCTTTAAGCGTCTATAATTAGCGATGAGTTTAGCTTTAACAAAGTAATACTTTACTACTGAACTTAAGACAAAATAAAAAGGCTGCTTAATGATTACCTTGTTTGCAATGTTTATCAACTTTTAAACTTATCCAATCGTTAAAATGATGTCATTTGCCCTTTTTGTCATTTGTCTAACATTAGATTTAGAACATCCAATCACCTCCTAGATGTCAAATGTAACACATAATACGAATCACATGAAAATCACGGGCGTGCATTTAGAGAGAGTAGAAAACATATGAAAAAACCGTGCAATGCATTTATGGAGGGTGTGCATTTATTTCTAATTCCCGAGCTTGGGAATAGAGTAGGCGTGCATTTAGAGAGGGTGTGCATTTAGAGAGTGTGCATTTAGAGAGGGTTGACTGTAATATTATTGATCAATGTCTTTTAACGTATAATCAGTCCTATGGCCTATCACGTGCGTATGAACTTTAGCGTATTATTGTCGATTGTTTAACGTTCAACATACAACAGCCATTAACTATTCTGGCATTACTGCATTAGCACTATCTTTATTTAAAATGTTACTGATAATTCTCGCGAGCAGCCGCGAAGAAAACTCTTGATCGCAGTTACCCTCTTTCGAAGTCAACACTTTTTTTTCAGATATTTATTTTGTTTATTCAATGTACCACGTATTACATATCGATAAAAATCAATACTTGTACACGATTCTTATTTGGTGGTTTGCAGTAGATTGACTAGAATTTGTCAATATCGTGATTAAAGATAACTTTGTATATAGTCAACTCTCTTTATAACGACCACCTCGGGCTGGACAAAATCGGTCATTATATGGAGCGGTCGTTATATTTATAGTGCATATGCATTATAACATTATGAAAATAATCTTTATAAATTCTTATCTCCATACTTTCTAAGCAATTTATATTATCTTTTTCCTTTTGTCTGTTCAAACAATTCTTTAGAAACTGCATAGAACTTGCGTGGATCGTGGTATTAGATCGGACTATAATCGTTGCCCTAGTTGGGTCGACCGCAAAATCCCAAGTCATGTAAAATTTTTTATGGCACAATGGTCACGTCATAGTTCCGAATCACAACTTACGTAATCTCTAATACTAACGGCGGTTTAGACAAATATAAAGAAAAAAGTTCGCAGGATTACATAGGAGACTGGAGAAATGAATTTTTGAAATTATGTTTAAATCGGATTTTTTAGTGTGCCAGGAAAAAATGAACGCTAGTCAACAACTAACATGTCAACTTGCACCAACTTTTGTTTTAACTTGTTCCTCTTTCGAATCGTTGTCTTTACTTTCAAGTGAGACGGGCACTTGTCAAGATAAAAATTCACGATCAGAACTTTTCAGCCACCCCGCGTACTTAAATACCTAGTGGCGGGGCAGGAGTAATAATAATAATGTGCTTGTGGTTAAGAGTTTGCAGGAAGAATTCCTTTAGAATATCGATCAATTTAGCGAATCGGATTCTATTTGGGAAATTTTAGAGACTGTTATTGGTGGTAACGGTTATATCAATGGTAATGACGTAGACGTAAAGTTACTAATTAACAATAAATAAATAAATAAATAGGTAGATAGATAAATAAATAGATAAACAAATAAACAAATAAACAAATAAACAAATAAATTATTTTGTTTTAAAAATTTATAAAATATGTATTCGGGCAATACTTATTCTCCGAAACTGTTATTATTATTTTATGGTAATACTGTTGTATGTCAAATCGGAACTTATGTCAATTCCGATCTGACATACAACAAAACCAACTTGCAGATTGTATTCCAAAATTCTCATTACAAAATACATTAGTGATAATGCCATGCAAAAGTGTATGACAGATAATTATTAATTTATGTAACAACAAGCTATTTGTTTAACAGCCGAGTAAATGTACAACAATCAGACCGCAGTTCAAAAACCGCTTAAAATATGCAAGCAATGTCTCAAGCATAAAAAATTGGACATTTCCAAAGTGACAACATTTGCCAAAGCTCATCGCAGACATTGCGTTACCGTACAATTATGCTCTCTTTTGTTTCGGACATTTTCCGTAATGCCATAAATTCGAAGAAATTACACTTGGCACGCAATCTCTGAGCCATTTGATAAAGATTAGTCATTCACTTTAATTAACAATATCGACAATTGCTTGTTGCTTCGGAAATAAATAATTCCAACGTTATAACAATCTCTTTGATACATGCATATCACTAAACTCATTGTGAGCGATATGCTCTACACGCTCACTATAAGTTTGTCGAATGCTGCATGTACTGTATGTCGTAGTAGAACACTAATATTATTTGCGAGTAAACAGCGCAGCGTGATATTAGTGATCCAAATATTATATGACAATCAATTGTCTAAAAGCTGTGTTTTTGCTATCGCTGGAACATTTCAAATATAGCGGCGCAGAAATAAGGAATAACATGTCACTAACTAGCTTATTAATAAACCTCAATAGTATATTTTGAATTAGCAAACTATTTTCACAGAACCTACCTAAGATAAAAGTTGTCTCATCCGTAGACTTCTATTACTATCCTTGTTTGCGTCCTCCATATTTTATGAGTTCGAACAATAATCCTTGTTTGAAATCTCATGAATTGAATTCTATGTGACTGTTTATGATGATTATTGCCACTGTTAATACTAGTAATTACTCGCGTTTACCGCGTATAAATTAACGACCGAATGGGTTTTACTCGGTTAATATAATCTTGTCAATAATAATCTTGGGCGTGGTCTATGTTATGTCTGCTTATCTGGAATTCTTAGGCGATAACAATTATCAGTTATTAGTAAACGTTTCAAATATGCAATTAAGCTATCCACGATCTTTGAATTAGTCGAGTTATTGACTCATTAATTTAATTAATTTGTCCTAAATATTGTTGCCCTAATACTGTAATATGTGAATATAATCGATTACTAAAGACATTTTTTATTAAAATAATATGATGAGAACTGAATTTGTTATATTTTTGATAAAACAATTAAATTTCAAAAGTATCCGTACTTTCTTTGACTTTGCCGTTCTTAAATATTGTTACAACTTTCATTAACATCTCCCTCAAATGTTTTCTCCAATTCCATAAAAGTTTGTATATAATTCGGATTAGATAACATTGTCAAAACAAATTTGTCTAACAGTGCTGGTTTATCTTTCCCATGAACAGTCATACAAATCATATAATATCGAGCCTTCTTGCACTTACCATAGGAAGAATTCCAGCCCACGCGCTAACGTACCCTTTTGGCTTTGGTCGAATTGGAAAAAATTGTTATCATCTTTATCTTGGCAATAATAAACACGCGTGATGTCAATCCGTATCATGCTCTACGATTATTTGCGTTTTGCAATAGCAATCATACAATAATTCGTTCAGGAATTATACAAATGTATTCCGGTATTGCAGAACAAGATAAAAAAAAGTCATACATTGGTTTGAAAAGTGTTGGAATATGAATTTTTGAATGTTTGATGTCTGAAAATTTTGCAATTTTACAGGTCTCAGTGGTCAATTATTTATGCACCTTATTGTAGATAGGATCAACAATAGTGTTGAAAGCAAACTGGTTATGCACCTTAATAAAGCATTACTTGTGTAATGCCAACAATAAAAAGCTGGTTACGTAATAATAACGTTCCGACACAAGAGAATGGCGGTATATGTTTGATTGATCCAAAACTAAGAATGATTCCATGGATCATTTGGTAATCCATCAGCAAAAATTGCATAATTGCTCGAATAATGACACAATCTCGTCACTCGCCAAAATAGCTTGCGTTTTTTTTGTAAAGTCATCATCATTGATGGCGATGCGTAATTATAGTTTAGTTTAGTATACCAAGTCTAGTTGGACATATAACTATCCCACTGTTTGGTAGTCAAATTACTTCCATAACATTTTCCTTTTTAGGAAATTTCTGCGTCAATATGACTCATGGTTTTGGGAAATTATTCACCAGTGACTCTCCTTGGTAAAATATTATAAACGCGCTCGCCGTAATATTACAAATATGGTAACATTACGCGAATTTATTATCAATTTGGTAAGATAAAAAGCGATAGTGTAATAACTATGGTAAAGCATAAATACGTATTTGTTTATTGACAGCTAACGTTCTGCAATGAACAACCTTTAAAGACCATGCCATGCTATTTATGCACGGTCAGATTTGAATATCAGCACCGTATAGTAACGTCTTCAATGTCTCGCTATTATTTATGTCAGAGGCAAAACAAAGTGCCTCGACATCTTCTCGGCAATACTGATGCTTAGCTATCTTCAAATTCTTAACTAGGCATGGGTATTGTTTCTTGATCATTTTAAATACACGGAGAAACGCATGTGATCCAAGCCTATTAAGATATAGTAATCAATAAAAACAAGAGCTCTCAATGCATAGTAATACAATAATTACACGTACCATTTAAGTTGTCGTTTCCTAAAGGGCGGCACAAACACAGCATTTCTCGGCACCTTCAGCACGCACGGATGTTCACACGCGCAATATATAGCTTCTGCAGAAGAAACTGGCATTAGGTCCGACGGCTTATTGGCAAAAAACTGTCATCCAATGCATACCAGCAACAGGCTCCCCATCCAAATGGTGACCAGATTGTCTCAATGTCTGCAGATAATGACGAAACTAAATATAAGAAGACAAATAAATTAGTTATTGTATATTAAAAATCACTCAACAGATACCTTGATTGCTGCCACTATGTAATTCTGATAGAGGTTGAGGAAAACTGTCTGTATAGTGTTCAAATCCAAGCTGACAAAAATGTCCTGCCAACCAGGATGCATCATCCTACAAATGAATCAATGAGGGCAGTTCAGACATTTTGTCTTAGTATCCGTGACAACCAGACTTAACATAATGAAAACCACGCACTGAATCAGCTTGTTTTTGAGGGTTTTAATAGGGCTCTGTATGCTGACTGATATTGTATCTTTCATGTCTGCCAGACATAATATGTAAGAACAAGACAACTCGGTTGATACAGAATTTGTGGAATTTTTTTTTGCTTCTTGCACATAAAGGATACGCATGCTCACATATCGGGAATAATCGCACTTCACTTCCAATGTCTTTGTATTTATCAGGACACCACACCATGGGAAATCTAACAAAGAATGGATCAATATACAGGTGGTTAAGCCCTAGTTTTCTCCAATGCATCAATGCAACATGTTGATAAATGCTCACCAATAGGCTCTTCAATGGCCCTGCCATAACCCATTTTGTGCCCACATATTTCTGTCTCAAAGTTTGTCATACTCTTTGCCTTGTTTACCAAGCATCCATAATGTGAATGTCCTTATGAATGTAAAGTGAATCTCGTCATCCCTTATCAATAGTTCACGAACTTGTCTTGAATGAATAAGCATCACAAGTACCTTCAAACATCACACTTAAAAATTTTTCTGCCTTTCCCTTGTCGAGACTTATAAATAAAAAGTCATCAATATAACGGAGAAGCAGCTACAAATTACAGATAAATGTAAAATTCCCAAGGGTTATTATTCATAACAAGGTCCACTTGCAAAAGTATGTCTTGCAATCTGGCTTACACTGTCCTCATCACGAACAAACGGAAACTTTTCTTGTTCCATTTCATTAAAGAAATAACTGCAAGAGAAAAAAAATAAGATGTTTAGCTAAATTCAAGCTTCTTTGTTTGAATGGAAATTATTTACCTGCACAGCAATGTTGAAATTATAGAACCCTGTGGAATACCAGTATGTTGTCTGTAGTATTTGTCATCAATCTAGTGGAGTAAACAGCTATCAGCACTTGTTAGACATTGTTTCCTACGCGTATACATAATCCCTGCCTTGACGACGTGTTTCTTCACATGTTCTTCTAACAGATCGAGAAGCTTGTCTGTCGACTTTTTATAGTAGACACACTCATCAACAAAAATAGCATTGTGTCTGGACTCGGCCAGTCCATGTGCAACGTTGCTAAACTGTGTAAAATTGTCTAATGATGGGGGGGGAAATTCGCGCGACATTAGAAGCCCCAGGCCTCTGTAACAAGTTCCTTAGAATACAAGCATTTACTTAATCTCACCAGCGTATGCAGACCGACGTATCTGATGCTTGGTAATACTGTCGCTGGTTGAACGAACGAGCGAAACATTTGCATCTCTATAACATTCGCTCTTTAAGACAACGTCCTTGACAATGTCCATAAGGACATTCTGATTAATCGTGTCAAAACATGCTTGTATGTCAACTTTTGCAAAGTATAATAACGGGCTGCGGTCGAAATCATAACGAAAGCGATTTCCTGTTAATGTAATGTGATGCATATTCGCGACTGAAAAAGTTGTACAATGAACATGATTCCTTGTTTCGAGCACAATACCTGACGACCAGATCTGTCAATCGTTTTTTAAAGACTTTTAGATGCTCGCAGGCGCTTCCTAGGCCACTGATATAGGAATCGCCGAGCACTCGCGACTTTAAGGAGTATTATCATCTCAATTAAAGAGTCTAGTTCATGTTCAAGTCTTGCATGCGCGCTCCGAACAAACTTGAAAGAACAAATTACCTTTTCCAATGTCAAAATATTAAATACATCTGATAATAAATTATTTGGAGATGGAGCCTTTTCGCTGGGTATCTGTGAACGCTGCAAACCAATAATTTAATAACAAGCAACCACGCACGAAATCGGTGTTCTTATACACGTTTTTATATTTATAATATTGTACATCCAACTTACAGCTCCATTTATTCGTCTAACTGGCATATTTAGATTTGTAATTGGTCTAAATCCACCGACCTTAGGAGTCAATCGAAGTGATGCATAACCCAGAGTTTTCCCCTCATATTCTGATAACTTGTCCTGTAATAGTACAATATTTAGGAGAGAAATAACAATAAACGAAGATATTTTCTTAAGTCATACTTGGGGAATCTCGACATATGTTGATTTCATCAACTCCATCCGCTTGTTCTCGGTAATCATTTCCCATACGTCATGTCTAAAGTAGAGAACCCGCTTTTTGGGGGAGGCGCTTTCTGTTATATAAAAAGAGGTCTGCGAGTGATAATTGTTATTTACAGTCCAGAAATTTTACTGGAGGTCAGTAAAGTGGAAAAGTGAAAAAAAAAAAAAAGGCTAGCAGCATGGGAAACGCACTTACACGGAGGAGGCAGCAAACAACGGATTCCATTAGCCACCAAATAAATTCTCCAAGGAGTTGTCTCATTTTTTGGGATTTAGCGACTAAATTTAGAGATTAACAGTTAGAGTTATAACAAGTAATCACGAACAACATTATAAATAGTAAAATGCGTACCTGCATCTTGGTCTTGGACTGCTCTTACAAGCCAATCACATTTCTTTAGCTTGACTCCCTGGAGCATCTCATGTAGAGTCGTACACTCATTTCGTCCACAGCGAATAAATTTATAAATTTCTTTAAAAAAGAATACAAATTGGTTAATCTATCCAATTCGAATCCAAAGTTAGCCTATTTAATTTAACTTACTCTCGAAAACAGAGTTTCTATTCTCAACGTCACCCCAGAACGTGTCAGGGACGAGCCGTCTTATGACGCGGTGAACAAATGCTGCGACCTATAGATTTAACTTCATAATTAGTAAATTTTATCGAAAAAAATTCTAATCCAGTACATGAGAAATGTGATCAATGTGCCTGGCCGTAAGTTGAGTCACAAGTCAAGGGGTCGCCGTTAAATTCCTAAATAAGTTTTTTTTTACCATTATATTTAAAATTCCCTATTTCGATCAAGTTTAAGCGAGTATTATTAACCAAATACCTTTTTGGGACAGCATTGGTCATAAAATGCCGGGTAAGGGCAGTTTTTATGCGAATTTATAATTTTTTCGATATCTTTTCCAATATGAACGAGATGCTTCGGGACCGGTTTCTCGCCAGCAATCTAATTAAGACCAGTTAATACAACCAGCAAAAAAAGACTTATTTTGCACAATAATTAAAAACACGCGTATACCATTATATCGGCCTCACGATAAAATGTGTTGCCAAGAGCGTTCACAACCATTCCCTTTTGGTGTACCGTATCAAAGACATTTGGCATTCCAAACTGTTTAGGAAATATGTATCGCATAACGTGTGCGGCACCGTACCCTTTTCTTCCTCCCTTTTTCATTTTTACAATACGGTTAAAGATATCTGCGAAATAGCAATAGAATTAGCTATAATAATTAAATATTAGTTTACGAAATTCTCACGTACGTTTAAAGGAAAGACCGATCCAGATTCGCTTCTGAGTACGTTTCGCTCGTGCATAAAATAGGGCTGACGGGGAAAATGTTAGATTTGTATACGTTCGCGTCGGCTTTTCGTAAACGTTGTCTGCCGCGATCGACGCGTCTGCACTTTCCGATTCAGCAATAGTAGATGTTTCGGGCAAGTTCTTGTCGATCGACTCTTGCTGAGAAACTCCCGGATCAAGGTCCTGTTTCGGTTCGTGTAAACGTCGTTTCTTTGTGAAATTCTTTCCAGCAATGTGGGCAACCTCTAATGCACTACCGCGCTTTTTACTGAAAGCCGGGTTAGTGCGAACCGTGGTATTAAGGTTGTGATTAATCGGAGGACCTATTTATTCATTCCAACAGCGAATTTTAGAAAATTAAATTGGAACAATGCTCGATTTTAGAAATAATGCATTTTCCTTACCAGTAATCTGAAAGAAGCAGCCATTATCCAATCCGATAAAGATTGCAGCATTCTTTAGCAGACATTCTACAAATTTAGCCCCAATTCTGTGGCAATTGAAGGGGAGTGTATGTGTAATATGAGACAAGAGACCACCGGCTACTTCTTAGCAATGTGCACGTTTGCTCACCTACGAAAGAGCGTTTGCCATGAAGTCGAAGTCTTTATGTATTCCACGAGACTATTCGGGTAGAAATTCTCTGTGATTTTTTCTTTGCCAACGCGTTGCTATTTATATAAGGTAAATTATTGGTAAATAAAATATGCTTCCGACTTATTAATATTGCGAATAGCAAGTTCATATACCTGTCTGTATCCGTTCAGTAATACATTTCTCAAAAACGTCTCCCCGACCATTATTGAATCTTCAACTACCTTATCTACTAACTGAATAGTGCGTGCATAGAGTTTAAAGTTTATTCTAATTTAAAGTTCATACAGATTATCACGTATTTACTTACATTTGGCAGGCTGAAATGTTCTACTACACTTTCCGAAGCGGGCTCCACCATCTTGTAAGCGAATGCGTACGAATTCCTAAGAAAGCTAATATATTCTTCATTGTCTTCTTTGATTACAAGGTGAACATCCGGTCCGACCATCTCGCACAGATATTCCTCTAAACGTTTGATACGATCTCCGAATAGTCTTCTTAAGATTAGTGAGCTGTGAGTCTTTGGCAAGTTCATTGCAACCTTTGCCGCATGAAGTTTCTCTGCATCTGCCCGTGTATGCTCGGCGGGTTCATCAGGCTGTTTACGTGACTTTGGAGTCACCGATATACCCAGTTCTTCGAGAAAATCATCAGTTAACGCACTTATATGACTGGTTGATCTGCTAGAGCTTTCTCCTGATAACGAGGCCGGTGTTGAGGACTCCATTGCTTCTAGGAAACGTTCAAGAGTCAAATCAACCGGAATTTGCGATGCGTTTGCGTGCGCTATGAGATTAAAATGAAAAGTGCAGGTAAAACAAAGAAATGCGGTTAGCCAACTGGACAGTATTTGAATTATCGTATGCCGATTACACGTAAAAATTAGATAATGGTTACTATCAATGTGACAAATGAGTAATTGCATGATAAATCAATCAATTATCACCAAATAAAACCAAACAGACTTTACCGATACAGCAGTAATGTGCTTGGATATATTATCACTTATTAGGCGTGTCAAAAAATTCTGAATAGAATTATCATACCTTTTACCGCGTTTTTGATTGCCTTTTCCTTCCAAATCGGCGTAAAGCTGGCCAAAAGTTGAGGATTGATATAACCGTGAGTAACGTCGTAATTTTTAATACTTAAATATATCATCCATTCTTCGTTAGGCGCCTTCACGTCCACAATGACAGAAAAAGCCTTCACAATAATAAATGGAGCGAATAATTTCATTTCGGGCACGCTAATAACCCATGAGAAAAAAAAATATATTACATTTTTTATTCGTCAACTTAATGCACGATTACGTGAACACGAGTAAAGAAATAACATACCGGTTTAAGGGGGAAGGAGATAATTCGCATTGAACCATGCTATTCCGGTCGTTTAACTTTGCTCTAAAGATATTCACATATTGGCGATACTCAATCTACCGTAGGGCACCAATTTCGTTAAGAAATTTTTGCGTTTAAAAAAAAAGCAAAGTTTAGAATTAATTTAAATGGGATTCGCACTTACGTTTGTAATTTGTCCGTGAAAAATATGACCTTCGTAAAACGCTTTCTTCTCATTAAAGAAGCGAGTAATAATAGGAAGGATCCATGCCTCTGAAATTATATGCGACATTGCTATAGTATCGTTAAAACCAGGGAAAATTCTTGCGATGATGATGAATTGATTATTGAAATGCTTGACGGTTTAACATCTCTTCCTCGCGAGACCTAAGGGAAAAAAAACTTTGATCTGCACAGAAAATGGTTTCCCCCCTGTCAGTTGTTCTTGTACTGGTCTAGCCGTATTGAAGCATAAGCATCAGTTCATAAATACTAAACACGGAGAAAATCGACAGTCGACAGATATTGCCGATCAAAGATCGTCATAATAAGATAGAATTCATATTATTATGACACAACGTGAGTTTAATTAGCAGACGGTGAGAACGTGAGACTGCTTATTAGTGTAACAAAGACTCCGCGTTTGTGGGAAGCCCGTCAAAAGGTATAAATCCCGTATTTAGCAAGGTAAAGACTTAAGCACCGTTATTATTGGGGAACTAACGTACAGTAGCAAGACGCTTGCCTGCCATGAACAATTTGAGTAATAGGACATCAACTTATATTGACCCCCTTCTGCAATACGGGCCCAAATGAAAAAATATCCCCTATTTTTTTTTCACGGGTTAGGGTTTGGGATTTTGCAGATGAGATGCACATTGATGAAGGTCATATTCGATAATGGATCACGCTCTTGTTTGTCGATCTTCCCACACGGTTTTAAAATGCTAACGCGTAAATATGTACATTTTATACAACATTCAGGTGCGCGCCTTTTATTTTTAATCACATAAATACTATTTTAACAATCCACGAGTTGCACAGTGTGCTTGGTGACTGTTCCCAGTAATTATGCCTGCTCCCAGTAATTATGTCTGCACAACGTCCTTTTCTTTTTCGGTTCACATCTGCTACCAATAAAAACGTCTGCTCCGTATCCTATCAAGGAGTGATCATTTCTTATGACTTTGCGGTCTCGTGATCCATTATCATTATTGAAGGACCCTCTACGCATTAATACGCTCCGTTTCGTCATAATCATGAAATTTAATTTCTCTAGCAGTCACAAATCAACTCAATGGCGACATCAAGCGTCTATCACAATCACGGCCTGAACCCCAATTCATTTCATTCGTTCAAGTAAATACCTGGTTTGTCCATACATGAAGAAAGTAACAGAACTGGCGCAAGCGGCCTTAACAACAGCAGGTGTTAGTCCTTTATACAGTCCTAACAGACCTTCTCTACGTATTATTTCCTTCATGCACGTCAGAACGGACGTTGAATATACGGGAACATTATAGACGACGTAATACGTCCTATTAGGCCCTTGTATCTGCATTCGCTTCCGTACAACGTCGAGTGGAAACACAGCCGTCTTGGAGAATACTCCTGATAGAGCACCACTAGTTAGATCTATCATAGATCCCATTGCGTTTGGTTGATTGGATGTCTGGTTTTTTGATTTAGAAAGTTGTAATATGAATAACTTATATACAAGGATGGTGCGGCTGATTTACGGTTTCCCATTATACCTGTAACTCTCTCTTGATTATGTCATAACATCCGAAATTGATACCCATGTATGGCATGATTTGAATCGCTGCTGGCTTTACTCCTTGGAAAAATCCCCTGATGCCTTCGTGTCGATAAATTTGCCTTATTGCCTGTGATAGACTGTTATAGATCTTCTTATTCCCCTGGGCAGCAAATCTGGTTCGGAGCAAGTCGAATGGATATGTCGTGACGGTGGCAATACATCCACACAAGGCACCACTAATAAAAGGTATTAACATGTTCGATATTGGCACAGATGCGTTCATTCGTTTGAGTAATGCATCTACTTGTCGATAGCTCAAAAATTGGACTGCACCATATGAAAGGTAGAGACATTCGGCCGAGAGATTGCCTTTCCATAACGCCTGCAATATCGATTGGAAAACGATCACATAATTGAAAATACATTGGATTTGTTATAGAGTGACTAAGCTGAAACTTACTAGTATCCCTTCTTCTTTAACAATTAATTTCAGTCCATGAAACATGCCACGATACTTCGGTCCATTTCGGACTGCTTGCAGCTGTATTAATGATTACAACAAAAAAAACACACAGTCTATTATTAGCAGGTCGCTGACTAGTTTATGTTTAATCATGATATTCGTTCTTGTCGTAGCTACAAGTATAAGTATTACGCAACCTGTAGTCTAATCTTTATGACATCAAGTGGGGCTACTGTAAATCTTAATTAGCATTCAGTTCGCCCATTGGGAAGATCGAGAAACAGAGTCAGCAAGGTTCCATAACCACACTGCAGCATATATTCTATATATACCTGGAAGCCATGCCGGCAACCGCACCAGCTATTGATGTTTGTAGCATTGACAATCTAGACGAAACAATTGGCTCGTCCGCGTTTACATCAGCAGGCGGCTTTTGTTTATCAAACTGATCCTGACTGCTAACTAGAGCCATCATATTATACAACAATGGTAACGTTCAGCGATACAAGAAGGCTCAAAGAGGCAACAGTTATACCTTGACTCATGGCAAAAAGCGTCAAACTATTTAAGAAAGGCAGTATTCGATCAAGTGTTGGGGGGTTAAGTTATGCACGAGAGACTAAAATAAATGTGACCGACAAACCACCAATCACAGTAGCATATCAAGTAGAATCGACAAGCCATACTAATACAAAGCTTTTATTTTCATCCGATGAACATAAAGCAATATCAACATAGTCTTAACCAGCAGTCACTTTATGGATAGTATTATTGTTATCTACATGAACTTGCAATCTGCATATTGGAGAATGATTTCCAGTTATTATTTACACCATGTCATCTATTCCATGAAATGACAACACACACCTGTTTTCGTCAAAGTCTGCAGTATACATATAACCTTCACGCACTACCCTGTGTTTCTCAGGCAAGTCACGCTTTCGTACACACTACGACAAACAAGTGTTAGCTCATGCTTGTTTGATATAAATAATAACCATACCAAAGATTTATCCTTCTTTTACCTCAGTGTCAGAGACATGGTCGGGCTTAACAGCGTTGTCGTCCAGGAAAACTTTCCCTACTAGTTTAGATTTCCAATGATTCAAATCCATTTTTTTTCTTTACAAAAATATATTTGATGAAATGGGATTTTTTGAGTGTGAATGAGTGTTACTGTCATGGCTATATAACCGAATTCCAAGTTGGCGTGGGAGAATTTTAATCCACTGTATGTGCTAAAACAGGTTTATCACTTTATTCGATGTAGTCACGGACATCATGATTTGCAAATAAGCACCCCAAACTATAGTTTTGTTATGTAATCATTACCACTTTGAGGGGTCTAATCAGCCAGTAACGGAATGGGAGAGACAAACGTTGGAATGTTGGGGAAGATTCCATGTTTCTATTCTGGTCCAACTTCAATCTGGCATAGCAAGTTTTCACGGCAAATGAAAACTTTTCTGCTGCTTATAATCGATGTTATTGTCAAATAGTTAAGCCCCTGTGCATTTGGACGCAGTAAGCATACAAATCAAGCAAGGTTATAATTTATTGTTCGAACATATTGTTCGTCTACAGGAATACAAATTCATTTAATGAAGAACATGCATAAGCTAATGCGTTTTCGGAGTAATGGAGGAATAAAGCAACTTTGGATTTAGACAACTCTCGTAGACGTGAAATGACGCTCGCTGACTACTTGGCTGCTACCGTATCACTAAGACAAATTGCTAATATGAAGAGCATCAGATTCAATACACTGTTAGAACAATTTAAGTTTCGTAATGCGAACTTGGCACTTTTAATACAGTTATTGTTAGTGAATAAATGTAGTAGCCAGCTCATACTGGTGAAATACGTACTGTCGAGCACAGACGGACCATCGAAGGTTAGGCAGATGCTTACTCGACCCTTGCCCGCTGTATTAACGTAATAAATGGATTGTACATACTCTATTTGGTAGTATAGTCTTTTGCGTTTTATAGGAAAATGCTTTGTATGCTCAGTGCAAATGTTTATTTTTGCATTTGTCAATATATGCAACATCTCGTTCTTCGTTAAATAAACTAACACTCAATCACTTAAATTTATAACGGTTTAACAATGTTTTGCAGCAATCACACACATAGTAATATTGAGTATGTACTCCGACGAGCCTGTATGTGCATTTACCAAGCATGACGACAATTAATTTCACGGTTTCTTTATTGGATTCTACTCCAATGTCGATGTAGTCCTTCCTGTGTGTTGTATTCAGTATTAATTGGAATACATGAGTGTGGCAAACCTTCACGCATTCCATATGGAGATTGCATGCGGACACCAAGTCCGATCCGAACACTGACAGAAGTCAGAGCTTCTTAAAGTGGACGTATAGCCCAGCAACATCAAGTCCATAAACATCAAGTTCCAGTGTCAAGTTATCCCAACCTTTCCTGCAGCCTCCAGCAATGATTACTTATAAATGAGGCACAAAGCAGGCAAAGTGAACATTTATTATATATTGTAAATGAGAGGCTAGTTTGCTGAAAGTTACCGAATTCTACTTTGAGACTTTGAATCACATTTTTTTTAATTAATATATATTACGCAACTTTTATTTGACATTATAATTATAAAATGTTATATATAGGCTTATTACTATCTCTATACAAAATATATAAATATGAAACTAATGACTACGTATATATGATGAATAAATAGTCAAAAAAGACAAAGTAACAAGAAGCTTGCAACAGTCGGTAAAAATATTACGGCACTAAAAGTAATGTGAAAATATATTGATTACACCATGATATAACATTATTATGTTGCAGAGGGGCACGCCGGTTGGGATATTTAATCTTTAAATAATACACAGTAAAGTCCGCTTTAACGAAGGTCTGTTTTAACGAAGATGACCTATAACGAAGCTTTTTTATGGAACCGATTCATTCATATATATAAAGATAGTAGTCCGCTTTAACGAATAATTCGCTTTAACGAAGTTTTTTGGCGGATATAGTTCGTAAGTAATACAAGATGAACCTAGTCATTCGAGTTACACAAGGTTACATTGAACATCAGTCGACTGTCCTGCACTTATTTACTTTGCGTCTTTAACAATGTCTCAAATAGCTAACAATTCGTACAAAGACTGGCTGCACGCAAGCATTCAAGATGGTTCAATCAGTTGCTGTCCAGAATGGGATATAGC